GTCCTCAGGTCAGTTGAAGTCACTGGAAACAACTGTCTGCAGAGAAGTTGTCTGTAGTGGGAAGGTGCATTTGCACAATCACAAAAGTTGAGTGCAACCTCGTGTATTCCATGAACATCGATGATGACAAAATCATTGTCATGGGCAGGTTTGGGATTGCGACAGAGCTGCTCAGTGTGGTCTCTGAACTGGATGTGCAATCCAAGTTGCTTCAAAGTTGTAGAGTAAAAATGCCCGTCCTGCCATCACTAATATAATGATATGAGTAAAAAAAACCAATTCAAATCCTTCAAAAAGCTGGCTAACCTTGACTCAATGAAGCGGCACATTTTGGTGTAGTGTTATAATGCATGAGCAGCAAAACAAATTGACCAAAAAGCAATCTTCACAATGATAAGGTGCATCTGAGTCTCCGCAGGCGTGGCATGCATGATGCGCTTTTCTGCACCCTTCGAGTCGAATAAGTTTGTCTAGATAATGTGGGCATTCAGGTACCCAGAGGTGCATTGCATCATTCTATTGAAATAGATGACAGAGATCAGTTTCATTATTTTAATTGAAAGGACTTTTGCTTACTCCAGCAGTCTGCTTTCGTTTTTTTTTCTTTTGCGACAAGGACATCGTCATGAACCTGAGGCTCGCTGTCATCATATTGGATCTCGCTCCAAGGATCCATGTTGTGACTGTTAGTCATAATGTCGCACTTGGTCTCAAAAACATCACTGACAGATAGGACTGCATCAATATATCTCGTTCATAGATTTACTTGTCCAGTGGATTATACAGTGAATATTCGGTGGCGGTGGACAGTTTGAAAATATTGGCCAGCAAAACCTGGTAGAGAATAGCTTGAACGAACTAGATGAGGCTTCTTGCTGGGACGACCACCCACCATGAGCAAACAAATGAAGGTGTAGTGGGTGTTGTCAGTGTTGTCACACGTTGCATAGTGTATGCTGTCGAAACTCGATATATCCAAGCCTGTAGAATTACTGAATAGAAGCTCCAATTGACATAATGAACTTGCATGCAATGATAAAACATACAGCATGGACTGCACCAATTGTGTCAATTTGCAGTTGTGGCCCTATTGAAGCTCACTAGTCAGCTGTGGGAGAGCCGGAGACACTGACACTGGTGCGAAAGGAAGTTGTAATCACTCACAACTTAAAATGATTGATTAATGAGTTTTGGTCAGACTGAAGAGCACTTGTAATAGGTAATCATTGCCGTTACAATAGCAGTAATAAGCTACAGTAGTACAACCATAACTGTCATTCATAGGATATCAGTAATGGACAAGCATCTACTGTAACTCTGGAAGGCCTACTAAGTCGGTTCCTACTGCATACATTCTGGCTCACTTGAACATAGAGCACATACACTACAATGTATTTAGTTTTGGTTGTACTAAGTTCCAGTTATGAGTATGACTCCAAAAGCTTCTTTCTGCTCTGCTTCTTTTCAACCTTTCAGTGAGCTGAGCAAGTATGTCGAAAGCATCCTAGAATTGCAAGATGAAGGGTGATGTTTCAATCATTGCAAACTCGGTGGCCAAGATCGAAAAACTACTCAAATGAGTTATTCCTGCACAAGATGAGATCCTCAATTATTGTGGAATCTCACCTGAGTGGCACACTGTGGACTTGGTCTCACAATTCCTGAGGACTACTGTTGCATATTTGGAGGATATTCAGATCCTTGAAATGTCAGGAGGAGTTGCGGAGCTTACAATGGCACACTTGTTGGGAGAGCTAATGTATCAGAGGGTATTATGGTTTGAGCATCTTGGGCAGTTGGTACATGATAGACTACGCACATTATATAGAGTCAAATACAAATGTGCGTGCTACTTACAAAATACGAGTGTGCTTGCTACTGTCAGGGCCCGTGCATGGGATGTTTTTGGACCCAATGGCTGGACTGTTACTGTTCAATTTTTGCTAAGTAAGCATATCCATCTCATGATTGTGTGAGGCAACATATGTGAGTTGTTTGAAATGAAAGGGTTCATTGCATAACACTTGATATAGATGGCGTCCTGGAAATGGACCTCTCCCGAACAGGAGGAATGGTTGAGTCCATGGTATGAGAAGTACCACACAAAGCAATCAGACAAAGCTAAAAACTGGGTGAATTTCTTTACCGACTTGTTGGGAGAATGGCTTGAACAATTCCAAGAGCCAAGGCCAGCTATACTTCCCGTCATTGGCCCCTGACCATGGATGAGATTACCATCATGGATCAGGCTGAAGCTGACAGAAAAAAGGTATGTTAGCACAACAAACTTCCTGTGGAAGCAATCAAATTAATAGGAGGTTATAGAAATTAGAAAACTGTTTCAAAAACAGTATTGGGGCTACAAAGACAGGTCAGCAAGCAAAAACCGAGGCCACAAATGTCTTCCATGCGGTACTGAAGAGTGTTACCAAATGCAAAAAGCCCTCGTGTACCCTTCAGGAAGTCGAGGCATATTCCAAACTGTACTACCAGAAGCGCATAAAATCAATAGTCGATAACAAACTGAAGGCAGTGGCTGAAGAACTGTGAGCCGAAGATAAGGCACTTACAAATGGAAAGCATGTTGCCATTGTCAAAAAGGAGACAGTGAATCTCTACAAAGTAGAAACCAGTGAGATTAAGGCAGAGGTGTGGAGGTACATTGAGGATGCAAAGACGCTGTCATGCATGGTATGTGATTCACACCATGACTGATACAACAAAAGAGTGATAGAGTATCTTATCTTCTGTCACTCAGTTACCTTATCATTTTTCCTGATTCATTTCCTTCTATTTTGTTTCACATGATTCAGTCTGATTTCCCCTGTGTTGTCTATTTGATTTTATTTAGTTCTGTTTCTCTCTATTTGTTTCTCTCTGACTGTTTAGCTTTCAGATTTGTTTGTCAGCACCTCATGTGACTGGGAAATAATCTGATTTGTAACAACATTCACATGACTCATCATGTTTTGTAAGATCTTTGTAAGACTCTGAATTTTATTTATAATCTACTTAGTAAGAAAGATGATTCAGCACAGCCAAATGGTATGTTTGTCAGCAAACTGCATGACACATCCATGTGATGACTCATGAGCTTTCAGTCATGCTTTGTAAGATTACACTGTATATTAGTAAGGAGTTGATTCAGCACCTGGTTTGTAAGCTATATTCTTACCAATCTGTGTGATGACTTGTGCTTAGTAAGAGGGTTTTCAAAAGATATATAAACCCCTCATTTTCGCCCATGTAATATAACTTCCCATTTTTCATTCTTCTCTCAAACCATGAGAGTATGTAAGAATAAAAGTGCAGGCATTATGTCCTTGAAGTAAGCTTAAGATATTTCATCTTATCTTTTCTGAAGCATTGTATACTCTGACTTATACAAGCTTTCATTATTCTATTCACAAAAGATTGTATACTGCAACTTATACAACTTTTGCTATTTCTATCATTCAGGCCAAGCCTTTACATATATATATATATTTAAGAACTCTCTGTTTCATCATAGGAGAGACACGAACTAGGAGAACACAACGAAGTTGAGATAGACTTTCATCGGTTGAAACACGACCTACTAGGGTGCAACATGCCTATCATTTTTCATTATCCAGCTATGCTACATATCTATGTTGTACTTCCACAAGAAGAGGACAACAAACTAAATCCTCCCAAGAACTCATCATATTACCTCCCACCACGAAAACTAGAAAAGTCGGAGACCGTGCACTTCAGGACTGGCAAGAAGTCTTTACTGTGTATAATAGTGTTGTCATTATACACAACATTCATATAAGACCCTTAAGTAACAAGACAACACGCAGTGACAAGAAGAAGGAAAGAATGTGGTCGGAAGACAATTATGCAAGGTAACAATTTGGAAATTCAGATATGTCAATCAGCTAACATAACTCCATAGAAATCTGGAAAAACTTGCCGCTATGGTTAATAAGTTCTTGAAGGGGCTTGCAGATGCGACAGGCTTCTCATTCTCCCTCCTGGCAGGTGGCCCTTCTCCAGAGCTCAGTGGATTGATTGATGTCTACAGACAAGTCAACCATGCTGATCTGTGGAATCCAGCACTCACCTTTGGGTCAAAGTTTTCATGTAGGTAAAACAAAGTTTAGGAATGCCTTTGGCAAGGCATATCTCAACTTCGAGAACACTATCATATCACCTTTTTGAGATTACCTGTACTGTGTTTATCGTAAGTTGAGAAATTGCAAATAATAGCCTATCTGACTTACCTATCCAAATCAATAGCAGATGCTGCAGTGGTTTTAAAAAGAAGGATAGGGGATGTAGAAGGTCTGAATGATGATGACGACAATGGCAGCAATTCTTCATCAAGTGGCGTCGAGTTGGGAAATCGAAACGATGACACATTTGGTCATGTGACTTCGAGTCCGATTACTACCAGTGTGACACCACCTGACGGTGACAGTGTTAACATTGAAGCTGTGTCTAATGTTAACCTTTCTGAAAACTCCACCGACATTAATAATTTGTCAAACCTAGATGACTCTTTCTGGGAGGATCTCACTGCTCAACTATATACTTTTGAAGTGTCAGGCGGGAATCCAAACTTGCCACCCTTACCTCCATACCCCTACAGCAACACTGCAGCTATTCTCAATTCACTGTCAGCTACCACAACCACAACACCTTCTTCATCTGAGCTTCCTGCACACACTTTCCCCAAGGCTTCAATATCAACCTTAGTACCACAGAGCTTGCCCACATCTCTCTCAACCACTCTGTCTCCTGTGCCACATTTGAACAATACTCAGTCCTCACCAACCTTGGCATCACAGAGCTCGCCCACATCTCCTTCAACTGCTCTGTCTCTTATGTCAACTCCATCTCTGCCTCATGGTGTATGTCAGCCTGGGCCTCCCTTGATACCACAGGACTTACTCATGCAGTCTCCAGCTGTTGATACTTCATTAATTCTGCCACCAACTACAACCGCTGGTCAACAAAGACAAAGCCAGCCTTCCACACTTGAATGTGCACATCCATGCAGGACCAGTCATGTGTGTGTTCCTTCCTCACACAATGTTATTGTGAATAGTATTGGTAAGAATCTTCCCACAAATACTGGCAAGCGTCATGGAGTAGTAGTTGAAACTGACATCTCAAGCCACAAAATGAGGTGAGTGATATGATCTTCTAGTTTGTCTCGTCAGCTGAGCAAAATTTTAACAATGAACAGGAGGCAAAAGGTTTGACACTTCAAAGATTTAATCATACTACACTTTTCATACCACCTTTGTTCCATGCTACCTTTGCTATATAATTTGTTGTTGTTTGCTTTAATTGTTGTCTTGATAATAAATAAAATTAAAGTTTTCATATCTGAACTGGTGTGATTTCAGCTTCATCTGTACATGTGAACTTGAACTTAGTTGCGAGAATGCAAATATCATATGACACATGGTTGAACTTGGGCATGCGCTCAGCAGCAGTACTGGTAATGTTGCATGCACTGCAGCAATGTAATTTTTTCAAATTCAATACTCATTAATATCACCATGTCAATATTGTAACTTAGCATCTGTCTGCCTTCACAATCTGTGTTCAAGATAACATGAAAGTTGTGCATGCAAGAATTTGGATCTATACAAAGTGAATATATATCATGGGTAAGGTGCCTGTTCCTGGTTCAGCAGTCCAGGTCAGGTACATGCACCTGACCGCCTGACAAGTCGAAGATCCAAATCTCACCATGTTTATAGCTGCCAGATCAGAAAGAAGGTGCAGGAGTGGCAGTGGTATTAGGTGGCTGAGAGTGTTCTTATTTGGTATCTGACCCCTCCCCACACAGCCTGGAAAGTTCCGAGAAGCAACATTTGGGATTCACCATGGATATATCAAACAATATATCAATCTGGTTAATGGATAAGTCAGCCCAATAATGTATTCTAGTTTTAGGCTTATAGTCCTCTTTCAATGTATTATTATGACAGTATAGCATTGCAACCTTTGTGCCACAACAACTTGTGCCAGTTGGCCAAGTGTGTTAGAGTCCAAAGTTGCAGTATTTGAATTTTTGTTGTTCGTATTGGGTTTGTGTGGTGGCACTCAGATGTAGACTCAACACACTGCTGATGGGTAGGAGTCTGGTGTTGACTCAGAAATGTACTATATCCCTCATGGCTGAGTGGTCATGACCTGATTTTAATTCTTACTTCCACATGCAACTTACAACATAAATCGATGTTTCTGTTATGCACCTTTTATTGCAACGTTGAACAACCAATTTTTGTTAAGAAATGATCAAGTTCATTGAACTTTGAAAGCCGCACTGGAGACAGCCAGCCTGACGCTGCCGTAGTGGAGTTCTAAATACTACCGCTGGCTCTGTGATGAAATAGCCACCTGAAAGGCGACATATCATGCCAAGAGGTGTGCAAATTTGCAATATAGGACATACACCTGTCGCAACTTCGGAGCCCCCCCTGTCACAGTGACAATAATGCCAATATCCATATATGGTAACTATTTTTTGATCACTTTGATCCAAAGAATGAGCAGAAAGACAATGATTAATTGCAAGGGAACAGCACAAGTACACGACAATGGGAACTACTGTAGCGCTACTTTGACAGCATGTTGTAGACTATGTACGAGCTAATAGAAAGCATATTCCTGAAACAATAGAGACATAGTGAGCAATACGAGAGAGCATGTGTGATAGCAATAGAAATGAATGCAAGTGAAGAGAACATTGAGCAACTGAGGCGGTAGGCTGCTGAAGTCAAGTCTGAGCAGTGCAAGTGCACTTGGCAGGCTTGTAGCTAGTAGAAGTGGTCATAGAGTGTTTGACAGGACAGGAACTTGATGCAGGGACATTCTCCTTGTCCATCCCAGATGAAACATTTGGCGGGGTGATCCAGCGCTCCTTCAGGATGCGCGCACTGCTCTGCTCAAGATCTGTCAGCATCATATCATTGTGGGTGCTTGCAGGCAGCTCGACATCCTCTGATCTGTACCCAGGAACTGAATATTTATCATGCACTGTCATAACATGCTCGAGCATGTTGTAGCGCCAGATAGCATCAACAGCGAGAACAGGCACCTTTCGCAAAGATCTCCCAGGCTCTGGGGGGAGTACTAGATAGTACAGCATACACTTGAGAGGGAGGTTTTGGCAAGGCTTGTTCTTCGATCCATTGTCGACAGCTCCGTATTTGAAGGCATGCTGATATTTACAGCGTGTTGTCCAGGTAGGTGCGCTGCTTGCAGTGACTGTGATCGTGATGGCACACTCTGGCTGTCCTGAATGCCCACAGAACCCGCATGGATGATGCTCTCCAACCTAGTATTTGGAATAATCAGTGTTGCAAATAAACATTGTTAAAAGATGTACCTGTTCCTTCATACTGATGACCTCAGGTGTGTTGCACAATGCACGAAGGATGTGTTGACCCACATGGCATCGCATATCTGGCACCTTGGCTTCACATAGCAAACACGTTGTGACACGCTCTCCTTTGGATGCTGTTAACAGGCTGTTTGCCTCAGCCGAGAACACTGCAACAGTCCCTGAAACACAAGAAAATCATCAGAAACAATGTGCAACATCAAAGAAAATGAGACTTACCGTCAGAGAACTGGTAAGGGAAAGATTTCACATCTAATGGCGTGACTGATGCAATAGACCTGAGTGATAGCTTCATTTGAGTGGTTTTTGCCCAGATGAGATCGCAGGCAGCTTGCATAGCATCTCGAGGGATCTGCCATGTACTCTGGCCACTGTTGACTTGAGAAAATGCATCGCTGTTGACATCTCCACGTAGGCGAATGAAAGTTGGTTCAGGATTCATGGGTTCCATGAGAGGACCCAGAACAGTGACAACAATGACACGCACTGTGGAGTCAGATGTTCCTTGTATAATCAATCGAGCAGTGACATATCCCCCATCCCACAAGAACATCTAAGTGGCATCAGGCGAAGCGTTGGTTGGAATGACACTGAGGAGCTGTCCTGTGATTTTTGCAGTGGAACGCAAAGATGTTGTAGAGCGAAGGACACCAATGGAAAGGTTATGACCAGAGCAAAGGATTGTAAGAAAAATATCCCCGACAAGGAATAAATTCCTGTCCATGGTCTGTCCTGCGGACATATCAATTCATTTATTCACCTTTGTATAGCCTTCCCAGACATGCTCTAGCCGATTGAGACACTTTGATATGAAGTCCTTGTTGATGACAAGTCGACATATAGTCTGCTTGTGGATCCAGCATCCATCATATAACACGTAGTCATCTGGGCGTATCCCAGGTCCATGTGGCAATGATGCAGAAAGCACGTCTGCAGGAGGGGGTTCACTGAAATACTCAGAAGGAGCATCAGCAGGAGACTCGTTGATCAGCGCCCCTTGAAATGTCAGCATGATCTCGTCTTCTTCTACACGTCCATTATACTCATCTAGCTGAAGCATATCGCCATCCTCAGTTGACAAGATGGTCTCCAAACATTGTGAGGGTGATGAGCTTGTAACAGGTGGGGGAAGTTCTGGTACATGGCTTGGGTCTTCGAGTTCCTCCTCCAGTTGTGATGCCGAAGTATTTGTTCTGTCCAAACGGACGCAGCATGTCGACGTTAGGGTTGTTGAAATGATCAGCAAAGGAATAATAAACCAGATCAAGCTGTGATGTGATGAGAATGGAGAGCACTGAATCACGACCATTGCACCACACCAATGGGAGATCACATCTGTTTGCGACAATATCACCCTTCCAGATCTCGTGATTGATATGATCAACTCCCTCGTGGCGTGTAAGTTTGAGGCGTCGATGACCCGGATCAAGCTTGGGATGATGTTTAAAAACACCATCAATATCCTTTGCAGCACCAAGACGATTGATGGCCTGAGCATAAGAGCATGCTGAGTTGTGTCCCCCAATCATATGTGTACGACCAAAAAGGATCTCAAGGGGGTCGTCTCCAACATCACTAAGGTAAAAGCGAGCGCACAGGGTCCAGTGACTGTTGCTTGGCTAGAGAGAAGCAAGCATTCTTCACCACGGTTTGAGTGTCATAATAAAGCTGATAGGACATGAATGAGTGTCAATGAGCGTGAAAAAATGTGTAAGCCAGGTGCACATAACAACTGAGGTATTGGAATTGCTCAGACAGAGAGAGAGACATTGATAAAGGGAGTAAGAATTGATTCAAGCAGCACACTGAGAAGAGAAATTGAAATAAGGTCGGCATGAGTGTCAACTGCGAGGGAAAATGAGTCGTTCAAGACATGGCACTGAGATTTTGAGAACTCGATGATAGCAAGCATGAGTTCGACAGCACGAGGGACATCTTGGGGATCGTCAGGGTGAAGGAGTTTTGTTACTGCTGCTTCATCATAGGCGGGCAACCACACCAGATACCGTGCAAGCATCATTGAATTTATGACATGGCCGTTGTTTAGGACTATTCCCCCAGGTGCCCAAATAAGTGTACAAATGCCTAGATTCAATTAAATAAATGTTAGTTGTTATGATGTTCATAGTGGAAAGAAGCACTTACATTTGAAAACATGCTTGAAGTCAAAATCAAGTGTGATTTCACCTTCACCCATGAATCAATTGAGTCCTGGCAAGTTGACGAGCATCCCATACAAACGTGATTCAGGAGGTAGTGGGAACCTGATGAATAACTTATGACCAGCAGCATGCCTAGTCACATCACCATCTGTCACTAATGACCAGATTGGGCTGACGGACTCTGACGCGCCAGTCCTGTTCCAGCTACCAATGACATGGGCAAGGATGTGTTCCATATCAGAGGCATCTTCAGACTTGCAGGTGGGTGCCGCTAAAATAGGATAGATCTCGTCTTTGCCAAAGCAAGAGATGCCGATCACTGTGAGTTCCTTCCCAAGGTGAAGTTCACCATCGTGAATTTTTTGTGCTATGTGCATGGCAGACTTGTACGTGTGGAGGATGGGTTCTACAACATGGGAATGCTTCCAGCAAAGTCCCCCGACCTTATTATACTTGCTAAAGTGAACTGCCATCTCCTTGAGGGCAATTTCATCAATCATCAGACTGACACCGCACAATGATGCGAGTGACAAGTGTGCATGCATGGTCATGATGATGTTCCGAATATTCTGGTCAAACTGCTCATCTCGTATAGGACCAATGGTTGGCACAATTGAGGTGAAGGTCAATTTGGAACGGAGAGTATGGAGAGAGGGGAGACTGAGTGATTAATTCAGCGCGAACAGGAGCTGGCGCCCACCGAGCTTGAAAACAAGAGTTGTGATGTCAAGGCCATTGGCACCATAACCTCGAGGGGTGTATGCACCCTCGAGAGCATCCTCATGCTTATTAACAACCTCCCACACACTGGAACCATGACATAGAGCAACGTCGATGATTTGGTGGATGTGGGGGATATCTTTTTCAGATATGGCCATAAGGAGCCGATTGTAGTCGTCCAGTTGGGTGAGAGATCACATATATTTGCGAGAATGATTGAGTTCCTATTTAGCGTCAGTTAAAATACTTATCTGAAACTATGTAAACGTACCTGCAATCTCAGCTGCTTAATTTGTTCAGCATATGTCTTTGCAATATCTTGCATGTGTCCAAGGCCAAGATACTTGTAATTAGTGTGGTGCTTGGGATCGTGAGCTATTTCAGAAAGGTACATTATGTGTCTGTGCACGTCAGAACACTCATTGCATGGTAAGCCCTGGAAAGACGTATGCATGCAATACTTTGATCGAGCATGAGGAACACTCGGCTGCATGCTATTGATAGTGAAAGGCAATGTGTCAGGGCCATCATGATACTGACTCCAGGGGAAGAGCATGAGGAATGGACATAGGTCGTCTGGCCAGACGACAGTGACTCCAGGACAGTCGTTGAGGTGAGAGGAGGAAACAAGATGGCTTGAAAATTATTTGGTAGTAGTAAGTATGACTCATTATGAACTAGAGCCGAAATGAAATCAGAAACATACCTGTGATCTGAGGTAATAATGGATTGGGAAGGCAAGAATGTGGTGATAAGGGACTCAGAACACGATAATGATCAAACATCATCAATCTGAGCTTGCTCCATCCGTCGTTTAGCCTGTATGCATCGCTTGCTGCCTCGATGACTGACCAAGGAGCTGAATTGGCCTTCATACCAAAGCACAATGCCTGAGGGTATGCTGGTCTGGCACCATTCCTTGCAGTCAGGACAACGAAGGGTCCATCTCGGACCGGTGCTGTCAACCTTGAGGCCATTTGCCCTGAATACATCATACAGCGCCTCGGCAGTATTTAATCTGAGTGCTGCATCAATGTCGAAGTCTGGAGGTAGGGCGATTGATGGTATATGCGGGAACTCTGACTCTTGGGAATCACATCTACCGTCGGAATCCCAGTGATCAGATAGTGTATCAGGCGAAGTATAAGATTCTGAATGGTACCCATCTACTAAATCTTCAGGGTGTAGTTGTACTTGGAAATCTATGGTGGGACTGCAAGAATGTCCAGATATATTAGAATCATTAAGAGACATGCAATTTGATCTGTGCTGCGAAGTTTTATTTGAGTCGTTACTGATACTGGGTGCTGAAGTGTCATAAACTAATGGGAACCGGCCTGCATGTGATGAATGAGTGTTAGAGTACATAATAAACAAAAGTGTGTCTTTGAAAATGACAGTTGGTGGGCTGACAGGACAGAGAGGGTATAAGATTGGTATAAGAGTTGTAATAAGACGCACATTATTGATATCAGATGTGACTTGATATCAAAGTCACATGTTCTCACACATGACATCCAAAATACTGGATTTTAGTGAGCAACACCCTGTAACACGTGTTTTTCATTGATGTAACTATCACAATGTGTTCTATGCTAGCAAACCCCCCCCTCTTGGTCTTCAGTCAACAATTCTACTAACTTCTGACGCCACTATCGAGGAACTCAGAATGGTCTGCTGGCAACTTCAAGTGGCTGTGTATTAAGGTTTAAAAGCTTATCTAATGGTGGGCTGTATGTTCAGCATTTCCCTTTTGCACACCTCTTGTGCCCATTGCACTGCTGTTTGACACTACAAGAATTGTAAATTCAGTCCGCAGGATGGGACTCATGTTTTGGTTCGTGTGTGACAAACAGTTGTAGTGATGGTGTGTCATCTTCGACTACATGCGCTACTTTTGCTGATAGCTCGGACTTGTCCTTAGACTTGTCTTTGTCCCCATCGCTACTGTCCTTGTCCACAGATTTGGACTTATCGGCCTTTTTCTTTTGACAATCTCTCTCCCAATGACCTGGCTTCTTGCAATAGTTGCAGTTGCCAGGTTTCCTTCTTCTTGTCAGTCTTCAAATTCTCCTTCGACCTGTCCGAAGTTTTGGCTACAAGAGCCATCTGGGAATCCAAACCTCGACATGATTTCTCCTCGACTAAGATCTGGCTTATAGTGCCTTTGATCGTGATTTTGTCACTTGTCGACATTAAAATTGTTCAGAGGGTCGAGTAGGAAGTAGGGAGTGATATGACCATTGCTATGGCTACTAGGGAGTCGTCTAGGGCCTGTCCAAGTGAGTTCAGCACTTGGGCCTTCTGTCGCATCGAATTGAGCTGTGGTTCCATAGGAGAATTGTCCAAAAGTGTTCCACAAAACAATTCGCCTATTAGATAGGCTATGCTTTGCTTGCCTTTCCCTTTGTACCTCTCGCACAATTTGGTCCATGCGTCGGATGCTAATATTGTGTGTAGGACTCCATTTAATGGTTCATCTTTCAGCGTCAATGTGATCTGTGCATGTGCTTCCTCATTTTTCTCTAGCCACTCATTTAGTGCATCTGGGTCTGTGGCAGGTGGCTTCACCTCCACTCCAGTGACTAGATCCCAGAGTCTTTGTACTGTAAGTACTTTCCTTGCTCGAAATTTCCAGTTCTGAAAATTTGACCCATCGTTCTCCAGTGATGGCATATCATAGAGCCAATTCAAGGCTTGAATAATTTTCTTTGAGCTGGATGCTGATGAGGCAGAGGGATTTGGGTGTGAACCATGGGTTTGCGGGATTGACTGGGTTGTTGGACATTGTGCGAGAAGTAGGATAGAGTCACTACTAGGCTATTTGTTGACTGAGCTTCAGTCAGGGCTCATAACCTTTTGTTCATTGTGGCGACACACGGAAAAAAGGAACTAAAAGAAAGGAATGTATACTTCAGTCTCATGCTAATAGAGCAACGGACTAACTAACCTAAAAAAAAGGAATGTATACTAGTAGAGTTAGAAATGAGTGTAAAGTATTAACGAATGTCTCACCTTCAGTCTCGTGCTAATAGAGCAGCGGACTGAAGCGTTACCAACTCTGTTTGTATGTACTCTCGTGATTAAGTAAGCTGTACTCGCCGCTTTAGGAAAATAATAAACAAAACAACACTCAAATCCTTACTACTAACCTTCCCGTTGCAGTTTTCCTTTTGTGCTTACTTGCACCGCCCCACCAGGCGATGCGAGGAGTACGTGTCAGAAACATAAGAACATATCAGCATTACAAAAACACAACAATACGAAGGAAAGCATATGACGAGACATATCCAACATAGGGTCTATGACCCCAAAGGACTAAATGTGATGCAAAAGAAGAAAACACGGACGCACGGCAGATCATATGGTGTTCATATCAGTTGATCGACAGATTATCTTCCCATCAAACATGTGCATGACCTTGCTTCCAAAAGGCGAGAAGTTAACATATGTAGCAAAAACAAAATTGGTTTATAGGTCTGATGGCTATATCACGGACTCATGAATGCCCTGGTGTCCACTCAGCAAGCCACTCCTTCATGTACCTTAATGCTGCTTCCTGCACGACCCTAATAGTCGGGTCTACAATACCATTATCCGCCACCATATCCGAGGTATGGAATCCATCGCTCATATAGATCGGCATGCGGGTAGTGTTGGGCTTATTCAGCCCATCAGCAGAGACAGTTCCCCCGCGCCAAGGGTCGCGCAGGCCGTTGGCGAAGAACAGACGTGGGACATCCACATTCCAGCCAGCGTACATTGCGTTCGTCTCTGCTGTGGCAGGTTGAGGCGGATAAGCGAATACTTCAGGGAACATGTAGACACATTGACGCTGATGATTATGTTGAAGAAGGCTCATGTCACAAACCTAATTATATACGTACCTCGTCGTAAATGGGTTGAAGGATTCTGCTGACGATCGCGGGTTGGCCTTCAGGAGGCCCAACCTGGTAGAAACCGATTTGGTTGCACCTAGTAGGATTGTCAGATTAGATATTAATGCAGATGAGAATGCATACACCATCCAAGACCATGATCTGAAGGCATTATCCACAGTAATATTAGTCCAGTAGATGTCAGTCGGATTATACGTCTCCAAACAATCTCTGGCTTCACCGTCAGTACGAACAATATCACATCTCAAAAGAACACGTACTCAATATCTTGAACCTGACAAACTTCATCATCCAGATTAGCCATGTGAATCAAAAACCGAACGGACGATCGTACTATACTCGTAATATGTAGTATTCCAAAATTTTCCCCAAGAGTTGACAGCATTATCAAGTCCCCACCCGTCAGGTCCGGCATTGATACCGTCCTTGACCTCGAGTGCATCGCAGAACTGATAGAACATTGTGTTTGGGCCGGAATCAGGTGACAGACCTTGCCAATCCCAAAAGTTGTCTTGAACTATTGTTCCGAGGAGTGTCAGTTAGGACAAAAGACAATAGGCCAAGTTGGGAAAAAGAACATCGTCCAAGGACCCATATATAAATTCGTAACCAAACGGGTGACGCGACATGAATAAGAATGTTAAACTAATGCAAAACAAAATGAAAGGCGTCGTTGGCGCGAATCAGATGATGTATAGGTGTCCGTTCTATGCAAGTATTTGAAACTGAATGAAACACAAGGACGACTCACGTGCGCTGGCGAAATCGTCAACGTGCTCAAGGCTGCCGAGGCCAAATGCCTCCTGGAGCGTCTTGATTCCAGCTATGTCGTTAGCCGCGTACATTCCATCCAGGTAGGCGATCACTTTCTGTACATCGGAAGAACAGTTCTGTGGCATGTACTCGCGAATAGGTGTGAAATAATCATAATAGTCACTAATTTTGGTCGAGAAGAAGCCGGAAATCAATATGTCAGAGGTGATCGTAAAGGAAGAGAAAGGCAATTCATCACGTCAATGAAAGTGAGCGATGATTGCAATAAAGTGACATACGTGATCGTTTGCACAGTACCAGAAGATATATATCCAGCCCAGAAAATTCCCGGTTTGCTTTGAGTCGATTATTACACTGACAAGTGGGATCCGTTTGCGGCACTCACTTGACCATCGTATAACTGGCAAGGGCTCCTGAGTAGCTTCCTCCGACCAATATCCATGGTGCCTGACTTGGTTTCACGGCATCACCCCCAGGCATTGGAAGGTCAGCGGTGGTGGCGAAATACACGAGATCGTCGATAGCTTGCTGGACGGTGAGGAGAGCTAGAGATTGTGACGTGAGGTTGTCGTATGGATTGGAAAAACCAAAGAAACGGTGTTCTATAAGGACGGCGGCACCGTTTTGTTGTTGGGCGATGAGACCATTAATGGTGTCATTGGTAGTGTAGCCTGCGTAGTCTGAAATCGAGTACTTTGAGAGAAAGACAACAAATCGGTTATAAGGAAAACCAACCGTCTCCGTTCACTTCTCCAGGCGTCATCAATATAATGGGACCGCCTTTAATGCACACGTCAACATCACATGAAGCGCACCTCGATCCTCGCGACATACCAGACTCATAAAACTCCCAGTCCATCCAGTATCGCTGCTTGAATGTTCCCAGGCCAGGATTGTTGTGGTCGATGAGCTGGTCGAAGTGATAGACGGTCGAAATATTTGGGAGTGTTGCATCATTCGACGAAGTGAAATAACGTTCCGGCACTGGAAGTTTGTGGAGAGAAGGCATCCCACGAAGCCTAGCGTTGGGAATGGCTGCTCGGGCGATGCCTACAAGTAGCAGCAACATAAGTGTCCACATCTTGATCGCAAGTGTTGGATTACACGACGTGATCTTGTCAGAGAAGGGGCATTTATATGCCTGCCAGGATGTGCAGCGTAACCAGGCCGATCAGTGACTGAATTAAAACTGGTCAACGATCCGTCATAAATTGGCAAATTACAGAAAATGCATCAATCTTACCTGTGAATAGCTTGGCGAGAAAATTTTGAAAAGTTCACCGCTTGAATGAATGGAGAATGCCAGCGTGCCCTGGGAATCATCTGACAGCGGATACATAGAAACTGCTTATGCCAGCATAGTACTAGATGTTCATCTCCCCAATTTGATACTGCAGGAGAAGTGGGCAGAGCGCACGATTTGTTTCCGATGCCTTCATAAGTTTCGTTGTCTGCTGACTTCAGTTGGCTTGCAGGTCGTCGCTCCGTAAATACGCAATTCTTGGGACCCAAGCCGGGCATTGTAGGCTTGAACTGGGAATGCTACAGATTATTAAAAAAAAAAAAAAAAAAAAAAAAAAAGTCTAGAAATGAGCGCTGAAATGCCAATGGGATTACGAAGTGACAGGCGAGGAAACATTGAAGATGGACAAGTAGAACTTCGATGATGCGCGAAAACGCAAAACCAGAGTGCACAAGTCTGAAATCTGGGACTCGGAAGTTGGAGCACATTGTAGATTAGTCTTCAGTAACACGGTTGAAGACAACGATAACCAAGTGACTTTATATTGATCATGTAAAGTCCTTCAAGGCAGCGATGTAGAGTCCAGAGTACTTATGTGGCAAGCAACAAGCAGGTGTTGTGAGTCAATTTGCTGCTTAGCGTAAATTTGGAACGTCACGGCAGATGCCGCAGCCGCAGCATTTTCCTCTTGCCCGTTGTACTACTGTTTGACACTACGAGAATCGCAAAATCAGAGAAGTGGAAATGGACGAGTCTGCATAGTAATATCATAGAGTATACGACCTACTCGGTTGAAAATGTGGATCTAGCACAAATGGCAGATGTCTCATTGTGGCTGCATCAATCCAGTCACCACCCCTCGACCTCGTTGGACGTTTGAAGGTCATGATGGTGCCATAGTCGCAATTGCGACTCCTCACAGTCTTGCCCGATAAACGATGAATGGTCACTGAATCATACGTCTTCTCTGTGTGCTTTAATTACTGGGAGTAAAATCGAAGGAGAATGTTGTATTCAGAAAATCAGGAATAGGGACACTCTGGAACCTTGCGATCGATCCTGCTGACCGCTTCGCGTACAAGGGCAAGTTCCGCGTCGTCTGCTTAGAGTACGAGGTGTGAAAGACCGAAGACGGGGTAAGTTTAAACACCGTTGGATGACAAAGCCCACCACCGAATGTAGCTGTCCTTCTTGCCGATCTTTCTCATCTGCCCCACCTGCCCGCTCCCCTTCCTGCATGCCTGTGCCCGCCTCATTATGTCTTCAGTAGAGCAAAAGGTCCTTTACTAGTAAACTAGCGCGGCGCATGATCCTTGTAAGTTCGATAAATAAGGTATGTGCTAGTTGGATTCCTTTGGAATGAACCCAGTGCCAGCAGGAACACTTTCGAAGAAGCAGAAATGCCAGGGAAAGGCACATAGGGCAGAATGCAGATGAACTGTAAAGGTGAGCAGACCTACTACTACCAAGTCCACAACGTGAATGATACCGGAGCATGCACCCATCCCCATTGCCACCATTGGCGTTGAACCATCAACTTCTATGCATGTGCAAGTACCTGTTCCTGTTTTTACACTCACAAATCGAAACAGGCGCGTTTTCTTTGACGAGCTCTCCATGTACGAGTCCGTATCGTATCATTTCATTTCCAATAAGCGCTTTCGAAATGATTTTTGATTGCTGCTCTTCCTTTGCTGAATGTTAATTGCGTCCAATACCTCTGGGAAAGCAAGTCCAGCCACCACCTGTTGCCTCTTGTCGCACACGATATCCAGCAATGACTTCGTGCAACCTCTCACTGCCCACAGCCACTACACAGGACCGTAACATGCTGTAACCTGTGTCAAACTAGCTATGCTTTATTTTGTTTCATTTTTTCACCAAGTGCTATATTTGATAGTAATCTCACATGATGTTATTGACTATCTTGGATGTGCGCAGCAGTCAAGAAACCAGAATGTCTTTAAGGCATATTCTATGGTTCCACGCTGAGCGACCCTACAATGTAACAATTTTTGATGCTCGGGCAGGTGCCCTTGATCATGAGGCGTTCGCCAGATATCACGAGATAGTCGATAGTCCGACGATATCGGTGATGTACACCGTCCATAGTATGACGTACGTATGATCGGGAAACTGATGGTCAAATGTGGGTCTGGACGAGCGCTTGACCGGCCCAGGAGGGGGCACGTGCACGTTTGAATGATCGGAAGTCCGAAAATTGGATCTATCAGAAAGAGTACAGCTGTAGCTGATAAGTACTTATAGAGGCTTCTCTCACTAAGGTTTCAATTACGAACCTGACCTCAGTGCTCCACGAGGCTACTTATACTATCAGTATGTGCTTCAACCGAAAGCATTCAGTCTAACCATTGTCTCCGTCCGCAAAATTTGTACTCGCATGTGGTAGAAATGAATCCACTGGTGGCAAGGCTCCTCGATTCATGCTTCACCATGGTGCACACTGCACAGTAGGATCATCGTCAGTTAAATCACCAAAGGCTTCGTTGACTGGGCGATCCTTGAGCTGATGGCGTGTCGCACGTTGGACTGCAATGCACCGTGCAAAGTGATCATATGCGAAAGGAATGGGCAGGACGAGATAAGAGGGATCGCGCCTAGCAACATGCAAGTAAGATACGGCGCACACTGATCAATACGATCATTTATTGATAGATCACGTATGTAATCCTTACGATCGACTGAGATGACCTGGGTTGAGTTGTGCACGTCGTTGGGCGCATAACAGAGGTACGTACTTCATGCAGTAAGGTAAGGTTTAAGACACAGGTTCGACCTTGAAGATGGAAAGTAGATGCCAATTCGCGTCAGGATGCCGTCTTGAATTTTGATACTCTCATCAGTCGATCTTCCCGGAGTGGGTTTGCCCTCAGCAACATTTCCCATGATGCTGAGTTTAAATGTTCAGGAGGCTGTAGCCGCAGTAAAAATCGCGGAGTTTGAAGTAATCCCACCTTCCGCTTTCGAACGCTACTAATGACTCCGAGAACCGAAAGCTAGGAAAGATTATGATTGCGGACAACCAAATACCACCAATTTTGGATGACACCTAAGACTGATTTTTCCTGGTGCCACAAATGACTGGGAACCCATTCGCGCTCCAGCCATATTTAAGCTCAACCAACTCACCATCATGATTAACTCCATAACGATTCACTTTTTCATCTGATCATCTACGGACTCAGCTTAAACTTGATTGTTCTGTCCCTCTCGTTAAATACCCTTGAAGGTGTGCTACAGGCCCACTTCGATGTGGTGCGTCTCCTGCCAATCTTGGCCCCTCCACCGAAACGAATGTATTCTGGGAACCCATACCCAAAATTTTGCCACTCCACCAGTTAGTTCTGTTGTCCTCTTCTCACCAGAAGGAGGTGAATCTCGACGCACTGTCTCATTACAGCAATACTCATGAATTGCAGAGCATCCAAATATCATTACAGTCGAATGCCGTCCGTCGAAAATCCTCTCGCAGGGTATGCGCCCCCAACCTCTCGTCAGTGGACATTTTCCGGATGCCCAAGCGGAAAGCATTATCTTGACGCAAGATTTCAATGGAGAGCCACTCAGATTTCCCCTTCATTTGTGGTACCTCCCGACTGCACTATTGACTTACGCACCCATTCACATCAATCCCATTGCCATTCATCCCACTGGCACATCCGTCGTTTCCGCATTCGAGGAGGACACACATGTTCGCTTCTAGCAGCTCTCAGGTCGACAGACCATCGCCATTTTCCAACACCCACACTTGACGGACTGCGTCACTTGTCCCATGGATGACAAACACATCCTCGATGATGATATTGATACGATGACAATACCCAAGGATGCTTTACCAGAGGAAGCTATCAATCCACCGACATCAAAGGTATTTATTTTCCTGATGTTTGCTCGTCCATGCCCTATCTCATATCTCGTCTTTTTTTAATTCGAAGGTTCAAGACTCCAATTCAAGGGCACGTCTAAGTGTTTTACTCTGAAAACGCAATTTGAGCATGATTCATGCCGCAGATTCTCGCCATCGACACGCCCGCCCGCAATGCATGCATCGCGGGGGACTTGTCTACTGCTGAAAAAATCCTCACACAAGAGATCAATGCTGATACCAACAAGTACGCCCCGTATGCTAATCGCTCATTTGTTATGGCACGTAAGCACCACTGGGACCGCGCACTCCAGGATGCGATCAAGGTAAGATATATTGACCCACCACAGACCATTATGAGAAGCTAACTCTCATCATGATATAGTCCATCAGCATTCAGCCCTCCTTGACAGGTTGTATCTCCAAGGGCATCGCCCTCAGCGGAAAAGGGAACTTTCGGGATTCAATGCAAGCATTTGATCTCGCATTCACGTTCGCAAACGAAGATTCAAAGATCATTGTTTTCCTTCTCTTGATCAAGGCACGTTGAATTTTTTCTGACATGCTCCTTTCTTCATCGTGTTCAGGCTATCGCCATCTTCAATGCCGGTCGGCATGAGGAAGCAATTATACGTGTGCAAGAGCTCGCTGCCACTTGCCAGAATGATATCCTTACATGTCGTGTCGTAGAAGTGAGACTCGATAATGCCTAGGCTCATGTATTGATACTGATTTTCTGCACTCCGGATTTTAGGCATACTTACGGGTCTAACTGGTAATCATTGCCTTAGATGGAGGGCGCCACAATGAAGCTGCTGACCACTTCACCGCAGCTGTCGAGATGAACATTTTATCATCTCGATCAGCCATTCATTCTAGATACGACGACTTTGTAGTGGTACGTTGTATGTAACCGAAAATATTTTCATGCTCAACTGGGTGTTTCATTGCAGCTGTTCGGGTGGGACCTTGCATCGTTGTGGATGACTGCAAACCAGAAACGTTGTCATGCACTCATTCGGGGAGGAACACTTTGGGAAGCTATCAAATCGTACCAGCATATGATGGATGTAGATGACATAACTACGAAGACTAACTCCCTTGGTTGGTCTAACAGCAAGTCTTCAGTCATGTCACCCATATTACAATCCTGACCTGTATTTTATCCAGTTTTCAAGCAAGAATGCAGCGCGCTCTGTACTGCCAACGGAGATGCTGCCTTTGTTGCAAACAATTATGAGAGGGCTATCGACCTGTACTCAGCAGCGATTGAGTTGTGTTCTGCATCTGATGTCATCTTTGCAAAGCGCTGTAAGGCCAAGTTGGGAAAAATGTTATGGATCGAAGCACTTCATGATGCGCAAAAGGTGTGATGATATTTTATCATGTCGTAATCAATGCTTATTTGGTGGTACTAGGTCATCGAACTCAATCCTTCATCATATCTTGGTTATAATTTGAAGCACACAGCGCTTCATGGTGCACAACGTTATGATGAAGCAATCCAGGTCTTCCAAATTATGATGACCAAATTGGACGATGCCACTGACGTTCCGACTCAAAGTAAGCTCCCAATAATGCAAGTGTTGACATGCTCAACTCTTTTGCAGAGCTGCGCCAGCAGTATCTTAGTCCATCCGAAGCAACATATGACATTCAAAAGGTCACTGATGCTCAATTAGAAGACGCTCCATTTCGTGTACTCGACACCACCACCGGGCTTTTATGCGACCGAGAGGCGCAGATAAGCGCCTTCGAAACGAGTGTAGAGTACAAGGAGCTTGTGTCATCAACAATCGCGCATCCAGACTCCAGAATGAAACCTATCAAAGAAATCGTCGCGACGTACTTTGGTTATGCCATGCTGTCACACAGGTGGGAAGGGAAGGAGCCATCGCTGCAGGATATCCAAGACAAGGTCTTGTACGAGCTGGATCCAGTTGGCGGCATGGTGAAGTTTGCAATCATTCTGCAAAATTGCTCGCCGCGCGGGGTATCGCTGGGCGTGGAGCGATACATGCTGCATCGACAAGAGCGACAGTGTCGAGCACCAAAAAACAATCAACTCCATGTTTGCTTTATATCAACACTCAGCGCTCACCATCATCTACCTTTCAGATGTCCCACCCTCATCAAAGTCCGGCGCATTGGCAAATAGCGCTTGGAATACACGCGGATGGACAGCTCAAGAACTCCTCGCTTCTAAAGTCATTCTCTTTTTTCAGAAGGATTGGAGTCTATACCTCGACGATCATTCTCCCAACCACAAGGAGTCCATTGCGGTCATGCAGGAGTTGGAGTATGCGACGGGCATAGACCGACAGGCCATTTTAGCCTTCCGTCCCGGGATGAAATGTGCCAGAGAGATATTCCAATGGGCTTCGATACGTGTCACAACATTGCAGGAAGACACCGCTTACTCACTATCCGGCGTCTTCGGCGTCCGCCTACGTGTGGATTATGGTGAAAAGAAGCAGTGCGCGCTTGGGCGGCTTCTGCGGAAGGTCATAACTCAGTCGGGCGATATCACCGCCCTAGACTGGGTTGGGAAACCATCAGAGTTCAATAGCTGTCTACCAGCCGATATCCTTTCGTACAAAGCTCCTCCATGCAAGCTGCCATTTCTATCAGAAGAAGACATTCAGTCATCGGTCTCTTCACTGCGGGGTGCAGTGTCTCTAGAGTCGGCTTCGAGGTTGTATCATACACTTGACTGCCTGAGCGCTCCACGATTCGTGCACCGCCGGTTGAATCTGCCTTACATTGTGTTCCCTGTCACAGAAGTCAGGTGTAAGCCTGGCCAAAACAAGGAGATTCATTTCACGTACGCAGTCAAGGCAGATGAGCTTCATGACCTGGACATAATCACGGAAAACAAGCTGCCTCAATTCTCCCGAGCAACGCCGCTGCCAGCTTGGCGGACGTTCTTGCTTGTGCGCACATGGACCCGTCATCTCCTTGAGCTTCCTGACCCCGCGGACGATACAGAGAGCGTGGAAGATTGGTCCGTGTCCGAATCTACGCTACTTCCTTCGGAAAATGAGCCCGTTGATTCGGAGTCTCACTCCCGAGCATTGCGATTGATGGTTCGCCTTGGACAGCCGTTTGGTGCATTTTTGCTTGCGCGGCAGCGCGACAGAGCATACAAGAGAATCGCGTCAGATCGTAATATAATCGCTCACGTCAAAGACATGGCGGCCGTTGACGGTATGATGGACATCAAGACGCTAGAGATAATGTAACTGCACGTATTAATTTTAATTTGACAGAAATCTTCGAGAAACAGTACCTGTATACATAAATCCTTCATACTATTTGCATTGCACATTAACTCACAACAGAACCACCCAAAATCTGTATCCCCTAACCGATAAATTTTAGTTTGTTTTGCGACATACGGAGCAGTCTGTTCGTTCACCGCGTTCGCGTCGCTGCCATTCACCGTCGAATCCAAACTCAAGTCAGCAGATATCTCTGCAGTTGGGCGCAGAACTCAGGCCTCCCAGTCGCTCCCACTTCTCTCTAGAGGCGCATATATATGTTGCACAGAAAATAAATACTGAACCAATTAATTGAAGCTCTTCGATGTAAAAGTGATCCATCAAGCAGAAGGCTTCCACTCAGCAAGCCACTCCTTCATGTACATCAATCCTGCTTCCTGCACGGCCGCAACTGTCGCGTCTACAATGCCGTTCTGTACCACCAAGTCTGTGCAGTGGAATCCATCGCCCACGTGGATCGGCATGCTGGGAGTACTGGGCTTATTCAGCCCATCAGCAGAGACAGTTGCCTCGCGCCAAGGGTCACGCAGGCCATTTGCGAAGAAGAGCCGCGGGATGCTCACGTCCCAACCATCGTAATTTGCGTTCGTTTCTTCCGTAGTAGGCTCAGGTGGATAGGCGAATGCTTCAGGGAACATGTTGACGCATTGACGCTGAAGATGATATCGATGAATGGTCATCTTTGAAATCATATTCTACATACCTGTTGATAAAGGGGTTGAAGGATGCGGCTCACGATGGCAGGCTCGCAATCCGGAGGGCCAACCTGATACCATCCGACTTGGTTACACCTAGAATGATGGTCAGCATGGACACTGAAGCGAATGAAAACACCTACACGATCCAAAACCATGACCTGTTTGCATTATTCACGGTGGCATTAGTCCAGTAGGGCTGACTCGTATCATACGTCCCAAGACAGGTTCTATCTTGACAGTCAGCCAATCCGAACGACTACGCCCAAGGATACGTACTCGGCATCCTCAGATCCACAAACTTTACTATCAAATTTAGCCACGTCAATCAGAATCAAGGGGACTGCCTACCATAGTTGTAGTATGTGGTATTCCAGAAGTTTCCCCAAGAATAGATGGCGTTTTCAAGTCCCCATCCTTCAGGTCCGGCACTGACACCGTTCTTGACCTCGAGTGCATCACAGAACTGGAAGAACATTGCTCCTGGACCGACAGTAGGCTGCAGAGATTGCCAATCGAATAGGTTATCTTGAACTGTTGATCCGAACAGGGTCAGTAAGGACAACAAAGTGATAAACCCGTATTCTCTGACATAGACAACGAGGACAACTCACGTGCGGTGGCGAAATCTCCTATGTGTACAACGTCGCCGAGGCCAAATGCCTCCTTGAGCGTCTGGATTCCAGCAGTGTCACCAACTGTGTACATGTAATCCAGGTAGTTGATCACTGCTTCTACGTCAGCAGAACAGTTCTGTGGCATATATTCGCGAATCGGGGTGAAATAGTCATAATAGTCACTGAATTGGTCAGAGTCATCAACAAGAAATGAGCAGTGATTGCATACAAGCGACGTACGTAATTGCCTCAACAACACCGGAAGATGAATATCCAGCCCAGAAGATTCCCGGTTTGCTTTGTGTCTATCACTATACTGAAATAATAGAGTTACTTCTTAGCTCACTTGACCATCGTCCAACTCGTGAGGGCTCCTGAATAGCTTCCTCCGATCAGTATCCACGGTGCCTGACCTGGTTTGACAGCATCACCCCCAGGCATGGGAAGGTCAGCTGTGGTCGCAAAGTATACGAGATCATCAATGGCCTGTTGGATGGTGAGGAGCGCGAGAGACTGTGACGTGAGGTTGTCGTATGGATTGGAATAACCAAAGAAACGGTGTTCGATGACGATAGCTGCACCACCATTCTGTTGTTGAGCAATGAGACCGTTGACGGTTTCATTTGTAGTGTAGCCTTCGAAGCCTGATGAAAATCGAGTATTTCAGAGAAAGGCGTAAATTGACTTGGAGTAACACGGCACTCACCATCTGCGTTGGATTCTCCGGGTGTCATCAAGATAATGGGGCCACCTTCAATGCATTTCATTAACACCGACTGCACTTCGATCCTTGCCACATACCAGGCTCATAAAACTCCCAGTTCATCCAGTATCGCTGTTTAAAGGTTCCGAGGTCTGGATTGTTGTGGTCTATAAGCTGGTCAAAATGATAAACGGTCGTAATGGGTGGGAGCGCTGTGCCATTCGATGAAGTGAGGAAACGTTCAGGCACCGTGATTTTTGGGAGAGAATGCATGCCACGAAGCATAGCATTAGGGATAGCTGCTCGGGCGACAACTGCAAGTAGGAGCGACGTAAGAGCCCACATGATGTCGAACCTCGATCGCAGGGATGGGATTAAACAACACCGTCGAGCAAAGTCTTTTTATAGTCATGGGAGGATGCATAAGTAGGTGCGTGTGCTGTTCCTCGACGCGTAAGAAAAGCTGGGAAGGATATAATTGGACGCAGCTGCAAGTTTGTCAGTCGGGCTCGGTTAATCCCAAAAGAATCCGATGATGGATTGACACCTAGGCAGCATTTTTTCACAGTCTTTCAGATCAAGTTTCTTTACATGCGCTAACCTGTCTCCCTCCTCAGAGAAGCTCCAGCCCATTTTCTCAAGTTTCTCGTCAGGTTCTTCTCCAGCTACGTGGCCGCCCTTAGTGAGAGTCGAAGAAGAGTTCTGTAATGCTCACTCCTCACCCCACAAGTCCACTGGGAGGAGTAAGTCGCGAGGAACGTTTCGAGATGTTCTGGAAGAAAATTTCGAGGAATGGTCTTCGTAGATCAGTCAAATTATACGAACGTCCGGCGTATGTCACCACGTTGCCTATATACCAAATGTGCATTGTGCCATTCTTTCCTTCGCACGTCAATATCCAAGTGTTTGGACCTAAGGAAAGCGTGACTGCTGTGGAAAGACCTGAAATTTAGCTGGTGGTTGCTGGACAATGTGGTGGTCGGAACGGGAGGGGAAAAGGTGACTCAGTGGGAAAGTATTATCCTGCAGAAGAAGCTAGATATGACGCGCCAGAAACACCATGGGAACAACTCATGCTGCAAAGCCTGGCTCCAACTCTGACAATCCCTTCCCCAAAACCCCCGGTTGTAGCTCTAACACTAGATTTTTTCGGATTAGGCCTAGAAAACCCCGCTTGTGGTCGAAGTGAATACGCTGGTGGATAACTGCTCTATTGGATTAGATTCCGGTAGATCTACAAGAAAGTGAGAAATGGGGTCTATACCGCAGTAAAGTTATGCATGTGAGACTGACCTCCGTAAATTAGGAATTAGGGATTCCGCGTCTACTTGCAACATCCAGGTAAGCCCATTCTTGACCGATATGCTAAACGTTGGGATAGTCTCCACGTCTAATCGTAGAAAGAAGTTGGAGGTTAAAGAGCATGAGCTCGCAGACTGACAATCGGGTAGAAGATGGATGTGGAACAAGTGAATATCCAGGCAGTTCAGCTTTGGAATACCATGAAGTCCAACATACTTGCAAGTAAATGTGACTCACCTCTTAACTATGACGCCCTGATAAATACCGCAGGCACTCGTCAGTGAGCATGTTACTTACTGTATTACATTGGCAATGTTTGGCTCCGTTGAGCAGGGGAAACTACATATCATGTACCCAAAGGATAATATCAATCTCAGAATCTGCCCAAAAAAATGCTGGGGAAAAGCATGAAACGAAACACCATACTTCCACCTGCAGGACCGAGGGAGGCGGAACCAAGCACAGGCCCTGTGCATGAGCATTGTCCATCTGATATCACCCAAATATGCGGTCAGAACATGTATCTTTGAAGTAAAGCAAAGAAAGTAAGTGCATAATCAAAGGTGGCGAGGCACGTCATAACAGCCAACTATCTGTGCAGATGTACCTTGAAGTCTCTCGGAATGCAGTGACGGCAGCTACTAGGGCCACTATCCATGACCATGCCTCGGTGAGTAACGAAATGATGGATGACAGGGGAAGGACAAGGCTAGTGCACCTGCCCAGCAGAATCCCGTTATTTAAGTAGGCCTGCTCAAAACCTTACGATGCGAAAGGCAGCGGCCCATGAAGGAGTTGTCAAAAAGGGTTGTAATCCGTGCGGCTCGTAACTGCTTTGCAAATGTCAATGAGTCTGGACCTGGTGATGTTCAACATAATAGTCAGACTCAAGTGGCGTGCCAGCAGGTGAAGAGAGGAGTTTAAAATTGGGGCTGTGTTGGCCGCCAATTTTCAACCTGCATTTCGTTCGTCTATGGTACTGGTACTGAGGAATATAAAAATATCAAGATATCGACCGTCGCGATATACCGAGCAAGTAAGTACCTCCCGCATGGGTCACCGGCACCTGCTAAATTAAATTTGATAGTCCAGCAACCAGAAACGGATTCCTTCCTCCACCCAGTGCACAGCAAAAATTTGGTTTCTCTGGGCTCGTCATCGTGATCTACCCAGCTTCGGTCGACTATTTCTTGGAACCTCGTTTTTTCTCGCTCACGGACGAGCATTTGCACGCTCGCTTCTCTGCCAATTGACTTGAATTCAAATGTCCTGCTGCAACACCGCTTGGCGCACTTACGCCTAAAGTCCAAGTCCTCAATTCTTTCTCTGTGTTCAATGTTGGGAGGCGTATGGAATGGACTAATTCTGATTGGTCCTGCTTTGACGCTCTGCCACCACTGACGGTGGTAAGCAGAGTTGGTCCGTGCCGGAGTTTTCACGCGATCCGCTCAGCGTCTCCCGGAAAAACAGAGTCAGTCGATTCCAACTCACACGATACATCGTTCGCCTTGGACATGTCCATATAGAATACAAGATAATTGCGTCAGATTGGAATGTCGATGCGCAAGGGCTCCTGATGCAAGAGTTCAATTTGATGGCAGAGGTCACTCACGATACACTGCAGCTAACGTTTTTGTTGGGGGAAGAACGGATATATCTAAGGGTGGTTCGTGACGTATTTGACAGGGTATTTCCAACACCCTCCTGTATTCGGTGAACCCTGGTAGACCAGCATGTACGCAGACTGAAATCTATCTCATTGCTTTTTGCCTGAATAGTGAGAATACTAGCAACTTTTGCGTACTCTTTCTTGACATCCTATGAGTGGGAACGGGTGAACTTTAAATTGAAGATAAATACCTATACTTTCATAGCAACCAGTGAAGGCACTGGCAGCGGCGTATGAAAGTGTGAGAGGGTTCGACAAATTTAGATCTGATAAATCATATATCGCCCCGTCAGTAGATATCAATGCCTCGTCATTGAGGTCCACTGCATTCGTCTTGTATAATTCGTGTTGTACATTGCAAGCCACCAGTCGATAGTCCATCTTCTAATTATAAAATGACTCTAGAAGGTGCTCCCCTCTGGAGGCTGGGGAAGCTTCCTATTATTGGCTGTCGCCATCTCCCTGCGCAGGCAGGACATCAGTAACATGACCACAAGTTCTCGATAAGGGTTCATCCATACCTTCTGATACCAACGAGGATAGTCTCGATACTACTATCCCGTCCCCACTGAGAGAGCACATTGAGCCTCAAAGGATCAATCTTGCCGTCGATCGGAGATACAAAAGGAAGGTTTACACGAGAGAGGAAGTGAACGGTGGGTGGCTTTTCGGGGTAATCGTCACCACAATGGATCTTCAAACTGTAGATACGATTTTCGTGAACAGTCTGTGACGTGTTATGCAGATAAATCAACGTATTTTGCAAGGGAGGATGTTAAAGGCAGGAGAGCGTCCCACAAGTGATCCAAAGAAGCGTTAAGAGAAGACACGCGATACAGTGTGCAGATCGAAGGATCCAGTATCATGTGTATCGATCAGCAAGCGATATGATATTCATTGAAAGCACATACGTGTCCTGGACCAAGAATTGTTCCATTCCAGTTGCTCATCATTATGTCGTCGCTATCCATAAGACCATACGAACAACTGCCATCACCTATGCCTTTCTCTCCTTTCTCCAGCTCTTCCAGAAGACGGAAGTTGCGGGGAACTATAGGAAATCAGTTAAAGTAAACTTATATTATCAGACTTACCTCTGGCCGCCATTCTCCTTTGTAAAATGGAAAATGAGTGATTGTACACGATAAGTATGACTTTGGACTAAGATAGCGTTTGGGAGTAACGGGTATTTGCGGCACTGCACTGCCTCAGCGGCGCAGCATAACACTCACCGCTAGCAATCAATCACATTCATCATCTTGTTCAACGACCAGGTAGCTTAAAGTAGCCATGTTCAGAGCAAATCAAGCAAACCCTTATGATGATGTAGTAGGTGCGTACGCGCGATGTTCACCGTCTCAACCATTGTATCCTGATACAATGTCTTGAATCCCTCAGCCAAGGCTACCGATGAGAATTTGACAGGCGAGAATTGGGAAGTCATTCTCAATTTATGTGATAAAGTGCAGGAAGAGGGTGAACAAGGGTGAGCGTTTTACTGTATTACGATCTTAAACCAGTCATGTTATTGGTACTCAATAACCGATTTTGACGGGAATTGCGTTTGGTAGTGCCCGTAACGTGATCGCATCACTCTTGAAGCGTCTGGCTCATCGTAGCCCCAATGTGCAACTCTACGCACTTTCTCTGGGAGAGTCTCTCTCAAAAAACTGTGGTATCGACCTTCATCGCGAGCTTGCGAGCCGAGCATTTACTGGGGCATTGGAGAAGCTTATCGTTGATCGGGTGCGTGCATCCTCCTGCTTTTAGATCGAGTCCCATTTGTCACTACGTCATGTTATGCTCCTGACTCAACTGACTTGAATGCATGACAGACAACACATGAAAAAGTTCGTCGGAGGGCACTCGGCCTCATCGCGATGTGGACAGCAGAGTTTGAACACGACCCTACTCTAGGAATCATGGAGGACTGCTACAATAGTCTGAAAGCAAAGAGTACGTTCGCCCTGACCCGTCCCCTTCTAAACCAACCCTGATTCCCATTGTTCTCTCCTTTTACGCATCACCCTATGGTACCCCTACTCACCAATTGGCTCACAGACTATCAATTTGAAGCCCCATTTGAGCCAGCCCCTCCTAGCGTAGACGACGAGGCACGGCGACGTGAGGAGGAGGAACTACAGCGGGCCCTCGAAATCAGCATGCGTGACAAAGGCGGGCGATCTACTTATGCACCTGCTGGTTCAGCTGGTTCCTCTGGTGCAGTTGCAAAGCATGCATCTGGGTATGTCCCAGCGCAGTCGCCGAGTCCAAAGGATCCCGCGTATGCAACAAATAGTCAACATCCAAATGCCAGGACAACGTCGGGAAATTCTGCCGCAAGTGGTGGAGTTTCAGCCATGGCCGCCTCTTCGACATCGTCGTTGCCATCCCAAGTCTCTATACCAGTAGTCACTCGTGTTCGCGCTCTGCACACCTTTGAGCCTACGGAACCGGGCGAACTCGCCTTTGAAAAAGGTGACGTGATCAAGGTTGTGGATCGAGGCTACAAAGACTGGTGGCGAGGGCAATTAAAGGGACGCACGGGAATATTCCCTGTGAATTATGTTGTACGTCTCTTTCCTCCCACTTAGTCATGGCCGTCGGCTCACATGTTCTCAAACATTGCTGTTTCGCCCGTTCTGGTCCATGCGTTTGTCATTCCATTATTGATTCTGCCATGTCTAGGAACCTCTTCCTGAGCCAACTGCTGCTGAGATTGCGCGTGAGGCAGAGCAAGAAGCAGCTGTCTTCGCTCAAGCTGTGAATGTTGATCGACTATTGACAATGCTGAGGAATCTGGATGCTTCAAGAGAGAACCTAGCGGATAACGAGGAGATTCAGGAATTATACCGCTCATGCATGGCCCTCCGTCCCAAGATTGTCAAGCTCATTGACAAGTACAACCAGAAGCGGGGTGCGGTTTCTTTCCCTTGTCTGTTACTCAGATTGTGTTGATAAACCACACAGCTGATTTGGTATCGATGAACGAGTCCTTTGTGAAAGCACGCACAATATTCGATCGCATAATGGAAGACAGCCTTGCGCGTCACACCGCAAGTAAGCAAGACAGCTCTCTATTATTACCAGATCTCCTCAGCCTCTGCAGTGTACGATTCAGGTCCACAACCCTATGGATACGGTTACGACCAATCCCAGCCATATGGGTATGGAGGTCCCAATAATGCTTATCAGCATCAGCTCGAGCATCAGCCCCAATCCCAGCCTCATCCTGGACCATTGCAACAAGCCGACCCTGCATATGCATACCAACAAGGACAAGCTTACAGTGCCCACGTTGGCGGAGCACCGTACCCTCAGCCTGCACAGATACCGTACTCACAGACTTCGCAAGCGCATTATCCTCAGCAGCAGCCTCAACAGCAACTCCAACAGCAACTTCATCCCCAACAACAACAGACACAGACACAGACACAACAACCTGCTGAGTATTCCCCAGGAGTACATGCTCAACAGCCGCAGCCGCAGTCACAGCCGCAGCCGCAGCCACAGCCACAGCTGCAAAGCCAGCAACATCCACCTCAAAGTACTGGCCCGCCTTACGTTTTCGATCCAAATGCAACATACCCAGATCCAAATGCTCAAGCATGGGCGCAATACTATGCGCAGGGTGGGATGGATCCCGCTGGGGCTGTATACTTTATTTCAGTACCAGGCATAAATGATACATCGTCACCGCCAGAGCAAAACCCTCAATCGCTGCAATCATCACTGGATCCATACCAAGCGCAGGCTCAGCAACCACCTGCACATCAGGAAGCCACGCACCAACCGTCGACCTCCCAGCACGCAACGTATACGGACCCCGACCCCCAGCAAAACCAATACCCCTCGCAGCCATACTACCAAGACCCTGCACCTGCCCCGCGGGTATCACCAACCAGTGCAACTGGTGGCATATCTTCCCTGCAACGGGCGTCATCTGCGACTGCAGGTATCCCAAACCCGTACAGCTATCATTCTCCCTCACATCAGCAACAGCTCTCTCCAACTGGACAGAGTGGATACGCTGGACCAGGGTCTGAGGGACATGGGTATGCGCAGCCTGCGAGCCCCGCACCAGGTGGCTACGTTCAGGGTCCGCCGTCTGGGGCAGGGTATGGGAGTTCGCCGTCGGGTGAGTACCCACAAGGTCCCGGGGCGCGTGGCAGTGTGCATGCTTTACAAAATCAGTTTTTGGACATGTCAATTGGGGGTCCAGAGGCTGCGACGTCGTGAGTGAAAAGATGCATGAATGAATGGACATTGGTAAACATTTCTAGGTGACCCTAAATTATTGTCTCAAATTTGTGATATGCGAATTATTCTGGTATTATTCCGTGAGGGTATGAACATTCTTGTAGGATCTAATCATCGCATGTCCTTGAGACCTTTGGGCCATCTACAGCTGTGGCTGGTCACATTGTGCCTACGACTCGACAAACGAGCAATCTCGGCAGACGCATTTGCATTTCCTTTGATATCCTTCGTTTAGAGGACATTGAAAGCGTGTTAGCAGAACCACCTTTGTAAATCACCCACGCACATCATCATACTCGTCCTTGCTTTGTAGAACCAACTAGTGGTGGAGAGATTGCCATTGGTGGATGTGAAGTCCTCCAGAACATTCAAGCTCAATTCAACGCGGAGCGAAGAAAGAAGTATGGAAAAAATGTTGTCCGCTTTTCCAGCGTCGCTCTAGAAAAAAGTGCTTACACCAAACGAGCAATCAGTTTCTTGAAGAGTTTAGCGAAGGCCTGCCATCATGGACTCGTCTTTGCAATTAACATCACCGTTGGGGTACCTGATCTTTTCTACCTCTTTAACTCTGTTGGAGCACCAACAAACCCATCCCGTACTGTGGCCTCATCGCCTCAAATTTCGCACCTCTATGTCAAAGTCGATGAAATGCGAAGATAGGGAGCAGAGACGGTAAGCACGGTCAATCAGGTTGTTTCGTAGGCTCGTTACCAGCCTGGCAGTTTAGTTGTAACCCATTGTAGCAGATAGTGTCAGGAAAAAAACATTCAGCTGACCATCGGCTTCCGCTATCTGATTCCCTTGCTTATATATAAATAAGTAGGTGCGTTTCAGTTTTGTATATGTCACTCTCATACGTACTCCTTACCGCGCACAATACCGCTCGTATAATGATGGGTGTAACATCCATTCAAATACAGGACGAGTGGTTGCAGACATTCTTCCTTATGTACGACGTGGTTATTTACTATTTTACTACTACAGCTTTATACAATATTAGTACAATCTTAACCGAACACTGCTAGTGGACCTTGATCAACGACTGCTATAAGAGATATCTAAAGCCTTTGAGCAGCCCCATAGCCTTCTCTTCAGCTTCGGCAGCTTCATTGCACCGTGAAAGGTGCCTCCTAAATACCCAAAGCATCACAATAGACATGGCGCTTGTCAAGATACATAGGGCACATGAATTTGCGTATGAAGGCCCCCAACGGGACGGCCAAAAGTACCTGCGATGCATCAGCGACACCGCAGAGTAAGAGTATGTTATGAACTGACGATGAACTGATGTAGCCAAGTGATGACATGGCATTGATTAATGCAATAGCGGCAGCGCATTTCGACCGCGATTGGGAAAGTGTGTTCATGACCCAGGTTAAAAATACCATATGTGCAACTGGGGCCTGAGCCATCAAGAATCTTGCAGAAAACGTCAAGGCTGTGAAACTACAGGATGAGAAGGTTCGTACAAGGACAGATATCGAACGCCCGCATTCATAGTAGAAATTGCCACCATGAACCCCACAATGGCGATAAATAGAGGACCAGCGGTATGCCAGAAACGATCACCAGTAGCATCGGAGTGCCTTAGTCATTGTTAACTCACCAATTGAGACTATTAAGTAGATCCTGACCTAGCCACAAGGAACAACGTTGCAGTTCCCAAAATCCACGGAGGTGCACAAAGCAAGAGCGTGATAGTCGAGTTGTAACCCATTGTAGCAGATAGTGTCGGGAAAAAAATGCGGAACGATAAAGACGCCTCCATCAAAATATTAGCAGCACCAAGCCACCATACCCTCCAATCTGTAAGTGCTTCATAAAGGCCAGACCAACCTTTGTGCTCATTTCTGACTGCAACTTCCTCCATGCGTCCTTCGGCCACGGTCAGTTCATCAGGTGAAAGCCAATCACTCGGCGATGACGGAAAGTCTGGCAAAATCCAAATTGCAGACACTGCAACCACAATTGTCAAAGCCCCCTCGACAAAGAAGAGCCATCTGCAGCAGTACAGTCAGAGAAGTTTCGCATTGAGAGCATGCATATTTCGCCTCTGACCTCCAACCCGTAAAACCTAGTGTGCCATCTAGGTTTACCAAAATTCCCGACGCTGTAAGAGCACTGAAAGCATTACTGATCGAACTACCACAAGCAAGAACTGCTGTGCGAAACCCTAGTTCATTGCGCTTGTACCTAAAAAAGTTTCAGGATATGTTGTTCAAAGGTATTGAGCAACTATACCATCGTGAAAGAAGGAAAATAGCTCCAGGAAAGAACGTCGCCTCAACAAATCCAAGCATGAAGCGCGAGATAAGAATGGCATGATACCTAAGGTGGCGTCAACTCAAGAGCAGCAAAAGTGATAGATACTAACGTTTGCGCTATGCCTTTTCATGACCCTCGTTAGGCGATATCAATTCAGTGACTGGTGTACGTACCAATAAACAGCGTGATAGCACCGCATATTGCCATACAGTTTGAGAGGTATAGTGATGGCCTTGTCATGCAACTCAAGAACATGTTGCTTTTGAATTCTCAGATGGGCCACAGAAGGATGATGTGCTGGTACATACGAAGGAGTTTGCGTCAACAAATACCCCACGTAAAATATGCTCATGACGGTGTTAAACTGATTCCCCGTCATACCAAGGTCCTCCTCAAAACCACGCAGCCTTGCAGCACTATCGTGATCGAGAGGCAATTGAGTCACACTACAATCGTGAGTTCGAAAGGCTACGTACGCTGCATTAAAGCGGTCCATCTACGGAAGAAATTAATGCAATAGCGAAAACACTGGATACACCAACTCACACAGCTCATAATGTACATCAGAATTAGGAAGGCGACTCGAAGGTCTAACTTGCGGAGAAGCCTCTTCTCCACTATCTGTCTGTTGTGTTCACCGTATTCCTGAGGAAGCGCCGGACTATCACTGCTTCTGTCAGAGGCGCCATAGTGGGACTCGGAACTGTTGCCTGCACCGAGCAAGGGGCGGTCTGACATTCCTATGGAGTATGGACGAAAGAGATAACAAACAGCAGCCCGTCAGTGCACCGGAATCCGGATGACGGGTTCCGATCCATACTGCTTTGGAGCCTGAGCTAAGTACTAAGTACAGTTGCGGACACAAAGTCGACAACTTACGTAACGGACGAGGAGATTTTTTTGGTACCAAATGGCCTTCAAAAGGCATCGAAAAATAGCCTCAATTGAATTTTTCCACGCATTTTTTGTCGGGCCAAATTTTGGGCAATTTCGAACGACGTTGTGTACCCCTTTGGGCCTAGAATCGTATCATAATAGTTGCCCAAGCCGCAGCTTCCCCATTCAAATTTCAAACCCTTTCAGTACGCACTCAATAAAACGCCACGAGCGATTGATGAAACGACGCAACACATCCAGTGGGCCATCAAGAAATCGTATAGCTGCCTCTTTAGCCTCAGAAAAGTTCTTTTTAGGTCCTTCTCGATACCAGTATTTGCAGCATTCCCCCAGGCCCACCCGTCACCCCAGTGGCGCACCGAAACTCGGATACGACCGCAAAGCTGGCCGGTGCTATCATCGAAGTTCACTTCACACTTGTGCACCACTCCGTTCTCAACGCAGTACTTCGTGAGCTTATAGTACTGCGCTGTGTGCAAACCCTCGAGCGGTCCTCGCAGCCCCATCAAAAGTATTCAAATGTGCCTACCGGCTTAGCTTGGCCCTCTTTCAGGTGCGATATTGCGGGTCATATCAACAGATTCTAGAGTGCATCTAGTATACAGGATAATCATTCATGTGATACCGCCCGCCCTTGCACCTCATCTGAGTAACACGAGTCACGGGATGACAAGAATCACTCCCGAGCTCCCTACACTACACGAACTCGAGCCTCAAGTAGGGTATAGCACGGGTATGGGGGTCACGGGTATGGCGGGTACGGGTACGGTGTCGAGATGTGGTACCCGTGGTCATACCGTACCCGTTAGCACGGTATACGGGTATGGTCACGGGTATGTGGCTGCACTATCTCCGAACTTCTCCGCAGTGCTATATATTGGACATCATGACTCTGATTCACTAACTACTAGCCTTATTTTTCGGAGGTCGTTGACTGCAACAGCTCCCCGTGATCCGTTGGTTAATCAGTCTACTGCCAGTGACACGGCCTCGCTCGCTGAGTCTATCCTATAGACTATCACATTTAGAAACCATCGTCCCTGCAGTCCATTGGCATATCTAGTAGATGATCTTGAGGACTATTTGCGGCAACCTGTGGAGAATATTAAAGTCACACTGCAATGGTAGGTCCATAATCAAAAGACGTATCCAAATTTGCACCGGATGGCACTTGTATTCCTAGTAGGTCATGCACCATTGCTCTCGCTAGCATCACAACTTATGTGTTACACACCATAGCTACCTCGTCGAACATTTCACAAGGCTGGCACCTTCTATGCGGAGCGGCTTTACTCGAAACCGCTTGTCTCCATCATCAACCCGTGCATTCCTCTGTCTTGGCTCATGGCTCCATTGTGGTCTGGTAGCACCCGAAGACCTTACTAAGGTCTCTGAGGAAGAGAAAACGAGCGTTGGGTGAGGTTATCCTACATAGTGTTACAATTTCTTGTTTGTGTACCCGCGGGTAAATGCAACACCACGGGTAAGCCTGCTATACCGCGGGTTAGCACGGGTAATACCGTACCCGTACGGGCACGGTGTTGACGGGTACGGGTGCGGTGTTGATCTTCCGACCCGCGGGTATACCCGTGCTATACCCTAGCCTCAAGACTGGACAACATTGTTCGATCACTTTTAAATAAATTCAAATTTTCTGCCACATTGCTCGAGCAGTATGAAAATTTGTGCAAAAGGAATTGTACTGATTAGCTGCGAACCAGGTATCGCACTATTATTTTCTTTGCTGGCTTTCCATATATTTCCATTTTCAATTGCTGTCAGTGCTTGTGGCAGAGCCAATCTGGATGCTAAGGCACGCAGGTCAGTAATGTGGTTAGATTCTGGTTGCACAGCGACTACTCACGGCCACGCCATAATTCGCACAATACACATCAGAGTCGCAGCAATCAATATCTCTGATGCAAGATCCCAACAGTGGGGAACATGCACTGACAAACATAGATGCTGTCAAAGCAACAACAACGGCGAAGAGGGAGAAACGCATTTTCTGTGCGAGGTTGATATGGGATATTCTGCGGGGGATCTCAGAATGATGTCTCTGAAGATGATGGAACACTGTAGGATGATGACCAGCTTTTATATCCTGTATATGCTCGGGAGCACGATATGGCAGAATCGTTATTGCTGTTATATGTGGCACAAGTTTCAGCAGAATCTGCAGGGGCGTATTTAACCTGCTGGCAGGCATCGATAATTTCCTTGAGATTGGTGCACGTCATCCTTAGGGTATAGCACGGGTATACTTAGTGCTGGGGGCAGAATTGTTTGCAAGTAATTGTGCCGGCATAACCGGCAGAAGCGGCAGAACCACCACTTCTGCCGCTCGGCAGAATTTTCAAAGCGCTACAAGGCTATGTTACCGCCGAAAACCTCGGGTAGATCCAAAAAAGTGTTAGGGTTTGGTAAGCCTTACAGCAGTATTGATTATATAGTTTTCGCACTATATATTTCGAAGCAATTTAGTAATTGTCTGAGCAACCAAGTGGGTGCAGGATTTACGAGACCAGCATCCGGTAACCTGAGCATATACTATCATTCCTGGGAATCTGCAACTGGATGTAATATGCAAATTGTTCAAAACACCTCAATGCGCTGCTTGAATCACCTCGAAAAAATTTAGATGCATGTAGGCTACATAGAGATGATGTACTGTCCAAGTAGAATAAAAATTTCTTGAGTGTTGCAGCTGTGAGAGACAGAATAGTGCATCACCAAAAGTTCGAAAACCAGATATGGGAAGCTAAGGTGATAGCATTGCACAACACCCATCAACAGCTACATCAGGCCCACCAAGCGCCGCCAGCACAAGGCATCCTGGGATTGCTAGATCAAGGAACTCAATTTAAGCTCATTGTCCGTCATATGCTGGGTGGTTCGTCATATGCTGACACTTCTAATGCCTGCTGAATCATTCTAATTGCTTATCAAACTAGTATCATATCAAAAAATGTTTTATTGTTTTGCAGTAAATACACGATAGATTACAAAATTGAGAGTAAGGTGCGAGCTCGAGAGAATGGCAGAGGTAAGAAGTAACATGACTGGTAGAAATACTGCAGATATGTGACATATTGCAGTAGTAAATGTGCAGGTAGGCAAACCTATACAAGAAAATGTTGTCAGGAAGATAACCAGAAAAGAAATTGTGCACGCACCAGACCACCAGATTACTTCGAAGTCCCATGCACTGTGCCCCTTGATCCTGAATTCTATATTGGATCCTATAAGTGGATATATGCACCATTAATAGAATACTACATTACTGCTAATAACTTACTTTGTTGTTTTGAGAGTTGGATATTAGGCTACATGGTGCCATGCGCAGTAATTCATATGATGAATGATGGGAGAGAGATGTAGATGAGAGACGACGAAGGAGGCAGAATTTGCGAAGTCCGTTGTTTAGACTTGTTGATGTCGGAGCTTCAAATGCTTCAACGGTCGTCGATCGAACACTTCAAGGGTGTTTATAAATTTATTGAACAACAAAGGAATACCATGGAGCTTAGTAATTTTGCATTAGAACTACTACTAAGATACTGGGGGTGTATCCAGGCTGAGAGAAAGAGTAGCATATCCATATCAGAGTACTATCATAATGACAGGAGTATATCATTGAATATCAGATACATGCAACAATGGTATGCTACTAGCTACTTGACATCATAATGATCAAGTCCTTCTTTGACCTTCACAATCGCCATCATCCATGATCATAAATATTTGTCAGCATCAGCCCAATCAGGGAATACCTGAATTTTGAAGTTTTGGTGATGTGGTAATTTGCAACCTTGTATAATCATAAACGATCCAGATCCCATAGATCCTAGAGAGATATTCAAAAAATTACACCCAGGTTATATCAAACACCTTGTCAGGGTGTCAGAACACAATTTCGATAGAGGTCATTCTCTTGTTTTAAGATGCTATAGACGGAGGATTGTGGACATGTATGAAAGCGTGACAACAGATAGGAGAGTGTGTAAGAAATTCAATCTCCTCTACGGCACACTTGGCTTGATACACGGCACTGTCCAGTCAGTCGCATTCACATTGCATTAGGAACACTCAAAGTAGCCGCCTAACTTCGCCTATGCCTAAGTCTGCCTAACTTTTTGTATTAGATAAGCTGCTGAATTGGTCAGTGCTCAGTGTCTGTACTTCAGCACGCTGCGCTACATACCAGTGTATACACTCCTTGTAACCATCACACTCGTTACCCTACACTCTTTATATATAATAATGCCACATAAAACAAATACCAGCATCCCACCTATCACATGGACATCTGACCTCGTATGGAAACTCATTGCTGAGGTCAAGAGGCTAGTCAACCTCAAAGTCTTATTTGGCATCAAAGAAGACAATGATGTGCGTGAACCATTGTCATTCGAAGCACATATTGATATTTCCCAGTCTAAAACAGGTGACCAAAAGATTTCCGCTTATAAAACTATAGCAAACACCATTTTACCTGAGGTGTTTGCTTTGGATCCAAGGACAGCGATAGATCGGACTCAGAAAAAGGTTGAATCGTGAGTTTCATTTATTTTATTGTCTTCGTTGACTTTATGTAAGTATTCAGGCTTCGGGTTACATACGTGAAGCATGCTGCAGCCTTGAAACAGACTGGTGGAGGTTTGAAAGATGGCGAGAACCCTTCAGATAAAAATTCTCTCATGAATATCCTCAAGTGATACTCCATTTCCGTACCTTCCCATTCGGTACAGTGTAGTTGCTAGCTGAACATGTACTGGCTTCTGGGGCACATTAGAATTGTTTGAAAAGACAGGATGATCTTTGATAAGGTGCAGAAGCACCTCAAAAACAGTTGGGGAGATACGAAGCATGTTCGCAAAGTGCTCATGATCAGATGGATTTTGAGCAAATGACCAAGCAAGGTGAAGATTGCCTGCCTTGATCACAGGAGGACGAGATTGTAGATAACAAGTCTTCTTGATGCCCTCCAGCACTTTGAGATCAATGTCCAACTGCTTGGCTTTTCTGATGATATTCATGGCTACTTCTGGTGGAAGAGTAGAGTCCCGAAGGACCGTAAAGATTAAGTATGCTCGCAGGACTTTTGCTCGATGAGAGGGGAGAGGCATCATTATCACTCAACAGCAGGACCTGATGTCAGGTGTACTACTGCATGGTAGCTTATCTAATACAAAAAGTTAGGCAGACTTAGGCATAGGCGAAGTTAGGCGGCTACTTTGAGCGTCCCCTATTGTCTCATTCTTGTATCCTCGTAATGCCTCCAAACCGCTGGTGAATTGTTACAGCGAAATTTGCAGCACTTCAACGACCACCCAGAACTCAAGAAAAATCAATGCTATGATGGTTTATTTAATCCCCCCTGTTCTCGCAGGCGCTGTCTCAAAAGTGACTATAGTGTGGTGCATGAATTCCCGCAAGATACAATTCCCCCAAATTTGATTCAACAACCATCCAGGTATCAACCGTGGCTGCCCGTGCCTGTCACTCATTCCTCAATGTCAGCCATGGATCTGCCCCCACCCAGCTATGCACCTCCATATTATTCAATGCACCATTCTGTACCTCGGTCTCCACCTGTTCTTCACCCTCCCTTTGCACCGGTTGGTAGACCTCTTGCTAGTATGTTTCAGGATTTTCGGGTTGGTGGAGTGCAGATGTATGACATTGGGGGCTCTGGTGATGCAGGCCGTCAGCTGTATGAGTCAGGACTCTATCAACAGTACCATTATAATCACAATTATTAGTATATAGACCATGATCCTCAATAATATTCATTTTCAAAGCAATGCGCAATGATGAGCTTCAGAGTCTTTGGAGAGTGAAAGTTGACAGGTGCCGCTGCTGTGCCAATGTGTGACATGATGTGACATGTTTTGCAGAATACCAGTCAGACCCTGAATTTTCTCAGCCTTCATCCGACACTCCACCAAAAAATCCTTAAAATCAGAAAAAATCATATTCATATAGAGTAGCTACGAATATATAATGGTGCAAATCAGTAGAAGATAATATGATGCAGTTGAGGAGTTACAAAAGATTTATTGAAAATGTTGCAGAACCCCAGGAGTGATAGTAATAGAGAGACTGAGGGTACATTGACGACCAGGGCCATTGTCCACATCATGTTGCCATGTTCTTATAATACTTCAAACATACATCCCAGAAACATCTCATGCCATGGCTTGAACAGATATCAAGTTCAGTATGTTCAGTGTAGGTTTAATTGATACCTCGGCCAGATATCACACTTCATAGGTTTAGAGCACCTGCTCGATAGGTAGGTGTCATACCATCATCACATACCACAATCATGTTGTTAATATGTAATTGGACGGCGAAAGCATGAAATGAAGCCATGAAATGTTTGTATTGCTGGTGTACTATTAGATACAAGCAAAATTAATGCGTACTAAATGAGCAATACTAAATGAGCAATATGTGTCCAGTAAGCACTACCAGAAAGAGAGAACAAATGAAAACAAGTGAGCCATTGAAAAATTTAAATTTCCCATAAGAGCTTGTTCTGGATGGTAGTCTGCCACTGGGGACTAGTGGTGCTGAGGAGCTTCGGAACAACTCTCTTTCTGGGAAATTCAGCGAGGTCTAGTTGAAAATATTCCACAAGGATGCTTTGTAACAATCAGTGAGGAGGAGGAAGGAAAATTAATGGGAAACATACTCACAAAATGCGTGTTCGTATGTCAGAGAACCGTTTGGTCCCTGCTCACTGACCTGGGTCTTTGCTAGCTTGTGAATGCCATTGAGAGAGTCATCTACGAATTTCCAGAACTTGGACGAAGAGTAAATGGCACAGTGTTCTTTGCCTTTGAATCCTGAGCTTCCCTCACTGACAGCTGGTAGATCTTCTTTGTCCTGGTACTCATCCTCTGCTCCTTCGTCCCTGGCATTCTCGTCCTCGTCATCTTGATGGCTGCTACCATTGCCACTATTGTCAGTATTCTCTGTATCATGCATTGGCTGATCTTCATCTAAGTAGCCTTCGATGTCAGCAGCAGGAGCATCAGGCTCAATGTCTTGATTGATGTCGCCATGCATCCTGTGTTCGATAGCGTCAATATCAATTCCGAGTTTCTGGTTGATTTTGACACAGAGGTCTTTGTGAAGTGACAGAATGAGTGAGTTGGAAAAAAGAGCATTGAGGGGTACAGTCTTGTAGTTGTCCATACCGATAAGGAAAATGTGCAAGCAGCGCTGCTAGACTACATGGTATGAACCTCCTGTTGTCAAATAGAGCAAGGGCATACCAAAAATGTGAACCTATTCCAGTGCATGGAATTGACCTCAATGCGACAGTGATGAGTGAGAGATTTTGCAGTCTCCATGATGCTCAATCATTTGAAAATTGACGTTGTCAGCTAAGCAAGTGTATATCATAAAGTGTTTGCATAGCAGTAGCAAAACTTGACAAACCTTAGCCTTTATGTTGCCATGGATTGAGCAAAGCAAGTCACTGACCAGTTTTGACAGTTGCGCATTAAGTTCTGCATCTTCCAACATTGCTGCAGGGATTTTGAATACATTGTGGTGCTCCCTAACGAAGTCCTGTTGAGTTTCAGCATTCAACTAACACAGTGATCGACTTAGAGAATACCATGATGTGACAATGTGCATCAGTGACATATGCAGTGATATTGGTGACAGCATGCACGCAGTGAGATGGTTCTGGATTCCAGACTGTGTTTTGTTTGATCAGTGTATACTGCCAAACTTTGGAGATAGATACAGTATACCTTGAAGTCCTTAGAATCTAGCAGTTCTTTCAATTGAGTGAGCTCCACATTCCGGGTATCATCATTCTGCCTCAACAAGGTGGCCTTGATGTCAATGAGCATGTAGTATATCCCTCCGGTCTGCAGGCAGGTAGCTGTATCAAAGAGTTGTGAAGCACTAAAGGAAAACTTATGTCAATAAATTCATGAAGTTTGTCCTCCGAGATACCTAAGTCTCCAGCGACCTTCAATGCATAAACTTTTACTCTCTTTGTGCGCACAGGTGTAAGGACAGTTGGGTCGCCACGACTAGGACTTGAATCAGCTCGGTGGCGGCGTACAGCTGCAATATTAGGTTCATCGAGCAATTCATCAGATATTGCAGATTGTAAATTGTCGTGAGGGCGAGATGCGCTAACAGCAGTCTGTGACTGAGAACCTGTACCATTTCTGGGTGATCTAGACATGTGGGCAAGTCCTAAGGGTGAGCGTGCACATCCTATACTGCCCGCTCTTGCAGCAGGAGGTTGAGATCCACTACGAGCACTTTGAATGGAAGCCAAATGATTCCTGCCTCCGAGACCTCTGGCAGCATCTGGCATTAATAGACCAAGACTTGTTGAGCCTTTGGTCTGTGGAGTGCCTTGAGTGTGCACAGGAAAGCACTGGAGTAGCATCCTGAAAGCTGAGTAAAGGGCAAATGCGAGAGAATCAGTCCAGCTCTGAGACCTGAGTGGGTGTTCTGCATGAATGCCAACAGAAAATAAGGACACACTTAAGCGATAAGCATTTGTGTGTTTCACATGAGGCTTGATTTGGATCACAAAAATGCATTGAATGGGAGCATGTAAATTAAAGACTGTAAGCTATATGTAAAGTAGAGGTCTTATTTGAACATGTCATCGCAAAGCGTGATTCATGTCAGAACTGCGCATATACAGTCAGACTGATACATAGCGCACCCTGAAAAACAGGTGAGCAGTGGGTTTCTGGAATAATGGTAGCTTGACCCCAGCGAGATTTCTTAGGTGTCTCACCGGCAGCTGCACTTTGACTAAAGTCGCATTCCAGCAGGAACAAGAGCCTGAGCGACAGAGTAGAGCATTATGTAGCATAAGGTGCAGGCGAGAAGGGGGCAATAGAGGACAGATGGGAGTAATGCTGGGGTGGTTGAGGCCTGGAGTGACTAGGTCCAGCTAGTGGGAATGTATTAGACGGTAATGTATGGTGAAAATGAGGTATGGGCAGTGGATGTGAAAATGTTTGATGGCCTGAATGCCAGGTAATTAGAGCTGATGGGAATGAAGGAACATGTAATTGGGGTGGATGCAAGTGTGATTGAGCGGCAGGAAGGTGCAGTTGAAGTGGAAGGTAATATGACATCTGTGGAGAAATGCGTGGTTGGTCTGAGCATGAAACTTGAATCAATGAGTGAGGTGGTGGGATGTATGATTGAGGCACAGGACAGTGCGAAAACTGAGGAGGAATATACATTGGCTGGGCTGAGGAAGGTCCCGCTTGTGGTGCAAAATGTTGCTGATTCACAGCAGCAGCATATGGTGCATTTCCCTGCAGAGGTGATGCTGGTCCAGGGGGGAGCAACTGCTTGACTAGTGCATGACGGGGCAGTCTTCTTTTTTCCTCGCATGCTGGAACTGCTGACCTTCACCTTTGGTTTGGCACCAGTCTTCACGGTGGGAGCACGATCAAAGACTGCATAGGGCGCTGGGACATTGTCAATGTGACCAACCTCTCCTTGTTGAGGTACATCTCCGGACTTTTTGGCTGCTCACTTCTCCCGCATTTGCTGTACTGCCAATGCTCGAACTTCAGCCACATTGGTGACTCTCAGCGGCGTCTCGTGAAGGGTATCAGGCATAACAAGACATATGTAGTCATAGTTATGAATAGAGTACACATTAAGGATGTAGTGTGGTGTCGGCTTGTGTTGAACAATGCACCTTGAGCGAGATGTTAGGGTCTGTTCTTGATATACAGGTTGCTGACCAGTGTTGGTGCAACCCAAATCAATGCAGTTATGCTGGATATTGACGGAACACACAATATCCTGCAAGATGACACCCATAAGATGTGAAGCTGACTTGGAAGACAATGATAACTTATGGCGGCAGACAAAACTACTTCATCATTAATAAGATCTAGACATGGAAGATGAAGAGACGGGTGCAATGTCTCTGTAAAGGAAAAGCACTGGAGAGCGACATGTTCTACCTTTAGGTGGTTGCTGGACAATATGAGAATTTCCTGGATACATCCAATGTACATCTGAAAATATTGTCAGATATCTATCTTGAAAGTCCAAGAAAACAACCTGGCTTTCCATCCACTGTCTTCTTAGATAGATGATCTATAGATGAACACCTACAAAATCAAATATCTCCATGGTCAGTGATTCAGACAAATACCAATGACTGATAACGTGGTCGTTCGTGGGTGGCCTGTCAGTATATCCAAGCTATGGTCAGACAAAGGTACTCTATGGAATCAGTATAGAAACACTAGTCAACCCAGCAGTATGGTGTTGACAAAAAGAAACAAGAAACAGAAACAAAACTAAGACTAAGCACAATCACTGGTGCCAAACAAAAAAATGAGAACTAAGACTAGGCACAATCAATGGTGCTATATTCTAAACTTACTATGAAATGGTCGTGCAAAGCTGTATTAGTCACTCCCACAGCGCAAACAGGTAGGATCAAAGGTCAAGACTTGTCAAAAGCTTCCGTAGAACTCTTAGCCTAATATTGAATCTGCTGCCAAGGAACTCACAATGAGTATTAAACAGAATCAGAAACGGACGTCCTTGGATTTCAATACCAAGTCCCCTATTCAATAGCTAAAGCCTATCTGACAAATAACAATCCTGGCTCAGTATACTACTCAGATGTATGAGGTCAAGTGGACAATAATCAACTTCTGAAGTCTCCCCACTAAGCTACTCTGAGCCTTTAGCGGACGTAGAGACAACACGAAGAATTCAAAGGTAAGGCTCAAATGTATTCGCTACAATCAAGAGTACGTTAGTATCAGCAGCAAGAAACAAACACTCAGAATATATTTGCTAAAATCTATAACACGTTAGTGATACGACAATAAACGAGCACTCAGACTGTTAGCCTTCAATGGGTAGAGAGAGTGAAACAGATCCCGAGCTAAAGAAATAGATAGAGTGAAACAGAACCCAGACTAGTGAAACAGAGATAAGGAAATAGATCCCAAACTAAAAGAAATAGATCCCAATCAAAAAGAAATAGATCCCAATCCTAGAGAAACAGATAGAGAGATAGAGACAGAGACATGTGCACACAAACACAAACACTCAGAAAAACAAGAGATTTCTCAAAACAAATAAGCCAGGCCTTGCAGGTTGTGGAGCACAGTGAGCTCAGTGGCTCCTACTGTCTCATCAATGTACCTGACAATGTCGAAAAACTCTTTGTGGTTGTTGCTGATACTGATCACACACAAACCTCACTCACAATTTTATTAAGGGTGACTCTGGGAGTCGGATTGATTACATTTCAGGCCAAAACAGAGGTCCTTATATAGACAAATCTACGTGGCTATGCTAATTTACTCCCGCGTACCTAGGTATATTCAATTTTCGTTTTCTCACATATCTAGATATACTGTATTATTTGTCATAGATCATAATACCCATGTAAATTGTACATAGGTGAACATGATTTGTCAGGCTTAGTCATAGATCAGCTGACTGTGGTAAGAGAACATGGTTTACATAATGTGTTGAAACTTGTTTGTATTTGGTGTTATTTAGAGATGTAGCATATGTCATAAAGCAAAACCGGGTAACACATGTATTTAAAGTTTCCTGGAAGTTCCCGCAAACAAACATATGCAGGAAATATTTTTCATGGAAGCTTCAGATGCATGAGAATCTAGCTGAGTCATCTTCGAGCCAAATAACACAAAATTCGTTCCATGCAAAATTCCCGAAAAATATTTCCTAACACTGCACGGTCATGCACCAGACCAGTTTGGTGCAGGTCACCGCTGGCTGTCGAACAATAGCTTCATTGTTGAGGTACACATTTTCTCCTGTACTCATCACAACACATTTACCTTGGTAGTACTCAATGCATGGGTTGTATGGAGCAGTTTCGGGAATATTCGTGCAACGCGTATCCTTCCAGGGAACTGTGTCCTTCCAGACTGTCTTTCTGGACTTTCCAGTCACTGTTTCAACTGTTCCTGACCCTATATGCAAATGAGTCATGAAACAATGAAATGTATGGCATTGCTTACCTGATATTGGAACACTGTGACCGAAGTTCGATAACCCCAGTAGCCATGCTTGTTCGGGGTGCTCATCAAGATAACTTAGGACTTGGATGCCTGCGCGAACCCATTTCTTGATCTTGCCATCATACCAGTAGCCACCTGTCGCAACATGCTTGATAACGTCCTGGTGAGCAAACACTTTGCAGGTGTCTCGGCTCAGTGCTTGGTGATTGCTATACATGCAAGATAGGCGGAAAACATGGTTAAAAGACTTGTATCGCTCCATCAAGAAGATGATTGCTGGCCCAAAATGTTGAATGTAGGCCAGGAGATGGACGAGAAAATGGAATTTAGGTTTGCTAATTAGGATGCTCAGCACACACTGTGCCATCACATTCAGAAAGTCCTGAATTGTTTGTGTTAACTTTGCCTATCACAAAGATGATTAGAAAGAGCAGGTACATGATATAAGGACTCACGAGATAAGTTTCACTGTTTTCTATCTTCATGTGCCAGATGAGGACAATGAGTTCACCCATAACTGTCCAACCATCGAGGACCATTGGTGGGACAAGGTCATAAATGAGGAATGGCATTACTTGCGCCAGACTCTTGAAATGCTTGCCAATCAAGCTGCCTTTGTAGTGGCAGATGTAGTCGGCGTTGAGGCAAGGAGCATTTAGCGCATCCTTGTTGACGGTCTTGAGGCGGTTCTGGAAGAGATGCAGGAGCTTAGATTTCTCGAGGAGAAACACTGTCTGCCCCCAGAAGTATTTAACAATGCCGAGCAGTACTGTATGGAGAATTTCAGTTGGCATATCCATGTGAACATTGAATGCTGTTGTGAACATGAATGCAAGATCTCGTCATTTTCAAAAAGACTTACCATGCATTCCCAGTAAGGGATTGATAGCATCATCGAGCCTTCTGCCTTGCAAGAGCTGCTCAAACTCTTTCTTGAGCACGATCCTGACTTCATTTTCAGGTAGTGCCGGAGAACCTGCTATGCATTTCCTGAGTTTTTTGCCAAGCTCCAGCAGTGTGTTGAGAATGAAGGCTAAAGCCATATCATGAATACCAGTCGATGACATAGAATTCTTCACCTTCTGAGACACCTGAAAGTATTGCAGTCTTGAATTGCTGTCGGATTACATTCAAAGTCTCCTCCAGTGTTTAGATATTGCCTGACTACAAATGCAAAATCAGCAATTGTAAAACGCAAAACAGACTTACAAACATTGAAGATGCTGTTATATCCAGCCTCGGATTCTTTATATTCCTTCATGCCACCAACCTCGCATGTCCTGCAATAATAATTACAATTCAGCCCCGCATGGCTGCACTCTTTGGCCTGCATGGGATTGTCACCAGCAATGAACAATGCATATGGAATAAGCATGACTTCTTGATTGTCCTTGCAGTCCCATGCAACAATGCCAGATTTGGCTGCGACACTACAAATCACAACCACTGACTGAGTATAAGCTAGACGACAAAAAGGATGCATGTACCAGATAGACTCTTTCATTCCTCACATGAGCTCCATTGGTGCAGCATGAGGTGATGATGTGACAAATCGTACAAAAAACTCTTTCTCGAGCATCTCGTGTGGCAATTTGGCATTGGACATATAAATGGTGTGATGCTTATTCCACTGCTTCGACACATTGCCCGACATGTCGTCCATGAAAATAATGAGCAGGACGGCATATACCATTCAACCATTAAACTTCTCATGCAATGGATTGGGTGTAAGCAATGCAAATTTAGCTGAAGAAGCTGTTTTGTGATTAAGTCCTGCAGTCACCACCAGTACAGTTGAGATAGAACATACCTGTGAGGCCACATTCAAGCTCACCGGATGTTGCAGCAATATCTTTGAATGATCGCACAAACACCAAAGTAGGTAGAATCTCTTGTTCGTCGTTGACAATGAATCCAGCCTAATTTATGTGCCAGTGATCAGCACAAAGTCATAAGTTTAGTATCAAATAACATACGTCGATCCATTGAACAGCTCGACCAAGGGTGTACTGAATTCACATAGTTCAGTCAAAGCCCAACATAGAACCTGTACCCCAGGACATGCCAAAAGGTTGTAGAAGCTGTGCAGCCAGAGGCTGGCTGGCTGTACTAAATTCACGTATATGTGGTACTGGCCAGCACGTAGAGGCATGTACAGTAATATGTGACTAGCTATATACTAGGTATCAGCTATGGACATAGGACCAGTGCTAGCCCGTAGACCCTGTCCGGCCAGAGGGGTAGGACCTGTACTGGCCAGACATCAAATGAGAGGGAGCTGGCCCGTAGACCCTGTCCAGCCAGAGGGGTAGGACCTGTACTGGCCAGACATTAAATTAGAGGGAGCTGGCCCGTAGACCCTGTCTGGCCAGAGGTGTAGGACCTGTACTGTCTAGATATCAAACATCTCTAAGATGTATCTCCAGTTAGACAGAGCAAAATATCATTATATTTGATATACATTGATACCAACAAGGTGATATAGGTGTGAGCAATATAACATGAGCCATGTGATAAAATGCTAAAGTTTCATGGCTTTCTTAGTGGGCTGCCTAGATCTGGAGGATCGACAGATATCAACCTTGACCTTCTTGGATGGCTTTCGAGAACCACTGGACTTGGCTCTTTTTTTCCCTTTCACCTCCACCTCCACCTCCACATCCTCGCCCTCCTTGCCCTCCTCATCTTGCTTCACCTCCTCAACTCTCTGTTCTTCAGCTAACCGCCTCTTGTCCTCCTCCTCCTGGTTTTCTAGGAGCCTACTGGTGTCCTGCAGCTCCTTCATGGCGGCCTCAAGCATCCGATTCTCCTCCTTCAACTTCTCATTCCTGGCAGTATTCTCCTGAAGCATCTGCAACTTATCTGCTAGCTTCTGCCTCATCTCTGCCTCGACAACTCCCTTCACACTATCTTCGTGATCATGAGCATCATCTTCAGCTCCAAGTCTGCCTCCACCAGCAGTGTTATCGAGTATAGAACTTTCCTGCTGAACATCCTTTGACTTCAGTAGATGCATAAGTCTGCCTCTGACCTTGTTAACCAACTCTACAACCAGGTCAAGCACCTTGATATCCAAGATCGAGGCGCTAATGTAACTGGGAGTCTGGAAGGTGACCTCATCAGCCTCATATTCAATGGCTCGCTTACACTCCCTAAGCAGCAATCCAAGACCGAGTGTAACTCACATTGCGGATGGCAAGCCAGAGATCTTGATAGATGCAGCTGTCTCTAAAAACTTCTGCACCTCACCACCCACACAGTGCACATCATTCAGAAGGTAAGACTCTTCCCAGGACCAAGTTGCCCAGGCAGGCCATTCTTTTTGCTGGTTAAAATTTGGTTCCTGGACTCAGTCAGTATGAAGTATCACTCGGTCAATTGACAGCATACCTTGCCCAAGTCTCTGATGCCCTCAACTAAAAGAAGGTATTCATTGTTACTGCTCAGAGACTTCAAGAATGGGATTTGATCCTTCATAGGCACCGTTGCAGGAGCACTCTCCTGAGCACCTGAAGGTCGGCTGGCCATTGCTGTCATATGACCCGTAGAAGCTGCTGCGGCTGACTCATTTGCACCCTTGACTAGGTTTGCCCTACGTGATGTAGATGGTGTTCCACCCGACTCGCTTTCAGAGGAACTGACTGGCTCAATTTCGACATACATCTTCTTTGTTTTCTCCTGGTGGAGAACCGCATCCCTAAGGAGCTCCTTGCTCATATCACCTATTTTACCCACAATGAATATCACCAGCTTCTTATTTTCCTCCTTCCTAGCCTGCCAGTGAGCCCAGAGCTCATTGATATTTTCAGCCCTCATATGAGATGGGTCTCTCAAGATGAAGCCTTCTGGGATCAAATTGAGGTCCAGGTAGAGAGAGGGCTTTGCCACCACCTCGCGCCAAGGCACTGGTTTGTTAGTGTCGGTAAAGACCTCTGTATAATGCATCGTAAGTTCCACAAAAACCAGTGAAGCAGACAAATACTCACTGTATGATGCACGGAATATCTGATGCACCAATTCTTGTTGCCCTCTGGTGCTAACTCCAGCTCGGGAGGGAAGCTTCGGGTACTTTTTTTTGTCCAAAATGACTTCAGGTGGGCTGACCTTGCCATCATCCTCCTCATCATCAGTTGACTGGTCATCATTTTTGTCTGGGTCCCAATTTTCCTTAAATACAGTGAAATTCTTAGAACAATAGACACTCACAAAATTCTAACTTAGATCATTCTGCAAATTTTTCAAACCCTTCAGAGATCTATTCCTTATTCCCTCGTGAACTCTGAGTAAAGGGTTTTTTACTGTTGACCGGCTTCGACTCATGACTAAATAATAATAGCAAAGTGTCATTATACCATAATACCAAAGTGCTAAAAATACACTCACACAATAACATTTAGAGTCTGGTCAGCAGATTTCTTGTGACTAGCTAGGATCATAACCCGACATCCCATAGTACAATACATTTGTTTAGCGAAGTCATCGAGAATTCTTTTGAGGTGCCTCTTTCAATACCTGCCAAGGCAGTTAATCCGAGCATTAGAATAGTTATTTTAGATACTCACATTGTCTGGGATTCCAGAGGAGCACTGTCCCTATTCCACTTTTCCCTTGCATTCTCAACCTCCTTCCGTTGTGCAGGGGTCATGTTTTTGAACCAATCTCTAGCATGACCAGTTCTATACTTGATTTCATTCTTCACCCCTAACTTCACTTGTTCCTTCTTGTCATACTCAGTCAATCTCCTGCTTAAATAGCTTCTGGGAAACATCCCAGTCAGTAACTGCCTTCTTGTAGAAGGCTGCATCCTTAGGACAGGCTGCTGCCTCCCTTTCCTTGGGGGACAAGGTAGATATCTCATCCTCCGGCTCATCTCCCAAAAGCTTTTCTTCCAGCCATAAGTCATCCTCGTCAGTCAAAAATTGGAGGTAGTATCGCCTGATAGCCTTCGTATTACTGTAAAATTAGTTATTAAATACACAAAAATTTGATCACACCTTTTTCCATGCCTTTGGTAACTCAACCAATTCATCCTGCGATTTGTTTTTGGCAATAATATGGTCCCAGACTGTCCTCACAATACCTCGATGTGCATCCTGAGATGCAGCCAAAAATTTGGTCTGATGGAGAGCAAGTATGCCCTCAAAAGATACCTGCCATTCAGCCATGATGAGTTTAGTGATTAGCGCGAGAAAAGGGTCAATGGTATGAAAGGTATGCGTGACATAGCAAAGAGTCGGCCGTTGATGACTCTAACATAAATTTTGCAAACATGATCATGTGACTCTGGAACCACGTTGTAGGCACACAAAATCAAGTCAAATTATTGCAGACAAACATCTACCAAACTAACTATTTGTGAGATAAATCAAATCCTCATCCTCTTAGCAGACCCTTCCCCATCCATACTCCTCTGACGCTTGCCCTGTGTGCTCAACTCAACCGGAAAAATTGTGGAAGGAGACTGGAACCATCCAGTAGTCTTTGTCTTAGCAGCATTGACAACAAAACCAGGTGGTTTGTCGATGTGGAACTTGTAGCAAGGCTTGTGCTGAGCCTTACCACACTCAGGATAGGTGCAGGAATATAGGTACCTGGATACAGGAGCCTCGGCTGGAGTATCAGGGTCAAGAGGCTCATAAGACACCTTGACAGCGACCCTCTCTGACCAACTATTGGTGGACCCACAGAGAGGGCACTGTGAAGGGACTGGGATACCCCAAGGTTGGGTCTGCATGTGGGCTTGCGCATACCTGGTGACAATGAGCTTGTGCATACCGCCAGCGTTATCCCTTGTCATCAAAATGATGTCCGTGTGTTGTCCAAGGTGACTGGAGAGGGAGAGAAGACCAGGGAACGCAGTGCAGATGTCAAGGTCCTTGATTATCACTTGCTCCGCTAGAGAGAGCAAAAAGTGGGTGGCAACCAGAGGCTGAAAGTGTTTGGCGGAGAATATGATGGAGGATGCGACACCGTAGTTGAGTAGAGCTTCCTGGAGCTCACTAAAGGTGTCACCATGGGCCACAACCGAGCCGCACACTAGGAACATCATGATGGCACCACCAAGAACGCCGCAATAGGGGCCTAGGACGGTAGATAGTACCTAATATCACATAAGTCAGGAAAAATGCAAAATAACAGAGACCTTACCTGAGAGACACTCATAGCGACAAATTTACCTTTCTCTCTCCCAGCAAAAAGCCACCCGCTATCTTCCTCGGAGTGATCGGAGAAGAAGGCCAAGACACGTCCACTATGCACAAGGTGAGACTTGAGCTGGGTGATGCGGGCGTTGTAGAAAGCTGATTCCCGCTGGGCTCAGCAGAAATTGTACTACCTAGACAACAAATATTCAGGTAGATCTTAGCACAACCTATGCTGCTATACTTGCAGAGCAAGTGCATTCAATCCTAAAGGGATTGCTAATTGGTATCAGTAGTAAAAATGTGTCAGTAATGCAAATAACAGAATGTCTGATGGTGCGAAACGATGTCTGAAGGTACTTATCCAATGTCCGAAGCCAAAGTGCGATGTCCGAGATTTTGGACTTTTGGACTTCATGATAATAGGTTGGAAACTTTATAACGAGTGTCGGATTGCGAGCGGTATGTGCGAGTATAATGAGTGACGGAGTATGACGGTGAACAAATGGTAATATATCGCAATGCAACTAAGAACTACAAGAATATTCTGGGTGATCCGCAGAGTCGGGAAACAGCTCCTAACTACTGGATCATGATAGCTACGGGTCACTATAGAGTATTCAAGTAAGTACGTAGAAATTTGGAGTACTACAGGCAAAGATAGTAGTGATATATTTCGGGTCTGATGTCCTATGTAATAAGACACGAGGTGCTGCAGACATGTAATAACGTGGTCCGAATGTCAGAAAACGTGCACAGGAATAACTACACACCTAATGAGGCTAGTTCAGATGGACAAGACATGGGATGGACAAGTGCGCGTGAAGTGCAATCAGCTGATGCGATGTCCGAAGGTCCGATGTGCCGGATCCGATACGGAGTGGCTCGGACATGTGCGAAAGTGCGTCGGACATGTGTGCATATGTTTCGGGTGTTGACGTGAGTATGAAAATACGTGGTTTCGAGCCCAACACCACGACCATTGCTACAGCGTCCTGGGTGCACATGTAATCACGAACGCTCTTGTGTGTGGTGATGTTGAATGGGACCTCGATATAAATGTACCCACCATTGGGAAAGTAGTGCTCCAAATAGTGAGAGAGCAGAGGAACGGGCGTCACAACCTCATTACTGCCACCCAGAATGAAGTGGATGACAGCAATGGGTGCAGCAGCCAATGCTGCAGATGATGCAGTCTCGAACCTGCTGTTCAATTGAAGGTAACCCTGCAGAGCAGGTTCTCCTCCTTGAGCCGGCAGGCTCCCTCTGTAGAATCCCTGTAGTCATTAGTTAGCTTTATTCAAATTGAAAATGAAATAAAACAAAGGACTCACATAGTAAGGCGCGGGCACCTTATGGGTGCGCCCAGTAGGACAGCTACATAGGATCCTTCTACAGAAACAAAAACATAGAGAATCGCATTTTTCACACTTTTGATGTTTTTAACTGCCTTACTCTTGCACAAATAATACAACCTGTTCATATATCATTATAATAGCATATATACTCGCTTTTTATCACAAGGATCAGGTCAAAATAGGCTGGAGTCTTGAGCTAGTGTGGATGCTTGCTAGTTTTACTGATAAGGAGCCTATATTTTCAAAACATCGAAATTGAATAATCAGACACCTGGAGTAGATTTAAAATATATTCAGTATCATGGGTCTAAATTTACAAAACAATCCAACAAGAATTTAGTGCTGAGGAAGTGAAACAGATAAGAAATTGAGCGTGGGAAAGTTCAAAGACTCAAAACATCGAAAATGGTCAGTTGGGCAGTGGTGGGACTTTAATGCTGGGTCAACTGAGATACACACCACATCCCTTCCACCACCCTCCAGCCTCAGGGCAGTATGTAGTATAGATTCCTTTAGTAATCTACCATGTATCCTGCATATCTTTAATGAAATATTTGACCTGTATCATATATAAATGTGACTTTGTGTAAAAAGATGGCAATTGTCACTTCTCACACATATGTCATTTTACTTGTCATTCAGTCAGTCCTTCATGGATCTGTCTAAAGTCTCAGAGTCATTATCAGGGACATATATGGGAGGTATTCCAGGTCTTTGATTGCTTGTCACAGGCTTGATTACTATGTAGGCTTCTTATCAGTAGAAATGCCCCCTGTACATCAGATATCAAATTTGCGCCCTATGTAGGGCTGATACTTGGCTTAGAAAATATGTGGGAATGTTCTACTGATTATATATGAGCAGGACTGGTCATTTATGCAAGAGTAAGGCAGTTAAAAACATCAAAAGTGTGAAAAATGCGATTCTCTATGTTTTTGTTTCTGTAGAAGGATCCTATGTGTGTCCTGGGCCAGCTATATGATAGATTTACTCCAAATATACATAGGGATAGACCCCTTACCTCAATTGAGGTCCGGTCCTATAGGAAAAATTTTCACAGGGGGTAAACCACCAGGAGAGGGGGGGCACACCATGCAACAGGGTATTCTCCTATGGTCTTGGGCTCTTGATACATTGTTCCTATTGTTGAATAGATGCTGGGAATCATTTGTTTAAGTCTGTCCACCTAGAAATAATCAAATGAGAACATATTCTGTGTTTTCTTGCATATGCACTATATCTATTGATGTAGGACGCTTCAGGGGTTCAAATAAAGACGGGAATATACTCATATATGCTCATAGACATGTTCTAAATATCATAGAACACTTCCCCACCAAATGGGCAAAAATGCGAAAGTGTTTTGTACCCTACCCTATGTTGAATTGCCCCTGGAGGAGGAGCAGTCACACAAACAAACAAAAAAAGCAGTCTATTATATTTTATCATATATATATATACTAAACTACTACTTATATATAAAGGGGGAGCTATTGTGGTGTGGTGGTGAAGCTGCAATGATGTGGGGAGGGTGTGGAAATAATTATAATTGTGTGGTGTACCATATTGGGTGATGTTTTGGGTGTTGTGGGGTAATTCCCACAGCATGTGGCTAAAAATGCGAAAATGCGGAGTGTGGGAATAATGTGGAGAGGCCTGATAACATATCAAAACATCTGACAAATGTGGAGAACACATTTGTGACTGAAAACATAGCTGAGTTTCAAAATGCGGCTGTGAAAGCCCCCAAATAGGGACCTGGCAAGTGCCATGCAATAGGTCAAAAGAGTGAACTGGTAGTTGCCCATGAAAGTGTCTATGGTAAAAATGGTAGTTGCCAAAATACTAGGTCTAATTTTACAGCCAAGGGTGAAAAAAGGATGTCCGGTTGAGCCACCAGGCTGCGAGAGTCGGACGGCACATCAAGGCACCTGCTACACATGACCCGAGGGCAAGCGCTGCACTCATAGAGCACAACGTCCCCCTCAGCACCATCACGGCAAATAAGACACCACTAACAAATATTAGCAACAGTAAATGCATGAAGAAAGGACTTACTGAGCTGTGGGCGTCTGGTTGTACTACCTCAACCTCCCCCTCACTACTTGGGCTTGCTGGAGGAGGAGAGGCAACCGGCGATCCCAGAGGTCCACTGAGTCGCCTAGCAACACCACCGGCAGCTTGCTTTTTGGCAGTATTCTTAGTCATAGTGCTGAAACGAAGGACTTAGTAGAAAGAAGGAAGGTGTGAGGTGCAGAAACTGAACCGGCCGGTTGAACCAACAGTCATGTGACCATGGACAATGAGTGGCGCAGTAAACAACAACACATCAGGTGGCCGCAAAAGTCATGTGCTTGAATTGTTGAGCTGGCACTGTGCGAATGTAAACAAAGGCAAATATGCTGTGGCCTAAAGGCGCCACCACCCATTCACACGGTTGACTTTCTTGTTTCTCTCCACTCAACACTGCCGCCTTATCCCATTAGGCACTTACACAGGCTGCAGCTGTGTAAGTGCCTAATGGTCAATGAGGAGCATCTATTTAACTTAAGTATATCTCTTTTTATCTCAAAATCCTTACTGAATAGCGCTTCAGTTCTTTTATAGGTCTTCTTTTGTAAGGTGAGTACTATCTTGAGAACTCTTATGCTCACCCCTTTTCTTCCTCTCTAGCGGCCTCAATCTTGAGCTCAGAGGTCTAGTGCGTGCGCTGGCACGCCTAGCCTCTATGCTTGGTCACTTTGGGGGCTTGGAGGGTGGTTTAGTGTGCACACTGGTGTGCCTATCCACCCTCACCATCAACCTTGGGCAGGGAGGTCTAGTGTGCACGCCAGTGCACCTAGCCTCTATGCTTGAGCATTCTGGGGACTTGGAGGGTGGTTTAGTGTGCACACTGGTGCGCCTATCCACCCTCACCATCAACCTTGGGCAGGGAGGTCTAGTGTGCGCGCTGGCGTGCCTAGCCTCTGCACTGTCCAATACTTGGGTAATCTGGCGGTTTATCAAGGTATCTCTCTCATTATTGACAGAATGCACTCTGACTGCCGCTTACAGTTGTTTTTTTTTGGTAAATTCACTCTCAGGTAATTTTGATTTACATTCACACCCCAAGTGCTAACACAACGCTTGCAGACCATCCTTGACTTATTTATATATACATTCAATTGTTTCTTGTAGTAGTGTGCTGTACAATGCCAAGGCAGGGAGGGCCCCTCCGCTGCAGCTTTGTATTAGCTAGTTTAGTTTTTTCTGTACATCTTAGTATTTTTGTTGTTTTCTTTACTTTATACTAGCTTCGTCATGTAATACCTTACAACAAAGCTTACAAAAGAAAGGCTGAGCACGCCACCCTTCGCCCAAGTAACAAGTCATGTGACTGATCACCCATGATGGGACATGTGACTGTGCCAGTGCGCCCACAATAAGTAACTGGCCAGCCGGTACTTCTTGCCCAACTAGAATTCTGAGTAGTGTCTGTGGCAAGTCTAAATATAACACTAGAATAGTGAAACTAATCTTCTACTGGGCGTATTTGTGAGGTGGTGTATGCAATGGCTTCCTGAGCAGCTTTGCCAAGCTCATTCGTTCAGTACAAGAATAGTCGGACTGTCTGACTGTTCTTGTACTAGACGGATTTGTGAAGTGGTGCAGCTGGTGGCTTCTTGAGCAGCTTTGCCAAGCTAGCTCACTCAGTACAAGAATAGTTGGACTATCCGACTATTCTTGTACTGGATACGAATATCATCTTATCTTCCTCATAGTACAAGAATAGTCAGACTATTCTTCTATTCTTGTACTGGATACAAATATCATCTTATCTTTCTTATAGTACAAGAACAGAGGAATAGTCTCACTAGTCTTGTACTGGACGGATTTGTGAGGTGGTGCAGCTGGTGGCTTCTTGAGCAGCTTTGCCAAGCTAGCTTGCTCAGTACAAGAATAGTTGGACTATCCGACTATTCTTGTACTAGATACGAATATCATCTTATCTTCCTTACAGTACAAGAACAGTCTCACTATTCCTGTACTGCACGTGTTTGCGAGGTGGTGTATGCAATGGCTTCTGAGCAGGCTAGTATTACAATTCTTGTACCAGATAATGCCATCAGCAGTCTCCTACAATCCTACCAGTTCTGGTCATCATGAGGTTAACAGCCTATCAAATCCATCTAAGGCATTATGGTAGCCATTACATACATCGCCTCACATTATCTCAATTTGGTAATTCTCCATATAGACTAGCTCGAAACTACTGGAAAAGTTTTCCTGTTGCCACCTGACGCCATTAATCTTCTGTTCTTCTTTTGCTTCTGCCATGGAAGATCCTGTGACAAAACTGTCTAAAAACCTCTCTAGCCGCGTAGATGAGCTACTCCGGAACTCATCACCTTTTGAATTATTCTCATATACTAAGATAGATGATAGGTTACTAGAAAAAGCAAAGTAAGCAGGTTTTAAGTTAAGACTCAGTTGTGCTGAACTGCTCCAAATTTCAGGATGAGACTGTGGAACGAGTGGCAGAAGGTTCAACTTTCCAGTTCTGCCACACAAGTCAAGACCGGGGAGATTGCCGAGATTGAACTCTCCAGGGCTGCGGTCACCATAGCTTATGCTGCCATTAATAGCTGTAAGATTTTATTTGAATTTGACCGGGATCTATTTGTGATTGTTTGACCCCAGTAAGGATGGATTGGGATGTCCACCGTTTTGCAGACCAAGCTAAGGTGTCAACAAAGAGAAAAACTTGCAAAATATTTCAAAACTCCTTCTTTCGGCCACATCTCGGAGCTGACCACGTTTGTTGACAAGCACGGAAGGATACTCGCTTGGTATTTGCCAGAGATCTTGGTGCCTGATTGAATGGTGCGCCCAACTTTCAGACATGCAGTCAAATCATTTGTAACTGTTTATATTTAGGAACAGGCCAATAGCTTGATCAAGTTGCTCAGACCTGTCCTAGACCGGTCTTTGGCCAAGGCAACTAAAGAGAAAAACAGCCCTTGGCGTTCACAAGGTTTTGTCGTGCCTCCAGGGGGGGGGGGAGTTTGGAGCAGGGCGGGTGACTTTATGCCCTGGTGGATTCATGCAGTGCCAAGAGGTAAGTAAATCTTTCTAGGCTTGTTTAAGTACAAAACTAACTTAACAGAGCTAGCATCTCCAAGATGATTTGTACCAATCACCCCAGCTCGGTTTGCCTGTTGTTCGGCGTTGGTTATCTGAAATTACTGTGCCTGAACAACTCTGGTCGGCTATTACTAGTATTATTGCGCCGGATCAGTATCTTGCTGGTATTGAATCCGTGTCTAGACTGAAGAATATGGTTTGTACCTCAAAACCAGTTGTTTGGCCCTGTCTTTTCTGGAATTGAGGTAATTGTCAACCGAGAGACACCGCATCACCGAGATCCAGGAGCATCACCACCATTCTACGACCTTCTAGTTAGCCTTGGCCAAGCCAACCAGGCTATACTAGATCTTCCAGACTTGGGCACCCAACTAGGTTATCCCCCTAGGACTATGGTATATATTGCAGGCAAGGTGCTGGAACATGGAGTCCCAGGTTGGGGTGATGGCGAGAGGATCGTGATCGCCCATTTTATCAAGGATAAGGTCCATGATAAGCAAGGCATTCCAAGGCCAAGCTTTCCGATCCAGCATGATCTTCTCAAGTGGGTGGGGGCTGGTAGAGGTCTGAAACCTGTTTGTAAGAAGAAGGTGGGAAAAATTGATGGGGTTGGAAGGGTAGCAGCTAGGCGGTAATAGAGTTAATTAATCTATCAAGAGAAGATATGACCAGATTTGATGGGGATGGTTTTTTTTATTGCATTACTCGCCTTACTTTGTAATGTTCATTCTCATTCCTTGGTCCAAGTATTATGTCTGGCCAGAAAAAAAACCGACTCAAGTCTGTTTCATATTCTTTCAAAGACAGGGGTAGTTTGTCACAACGAAAAGACCTGGATGTCAACTATATTGCCTACAAACCTACAATTGGAAGGAGGGGAAAGCCATCATGGCTCGAATCTCGTGCTGATTCACTGTATGAAATATCGGGGAAATGTTCCTCCTCCTCGAGCCCCAGGAAACGAGCAAAGGAGGTCTTGATGGATTTGTCAGACATCAAGACATTCACTGACTTTGGTTTGGAAGGAGAGGCTGCTCAGGATGCAAGAAAAACCAAGGTACAACTCGCATTTTCTAGCTTACAGATAACTCTCTTCTCATAATACATAATATAGACCCAAAATAACTTCATAGCAGAGTATTTGGCCTACCGGAATCTATATCTAGACATCATCCTGGAATCGGAACAATTTACCTGTGCTGGCATCTGTGAGACTTGCCAAAGTGCTGAGGGCATATTCAGTTGTTTAACTTGCACTGGAGATCATGGCTGGTGTCGCCCTTGCATGGTCAAGTTGCATCAGTCATCACCATTTCACAAAATTCGTTTGTGGACCAGGAAGTGCTTCGAGGATGTCAAGCTAGCTGACCAGGGTTTAATATGGTACTTAGGCCATAGTGGAGAATCTTGCCCTTGGTATGAAGCTTCACAACTGTGTGACTCCAAGGTTGAAGCCTTGGCCCACAATACCACCAGTCACTATTGTACATTCTTCTGGGGTGTTCATGCATAACGTAGCATGGTGTCATTGCCTGGGATCCGATTCCCAGCATGTACAACTCCTAAAAGCAGGACTATTTCCTGCCAGCTTCACCCATCCAAAGACCGTGTTTACCTTTGAGGTGTTGGATCATTTTCTCAATGATGCCTTGGAATGCAAGACTTCTGCAAGGAGCTTCTATGAGAAACTCACAAGGCTGACTAATAACACATTCCAAGATACTGTCCTGGTGAGTTTAAGTGTACTTGATACAGTAGCTCTTTCTGAATATCCGGCATGTATTGGCAGGATCGATACCGTGAACTCATGAGAGTATCCCGGCTTTGGCAGGACTTAAAGAACTGAAAAATGGTTTGGATTTGGCCATGATGTTAAATCAGAGCCTGGCCCTGGTGATCTTGCTCTTTTTTGCCCTTCTTGTCCGCAGCCAGGAATCAATATGTCTTTGCTTTGGGAGCAGAAGTATGAAAGGCAAGTTGTTTAATTATTAAATGGTCTGGCTGGTACAGCTACTACAGCTGCCAGCTAGCATCCTGGCCAGCCAGTCTAGCTGGGAAAGGAAGCTGGCCAGCCTTAGTTCTACCTAGGGTAGACATAATGCTGCCCCAGAGCAAACTGGATGCAAGCCCAGACTCTAAGGTTAAACAAGGCTAATTGTGCATTGCAGGTGGCTGATTATGAGGAGATTGGTCGTCGATGGGAACTTCACTGCTCAGCATATGAACATGCATCAGCCTGAACTAGACATCTTCCTCTCAGATGGAACAGGTTATATGGTGGCTGATGCTCGTTATCAAGCTCACTTGGCCTCAGCAATGGAAAGCAAAGAGGTGAGTCAGCTAATTCATTTTTCATTTTCAGTGTCTCAATGTGTGAGAAGAGCTCCACATGTAGCAACCTTCGAGCCACTGGGGTGGGTGCCACAGCTTGTGCTAGGCATGGATGTTTTGTACCTCACTCAGTAGTAGACTTCCAGAAGGGTGAATGGCAAGTCTTCTTTGATTTATTGTGTCATGACATAATATGCTGACAAAATTATGTTAAGCCAAATGAATGTTGATTACTCCATATGTGAGGGTATTAAATACGCTGCCAACCGAATTGATACCTCCTTGGTGATTTACGATGTGGGGTGTCAGTGGAACCTTCACTTTGCAGATCGTGTTGACAACTGCCCTGGCCTAAGACTACCTGAAAATGCAGAGATTGTGGCTGCTGTGGGGAAATTTCATCTTAGTGCTCATAACCTGGCTTGTTTCGCTAGATACAGCCTGAACTTCATTATTGGAGCTGCCCAGGTTGATGGGGAAATTCTGGAGACACTCTGGGCTCCCTTCAACAAGATATCCCCAACAGCTCGTTCCGTGAGCCAAGCCCACCGTCAAGAAATCCTTGATGACCACATGCTGTTACGACTGGGATAGTTCTTCTGTCAAAGGTCAAAGATAGACCGGTCGAGTTGACAGTTCGTCGGCCTTCCTAGCACAAGGAAGGTTTCTGGATCAAGGGTTCTCACTAGACGAGCCGCAGCTTCTGTCTAGGATCAGTGGTGAGTGGTTTTAGCACTTCTACCGCAATCAAGGGTTCAGGCTAAGACAGTGAGTGACTGTCTTAGAATCAGAGTTCAGGCTACAAGGGTGGAGACCTTGTAGATCAGGATTCAAGGGGAAAACCCAGTAGATTAAGTTAAGGGATACATCTATGGTACATGGGGTTTATATAGGTAAAAGGGAGCGGCGCAGCCACGACAAGAATGGTAACAAAGATAGGAAAAGAGTACAACCTATCAAGATAGCAAAGATAGGTGAAACCGCCATGCGGCGCAAGATAGTATCTATGTTACAATCAAGAAGAAGAGAAGTGCGGACAGCCCGCTTGATAAGAGAATAGCCGGGTCTAGATGAGTCTAGAGTCGGCGGCGTGGTTGCAAAGGAAAAATGAAATAGGAGTAAATGTTATTGTAACACATGTGGAATTCAAATTGGAAAAAACTTGTTCATATTGGTGAGTCATATATTTGGTGTCAATAAGACTTTGATTAAATATTATCAGTCAAGACCCTGTTGCAAAAGTACAAAAGAGCAAATAAGGGCATTGATGACACAAAGATTCCATTTGATGATCTTACAAAATCCTTGGATGTCAACAAAGTCATCATGTGGGAAAGTGACGAGAGACAAGCCGTGGAACAGTGGGGGGCTCATCTTGATATATACAATCTAAAAATAGATAAAGGTGAGCGTTTGAGAGCTTCTACTGGCTTCAGTGTACATTCTGATGGAGGATTTGAAGCACCAACAATGGCAGACATAAGGCTTAAATTAACCGAAACAGAATATGCTGATACCGGCAAATTGGGTCTGGTATCTTGGCTTATTGAAGGTATCAATTTGGAAGATGTGCAGTGAGTCATTTCATTAGCCTCACAATCAACAGCATTTTAATTCAGCCCTAGGGATGCATTACAAGTAGATATTTGGCGGCTTCCCAGAGATGCATCTGCTACTCAAAAGGTTGTGGTCGCAGAGAAACAGCAAAAATTAGCTGCACATATATCAAAATATCACAAAAAAACTGATGCCATGACACAGGGCATTGAATTAAACTCAGGTACAGTGCCCGTGGATGACACCAGATTTTGCACTGCAGATACTGAGGAGCTAGGGGAAGAAGTTGTAGATGTCGAGTTTACCTCAGAAGAGATCGTCGATGAAGTTCCTGCAGAAGTGATGGGTATTTGGATGCCATCATCAGTGCCCCACAAGGATGCTGTAGCCCTTGGCTTGGGTGCTCTACAGATCAAAGAACTCCAGTTACGGCAGGGTCAGGTAAATGATTGCCTAGAAAGATTACGACAGGCTCTTGGTCATAAAGCCATCATTTATCGTCAATACTTCCGAAGTGCAGATTCCACCTGGATGGGTACCAGGTCAAAGCAAGATGCTTTTCAGTGCCAGATAAAAATAGATAAGTGTGTTCGAAGTTACCAAAGGGCAAGGGATGCCATGCAGAGACTAGGAGTGGATGAAGAAACTCTCAGGGATGTTTATCAACAAATCCAGCCCAGCCAGCTCACCGTGAACCAGGAAGTGACTGAAGAGAATAGATATGGTCAGGGATCAGACAGACTAGCATGGTTTTGGAGGATCAACAATGGTGGTGATCTTCGTGAGGATGCATGGATAAATGAATGTGAGTGGTGCTTTATATTTCATATGTATTCTTACTACAAGAATCAGTCTACAGTGTCAATTGGTTAAAAGCAAAGGCTGGAAAGAAGAATTAAGTTTGATTCGGCATGAGATGGGTTGGACAGTTGGCTGGTTTAGGCATAAGATGGGTGAATGGGAGAGAAGGTATAAAGAAGCTACAAAGCTTGGGCATAAAGCTTATGCACAATGGCAGGTGCTTTTGTGGGAACAGTTTGTGCTGGATGTAGAGAATTCATTCAAAGACAAGATGATTGTGGTATCTTAACTATATTGTCACCAGTATACAGCTCTCATTACTCTTCTGCTCAAAGTGAAGTCTGCCCAAAATATGCCCAAGCAACAAGAGGTTTTGGCACAGGCCAGTTTCCCTCTAATTTGATGTCTGGCCAGACAGGGTCTAAGGGCCAGCTCCCTCTAATTTGATGTCTGGCCAGTACAGGTCCTATGTGTCTGGCCCGACAGGGTCTACGGGCCAGCTCTCTCTCATTTGATGTCTGGCCAGTACAGGTCCTACCTGTCTGGCTGGACTGGGTCTACAGGCCAGCTCCCTCTCATTTGATGTCTGGCCAGTACAGGTCCTACCTGTCTGGCCGGACAGGGTCTACGGGCCAGCTCTCTCTCATTTGATGTCTGGCCAGTACAAGTCCTACCTGTCTGACCGGACAGGTTCTACGGTCCAGCTCCCTCTCATTTGATGTCTGGCCAGTATAAGTCCTACCCCTCTGGCCGGACAGGGTCCAAGGGCCAGCTCCCTCTAATTTGATGTCTGGTCAGTACAGGTCCTACCTGTCTGGCCGGACAGGGTCTATGATCCAGCTCCCTCTAATTTGATGTCTGGCCAGTACAGGTCCTACCCCTCTGGCCGGACAGGGTCTACAGGCCAGCTCCCTCTTATTTGATATCTGGCCAGTACAGGTCCCACCTGTCTGGCTGGACAGGTTCTAGGGTCCATCTCCCTCTCATTTGATGTCTGACCAGTACAGGTCCTACATCTCTGGCTGGTCAGGGTCTATGGACCAGCTCTCTCTCATTTGATATCTGGCTAGCACTGGTCCTACGTCCATAGCTGATACCTAGTATATAGCTAGTCACATATTACTGTACATGCCTCTACGTGCTGGCCAGTACCACATATACGTGAATTTAGTACAGCCGGCCAGCCTCTGGCTGCACAGCTTCTACAACCTTTTGGCATGTCCGGGGTACAGGTTCTATGTTGGGTTTTGACTGAATGGTCTGCTGAATTTTCACATTTGACTGAGCTCCAGGTTCAACTTCATTAGCAGAAGGACACAATCCAAGAAAGAAGCGCTCTGGGATAAAGTATGCCTTGGACTTGCAGTAGCTCATTGACAAAATATATCGTGCCATCAACCCAAACTGCTGGCGGTGATGGAAGATCAAGTAGCATCTTCATGCCATTAAACACCTGTGACATTCCATCGCCTCCATCTTTAGGGTAATCTTGTATCGCGAACCGTGTGAGCGGGTTCGCATAGTCCTGAGATATTGTCAGTATCATATACACCTAGGTAACATAGCAGACAAATTCTAGCAATTGATTCTGCAATATTGTTGATGTAAAAGATGTCCCCCGAGCGAGCCGAGACCTTCTCGGTTGGATCACCAATGAGACAGTCGATGTGTTTCTGGACTTTCTTGATGGCGCCAAATGAGGGAACATCCCGAGCACCGAGCTCTCTAGCCCAATTGATGATGGCCTTTTTCTGTCCATCAGAAAATGGGTGGCAGGGAGAACTAAAAAGAAGTGACATTATAAAGTTCTTGATGCTATGAGCATCGAGTTTGCAACTTGTATGGAGAAAAAACTCACTGCTTTGGATGTCCATGGGTATGTTGGACTATCTCAAGAGGAAATAACATTGGAGCCTGTTGTATCGTACTTGCCATCATCTGTGAACTTTGTTAAGTGCATTGTTATAGAGCACGGATCAAATATCACACTCACCGGGAACTTCAATGCCAAAATCAGGCGTACAATCATCGAAGAGCTCATGCTCGTCATTTACGGGGGCGAGAGGCATTGAGGAAGGAATTTCCCCACAGGTAAGACTTGCTTGGAGCTCGGAGAATAGGTCCAGATGCACTCTGTCGAACTCAGGTGTCCGATCACCTGTGGTATGATTCAAAAGCTCAGATAGTGGGACCTCCATGTCTACATCAGGCATGTCTGCATCCATGTATGGGTTGTTAGAATCGTGGGGAGACACAGTGGGTTTGGTGTTTGTTGTGGCGAAGACGGGGGCCCCAGCTTTCTTAGGTCGCAAATTCTCAAGTTGCGGTATGGGAGTAGTGTCCTGTCGTTTCTTGACAAACCTTTCAGAGAACCATTGATGCCTGCTCTGGGCGATGTGCTTTTCGATGTGTTGGATGGCCATTGTGCGCAAGACACCTGCTTTGCGAGGGCACACTGTGCAAACAACATGCTTGCCCCCATCTTCGCAATATTGTATGACTGTAAATAAAAAGCAGTGAAATATAAACAACCATTTAAATAACAGAGCAATGAAAACATACTATCACCGTCAACAAATTTATTGTTCATGATGGGATGTGCAGGGCAAGTCGATTGAGTGGCTGGAGGGTTGATTGAGGCTTTGGCAGTAGTACCTATCAAGCACTATAAAAAACAATGATACTGTGAGCGCTTCTATAGTAGGAGTGAGGAAAGATGGAGGAAAATGAAGTTTTTCATACGAGGCGGCAAATTGATCGTAAGATGAGTCATTTGCAGCGAAAAGAAAGGATAAAATGGGAGGGAAGTGAAATGACTCACCAGTTATCAGTAATGTCATACACAACAATGATACCATGAGTCACCTCTATAGTATGAGGACATTATGGTGTGGAAGGATAAAGTTTTTCATACAAGGCTGTGAATTTTTCGTCAGATGAGTTGTTCATAGGGAAAGGAGGGTGAAGATGGGAGGAAAGTGAAATGACTTGCCTGTTATCAGTCACGTCGTACACAACAATGATACTGTGAGCGTCTCTATAACAGGAGGACGTTATGGTGCAGAACCGCCCCTGGTTGTGATCTGTAAATTAGCTCTGCTTCAACAACAAAAACTATGGGACTCACAAATGGGATGAGTCAATGGCTTGCAGGAGTCTGAGGACGATGATATCACAGAATGACTTGAAGTTGTTGAGCTGACTTGGTCATGTGCTTTGCAATATTGATTCTGAACGACAAGTCCAAAGTCTCACAACGGCTCACTTTCTCAGACTTCAGGCTCCAATGTTTCACCATGGATCCGGGAACACTCACTAACAGTTCTATTGTCTATCCCGACATACAACATGAAGAGACTGGCTGCATATCACTGCAACCACTAATTCTCACAATCTGTTTTTCAGGCATGCTACCAGAGGGTCTTCTACAAGAAAACATCGTGAGTCGTTGTTTGATTGAAAACAAACTCAATCTTCACAATTATCTGTTGCAGCCCATTCAAATATCAGTATCTATTGACGAGGAGTATGGGGTATTTACCACTCCAGTCATAAACACTGTCTCAATGGATGTGAGGGATTCTGATAGTTGGCAAGTGGATTTGCTACCCTCGAGTGATGTGAGTCCACGTTCTGTCGCAAACACAAAGTACTTACATCGTGATGCAGCTGTATTTATTTCAAGATATAGCTGATCACAGTGTTGCTCCCCCTCCGATGATAGCATTCCATTTCTCCCACTTCCACCAGCATTCGACTCCTGCAATCGAGAAAATTGGGCATCATTGTCGAAGGAGATTGAGACATGGCTGGTATTGGAAGTGGATCCAGAGTCACCATTATGGACTTGGGGACATGATGCCTTTTGGTTAGCATTTATTGGTGCATATCCATACTTCCCAAGAGACAGATGGCCAATGTGGGATTCTCAAGTACCATTGCAAGGTACATTCATTGAAGCATGATTAGATCAGTCAAGCGGCGCCAAGGTGAATTGGATTGGAGTACGAGGCATCAATGAAGTACTTGATCATGTTTGGACTGAGTTCTGCATGCATGCAGCCCTCTTCTATCCCAGTCCCCTTATTTCTTCTGACTGCCTTCAGGACGATCAAGCTTGCACTTCACATGTTTCAGTATGTTAAAATACCTATACCACAAAACTTGTCATTTTCGTTAGTGTCTATCATTGTATATAGGTGTACTAATATTATGTGCTTGGACTGTTACCATGAACCAGCAAACCACTGGAAGGCCTGCAGTGATATCCAGATCACTAATAGTTGAGAGTCGATGACATGCAGATTAGCGGCGGTCAGTAGACTGTCATAGGAGTAAACAGATAGGTCGGAGTCAGTGCCCAGCATCAGTGTCATATACATACAACCTCTCTCAGATGTCTCCGCTTCTGATCTTTACCACAGGTTTCCATCTGATATAGCAAAAATATTATTCATGTGGCCTCACGTCGAGCCCCGATGCAGGCCCAGGTGACCTATTTCCTATTTTTGCCAGACATCAGGTCAAATGCACTGACACAACCTCTTTTTGTTAGCTTTACTCTATAAATGTGCTATTTACCTACAAAAGCTTTATTATAGTCAAGATCCAGCTCGTAGTTAGGTCGCTAAATAGTTTTCGCACTATATCTGTTCGGCCAAAAGCGGCAGTTGGTGTGTAGGTATACTAGACTCGTGACCAGTCTGGACTATGCTGGTCGATCTCGGAGAAATTTGCGAGCGAGGAGTTTGAAATTTGACAGATGCCGGTCACGCCGGTTTAGGTAATCGTTGTAATTGTACAAGAGGTGTGCATTCGGCGAATGCCGAACACGAGGTCCTATTACAGGCACCTAGTACCAAACTGGTGCCAGGTGTCCACATTTCAGCCACTTTGGAGAAAACAACAGGTTTGCATGAGTTTTTGCACAGTGGTCGCAGAACCCATCGAAATCATACCGTTTCTTGACAAAGTTGCATTATATTAGTCTATAGAACAGTTCTGCACACACCATTCTTTGATTTCAAGCTTCGAAACATGAAATGTGCCAGAACATTTGAAGAACATTGCAGATTTCCTAATTGATACATGACGCAAACGATCGACCGACGTGTTCTTACAGTCGCAAAGACGTGTTTCTCCTTGCCAGATACCATCACTGTACACTACAACACACTTGGGTTGTGCGAGAAGGCCTCGAGAACTTGCTGGTGTTGTGGCATTGAAAGGGCACTCGTAAAGTCCGTCGGGAGATCTTCAATTGCATCTCGAGCAGCGAGTGATAAAGGTCGTACTGGTATGGAACACATGGTGAACACTTAACATATTATAGAGTCTCAACGTTCAACGACGATAGCCACACTACATACCCTTGAGAAGCGGCGGCGGCGCAGCAGCTAATGGCCTCAATTTGTGCTCTAGTGACCTCTGCAGCGCTTTCTGCGGGACATGCCTATTTAGAATCCACCTGCGGTTAACTGCTTCTAAGAACAGATAATTAAGTACCGGGAGACCCTTGAGAACACCATCCTCTGCTTGGCGAACCAGGCTCGACTCTCTTTGATCAGAAACCGAACACGAACATGGTCAAGGGAAAAAGATACTGTCGCCCAGCAGCTATCTGCTTTACGATGTACACAGGATGCACAGTTCCTTGGTCAATCAGTCTGATATTCTTAAGCGGTTTATCGTAGGAATGACCGCTTGAGTGATGTTAAGCAAACAAGGACTAGAGAACGATTATATATTCTTGACTTGATGCTGGTCATCCGCGCCCAGTTATCATACCGGGCCTACGCACTTGATGACAGCACCAATGTCTGACTCGAGGCACGATAGCCCAAGGAGCTGTCACGTGTGGCCAGGAGTTCTCGACCGATGAGATGAAGACGGACGACCATTCTTAGGTCACAATGTTGGACGCTACGGGGCATGTGTGAGCGCTGAAGAAAAAACTCGATATGATAGTCGCACCTAAGTATCTATCGGCATGGCTTGTGCAGAAATTGGCGTTCTTTTCCCTTCTCGCCCAAGTCCGGCAGCTCTTTCTGCTTCTTCTATCGTATATGCAGGTTGCTTCAAAACTTTGCATCGTCGTTTATGTACTTTCCCCCTCCAATGTGACAGGAGCGCAGAATCAGTCTCGAAGTATCTTTTTAATGACATGATCAAGTTGACTGAAAAAGTATGGTAACAGTTCGACTTACTTTGCACATTCGACGCAGTAATGCTGGGCAAGACCAGGTTTCTCGAGATCAATGGGCTGTGCTTCAAGAGCAGCTCGGTTCTATATAAGAATTTAGATGGAGCGCATGAGCTGAAGAAAGTTTCAGTACCTTCGGGTCTAGATCGATGAGCTGAATTTGATCGAGATCTTTTGTGCGAGCCTATTGGGAGTCAATAAAGAAACAGAGACCAGAAAGTGAGTGCATACCCTTGTGCGGGATGCTCGATGCACGTCACGTTGTGCATGATGTGTACGAGATCTCCGTACCCGACCCATGGTGTGTGCAAAAAAACCCGTCTAACAAATTCACTGGCAATTGATACTGTCCTGTAATTCCCTTTTTAGGGTTGTCCACTTAGCACGCGCACAACCTCAGCTTCACTTGAACCTCACTCGTAAACGGCAATGGCGCTCCCAACAAACGGACGAGTGGTAATTGACACAACTGCAGGAGAGATTGAAATTGAGCTATGGTCAAAGGTGTGCACTGTATCTGTGGAGTATGTGACTTGGTTGCTGAGTGTGCACCCAGGAAACGCCAAAAACATGCCGGAATTTCATCGCACTCGCGCTAGAAGGTTAGGAATTGATTTTGGTTTGAAACCAAGGCGCCCAGCTCATTCAGAGGTCAGGTTATTATGACGGTGTTATATTTCATAGGTTAGAACCTTATTCCGAGTCAGGGTGTTCAGAACGGGTCTCTAAATTTCCTTGCAGAATCGTACCGGGTTTCCTAGTCCAAACCGGTGACAAAACAGGGACAGGTGGAGGAGGGGAGTCATTCTATGGAGGTGTGTCTTTATCGTGGTTTACCTTGATGCATGGTCACAATACTTGCCAAAGAACCATTCGAGGATGAAATTCACCCGCGATTGCGGTATGCTCACCGTGGGCTTGTCGCTATGGCCAACAATGGGACGAAGAATTCTAATGATTCCCAGTTCTTTATCACTCTTGGTGAGAAAGATCTCAGTGACACTTGGTAATCGACGATATTGACTTCACTCCTGGTAGACAGAGCGGATGAATTGCACGGCAAACACACGCTTTTCGGGAGGGTAATGGGGGACACCGTGTATAGTACGTTTGGAGGTTAGACATGGTGTCATATTTCTCACTCATTTTGACTTAGACGTCATGAAAATCGGGGAGATGGGTAGGTGACTCTATGCTAGGGGCTTAGTCAACCAACATCAATTCACCCCTTCCAGAGATTGGCGAAAATGAACGACCCGTGTAGTAGGTTTGACACCAACTTGTGGCTGCCTTTTCCTTTCAAAGCTCACTAGCCTTCATGACCCAGTCCACCCAAAATCAAGTCGATAACAATAGTCGACAATCCATTCCCAGACATTATACCCCGAATCACTGCTGCCGAGAAGCGTGCTCAGCAGCGAGCTCGAGAAGCTGGTCAGCGTGAACGAGAAGAGGCCGAACGTCGGAGGGGTGCTAAAAAGTGAGTCAACAATTGTAATTTACGCTTGTACTGCTGACTCCACGAAGAGATGTAAAGCTTTTGAGCTTTGGGGGAGAGCAGGATGACGAAACCGAACCCGTGGCGTTCAAGAAGAAAAATATTGCACGACCCGACCGTGAGTTCACTCGTCAACGATCACGCAAAAAATACAGCTGAGCAGAAGGTTGCAGTGGTCGACAATCATGACGCAATAGGCATTCCAATGCCAGAAGCTCTGCTTGGTCCTCCGAAGAAATCTAATGAACCACCTCGAGAACGTGCATCTGAGAAGGAATCATCCAAGGTACGTACTTTATAGCTACGCCGAATAACGAATAACACAGATCAGTATCAGCACGAGAAACCTTCAAAAAGTAGCAAATCCGAGGGTGCAGATAAGGACATCAAGAAAATCCGTGAAACACACGCAAAAGAGAAGGCTTCTGGAAGGTTTCTAATATTTTATAACCTCTTGGACTGCAAGTTGACGCATGACATCAATAGTGATGCCCGACGCACTGAAATTGAGCAGATGGAGAACGAGATTCGCAGACTGACGCGTAAGCGAGAAGGTGGCGATGATAGCGACGAGGAAGCTGCACGGAAGAAGACAAAACCGACGAAGTCCTATCTCGAGGAAGAACTCGCCAAGTACTCCAAGGGGCGGGGATTACAGAAGAAAGGGAAGGGAAAGAAGGATGAGGGCGATGTCCTAGCTGCTTTGAACAGCTTCAGGGGATTGTTGCAGTCGAACGCGAACTTGGAGATGGAGGACATTGCAGAAGAGGGCGATCGTGTGGACGACAGTGGAGGCGGAACTATTCCTAGTGGAGAGGATCCGGGTATTGAAGTGGATGACGATCGCGGATTCATTGGTCATGCTTTGCACTTCCCGAAGGACGATGGGGAAGAAACGAGGAAGGCTGAGAAAGATTATGAGGTTATTGATCCTCGTCAGCGTGGCGCGAGGGCACGGGAAGAGGAGCGGGAGAGGAAACGAACTGCAATGAAGGGAAAGAACGGGCGCGGCCGTCGGTGATGTCCCGTCCTTTGCAGCTTCCTTTGCACTTGAAAGCACTGGCGCTCCTGAACCATCTTTATGTACAGGCTAGGGATATCATCTTTTCACCGATCTCAACGCATCTGACTGTCTCGGTGAGGTGGGCCCTTGTCGAACACCCAAACACTTCCGTGCAGATAATATTGGCAGGCATTTCCCCATAACGCTAAGTACCGCTCGTGTATTCACGTGAAAGATAGTCAGAGACTGTGAGACCATTCGTCACTTTCTCCTCGATGGCAAGAAAGACCCCGAAGCACGTAAATGGACAATACTCGGGCAAATTTTCGGTGGCTTCTAGTGTACCGCAACCTACCTTTAATTTTACAGTAATGGCCTAAGAGGTCTTCATCGCTGGCCACCCATGGTCGACTCTCCCGACCCAGTTTATGAAGCCCTCGTTGACAGGCGCCTAACCGTCTGCCCTCATTTCAACTGACAGTTTGTCTAGTGAAGGTGGAAGAACGAAACAAGGTTTACTATGCACAGTATCCCCAAGATGTTCGAAATGTTCGAAATTCAGACAAGTCTACCTCCACCAAGTTATTGATCTACCACAGGTCCGTCGGATCTTAGGTTTCCTAGAGGGCAATAATGTAGTCATTCCGAACGGCGGGAATTTGACGGTCTCACGGTGGCAACAACTCGGCCTGCAATTTGGATCGCATGGTAGGTTTCGATTTACTGTGAAAGGATGGCTTCTCATATTATATGCTTAGGCCGCATCGATCGGGTTCATCGTATGTAATTTTGCTTCAATTTCGCCAACGAGGGCTCATTCATATGCGCAGAGCTCGTGTTCCGAGCGATCACAGAATTGGACACGTTTGGGAAGCTCTCATGTGTCATGTGGGCTTATCGACAGTACACAGAGAATACAGAACTTTGACACCAACCCGATTTACGCAGTGCTTCACGAGTCTATCTACTGCACAGCGCGTCATTCAGAAGAAAAAGTGAGGCTCATGTCCGATGATGTCCCCATTTACTTCACGGGGGAGATGGTACGTCCATAGTCATTCAAGCTTCTTTCAGATGTTGAGATTGGATCCATGCATCGACAGATATTCCCCGACATGTTCGAAGACTATCATCATCTACGTCCCCTGTGAGGCGCGACCGAACTGTTGGCTAACGATGAAGATTGGCCCATGTTGTAAGACAAAGAGGCCCTGAAAAAGAACCAAGTAAAAGTAAACGCTACAACGTGAGTAAAGGTTGTGATCGTTAATGAGCTAGGCTTAACACCGACCCCATAGCTATTATGACGACATGTGAGTAACGTCCCTTTGACTACTTTGTTGTCGCTTATATGAGCACTTTCAAGGTATGTCGATTTTGGTCTTGTGCAACAGGCAACATCCGTCATCGGCAACGTGGAACAACTCATCCCCAATCAGAGTTTCCATGACGGTATACGCAAGCACATGGAAAGCATCTTTTCGAGCTGTTTGAACGGGAGCGCGATTAGAACCAATTTCCCTGAAGCAGCGAGTAGCCTATGATGTGGCATTTTGGGATCGAGATAGTATAGAGATGACCTTTGCTACAGGATTGATAGTATCTACAGCCATCGCGCAAAAGCTTTCTTTACTCGTACTGAACGACAGTTCAGGAATCTGTGTCAGAAATCAATGGAAGTCTTCAAAAATCAGGTCATGAACGGAAATGTCGACTCCCTCGCGAGCTTCAACACTGATAGTATCAATTCCGAAAATATAACGAACGACTACTTACTCTATGATGTTCCTATCCTGCCAGGGCCGAGCTTTTCATAAGCACTGGGTTTCGGTGCTGCATGATGAGTAGGAGTGCATTCAACGCCCATAGGCAATTCAGACACTCGATTATCACGTTCATCGCAAAGTGTGTCTTACCACATGAGATGTTATGCCAGATCGGTGTTGTGCAACTTCATTCTTACCCACAAACCATCAGGATTTGCACCTTAGAAGCGATCACCCCCGGCTCCGAGGCAACAAACTGGAAAATACGAGATTCAATTGGGTGTACAAATTGTGTAGCTATACAGTCTCAAAGTCCCGATGACACTCCTAACCCCAGCAAATTGCAGGCCGGCCGCTAGGTGTATCGCTTCGTCGGGCGTATTGAAGTCACCGACCGCGGTTTCACAGGCAGAAAGAAAGGCAAAATGATGCCGAGACAGATCCGTTTGTGCAATATCAAGGAGCGAAAGAGGCTGGTCGCGCATAAGAAAGGCCGACTGAAAGGGTTCGTCAAATCCCTGCGTCCCATGACACGCGAGATGGAACCAAGTATTCTCTCGCAATGCGCACAGTGCTCTCGATTTCGTGGCATCAACGCTGGTTATCTTGGAGAAGGAGACAGTCGGGGGAGGAGGCAAAAGTTTCCGCACCAATTCCAGCTCAGGCTCTACAGCATCCAAAGTGAAAGAGGCACCGGCTGGGCAATTCTGACCGATGGCGACGAAGGGCACCGACGTGGGTCTGTCACGACTTGCGCGAGCCTTGATCAGCGCGGTGAGAGATGGGGTGTATGAAGATATATACAGCTGCGAAAGAGACTTTCCCCCATTTCTGTACTCGCGAGCAGCATGCAACGGTAAGAAATTGAAGAGGAATGTAGGGCACCACCATATTCGGGAACCTAGTCGTACCAATCCGCCCAATTTCTCGACCACTGGGCCAACGACATTGTTCCACAACTCGTTCAAAGCTTTCATTAGTGCTTGTTGTTGCCCGGTCTCTTTTTCAACTGCCTCTGGAAATGTGTTTATCAATTTGACGAGTTTCTGAATATCGATAGGGAGTTGAATGCTGGTGGGAGGTTGCTTGTGCGGGATAATAATGGCATCGCAAGACGATTCACTTGCGATGAGTATGATGATGGGCCCATCACGAGCTGCAGCTTGAAGATCAGAGAACAAAGGGGGAAGCAGGAAGCTAGAGAAGCCCTCGATCTTCCTGATCTCTTCTACAGTTCCATTCCAGTCCTCCACTAGACGTCTGTACCGGGTGGCTTCTGCTTCCACATCGATTCTTTGGGTCCCTTCTGGATGGCTTGGAGATTTATCGAGGAGGGAGCTAAGGTCTGCGAATTTCTTCATCAGAGTCACTGCATGATCGCCGCAAGTCTGGAGCCTGTCAAGAGGCGTGCGGAGTCGAGTCATCTGGGTCCAGATGATGGTCCTGCCTTGCTCCAACAACTCAATAGCGCGACCTATGTCACCGCTACGAAGAGCACACGATGCAGCATCCACGGCGAGTGTATTTGGGAATTCCTTCATGGTATTATGACGAGATGATACTGAGGCTGTCGCAGACATATAAGCGTCCAGAAGTAGCATAGAAGTCGCATAAGCCTCCAGTTGAGTACCATGTGAATGTTGACTAGCATGGCGCACCCAACTTAGACTTGCCCGCAGGCGGGAGAGGAAGCCTGCAGAGACAATATTTGTTGCTGCCTTAAAATGATGCATGGCAGCATTCAGACTATCTGTATTTTCGCCAGGGCCGGTGTCGTGAAGCTCTGAACGATGGAATGATAGATAGACGTTAGATATAGATTGATGGACTATCAGTCGACGAGGATCATGCTGCGTCAACAACGTCAATGCGCAGAGTAGGTTCTCTCGCGACTCATCTAGGTCTTCTCTGTCGTGTTGTTGGTCAAAACGGGAAGAGAGTCCATTCGCGAGGTTGTTTAATGACATGGACCGATATGTGTGACCGACCGGGCACAAAGCCAGCGCTTCCCTATTAAGTGCGATAGCCTGATCCAAGTCTTCACCGTTGCCTCGGTGGTGAAAGCGGGAGGAAAGTTGATTCGCGAGGTTATTTAATGACATGGACCGACCTGTGTGACCGACCGGGCACAAAGCCAGCGCTTCCTTGTGAAGTGCGATAGCCTGATCCAGGTCTGCGCCGTTGCCTCGGTGGTCAAAGCGGGAGGAGAGTTGATTCGCGAGGTTGTTTAATGACCCAGACCGATTTGTGTAACCGACTGGGCGGAAAGCCAGCGCTTCCATGTTAAGTGCGATAGCCTGATCCAAGTCTTCGCCGTTGCCTCGGTGGTCAAAGCGGGAGGAGAGTCGATTTGCGAGGTTATTTAATAGAATGGACCGATCTGTGTGACCGACCGGGCACAAATCCAGCGCTTCCTTGTTAAGTGTGATAGCCAGATCCAAGTCTTCGCCATTGCCTCGGTGGCCAAAGCGGGAGGAGAGTTGAGTCGCGAGGTTGTTTAATGTCATGGACCGATTTGTGTGACCGACCGGGCGCAAAGCCAGTGCTTCCCTGTGAAGTGCGATAGCCTGATCCAAGTCTTCGCCGTTGCCTCGGTGGTCAAAGCGGGAGAAGAGTTGATTCGCGAGGTTGTTTAATGAGATGGACCTATCTGTGTGACCGACCAGGTGCAAAGCCAGCGCTTCCTGCTGAAGTGCGATAGCTTGATCCAAGTCTCTGTCATTGCCTCGACGCTCGAAGCGAGTTTGTAGCACTACAGCTAGATTACCAAGCAATTGCCCTCGGCAATCATGCCCGGCGTTGTAGTATCCCAGTGCATCATAATGAAGAGATATCACTTCATCTAAGGCACTAGGTTCATCTCTCTCCAAACACCACTGTGCTTGAACAACAAGTTGATTCAGCGATAACGGAAGCATGGATGAGGCGTCCCACTCCTGCCCGAGATCATTTGCATCAATGCTTCTAGCAGAATGTAGAGCGCATATTTCCATTGCAATCGCAGCCGGTCTGTGAATGTGGCTGTTGGCGTGGCAGACATTGATGACTTCGCTCAGTAACTCTTTGGCTGCATCAGCTCGTTAGCGTTTGTCAGGCATTGTGTGCAATGGACGATACTGACAATTCGATTTTTCGCTGAGATACAGTAATTCTCCGACCGAGATCTCGAACGTGAGGAGGAGTTCATCGTGACAGAGCATGGGACCCAATTCGAATGAGGCATACACGCTGACCCGGACTTTAGAACATGGCTCGCGCGGCCTAGAGTCTTTCTCAATACCTGCAGAACAGACGGGTTGAAGGATGACTTACAGAGGAATGCGCTCGTGCCATTCGACGACAGCCTGGTCTACGTTTACAGATATATTGCTTGTCTGGTATTCAACGCCGTCGGCCTTGATCACTGCGTGGAAGCCAGCGGGTATCCGTCGGAGGCCAAGAGTGAGATCAGTCGCGCGAATGGCTTGAAGGAAATGGTCAATACGAGCTGAGCGGAGATGGATATCGCATACCAGTGATGATTGGTTGCACTCCACTGGGGTGCATCTCTGCCGGGTCCTGCCAGTGGTCTGGGTGGTTCGGCTCCTCACTAAATAACAAGCACATTGTCAGGCGTTTAGATGAACAGTGCTTGATATACTTACTTGTCTTGTTTTTGCCTGAAAATGCGAACTTAAGTCCACACATGTGTTATACAACGCAGCGACTTACGATGGGGAAGTTCTAAGCGACGACGCTGGAGAAAAGTCTGATTCTGATGAGGTTGAAGAGACACGTTGACAATGAGCCATTATGAAAATGATGGCTGAGGGATGTATTCAAACGAACACTGGTCATGAAGCACCTGCTGTACCTGTAAAGCTTTGAAGGATTGATAGAGGGAAGCACAGCATGCACATAGCATCAACCCCGTGCAGCACGGGATATAAGTGGCTTGCCAAATATCGGGCCTTCCATAACTTCAGTAACAATATTAACGTTGTTAGATTTGTACAGCAGTCTGATGGTACGATGAACTAGGCTTTTGAAAGCGGCCGAGTCGAGAAGGCTACGAGGCTGAAGAGGAGTGCATTCCACAATTTCGTAAGAATTCGCATATGATTGCGACTTGTAGTGTTGGACAATCTGTCACGCGAGGACAAGTTGAAGGCACAGAACTGACTGTACATTTATTTGCAAGGAGTGCCGCACTGATGTACTGTACGTGCTAATTAGGCAGAAGGACTCAGAATAATCAAAGTACTAATCAAGGATGCGAACACTTGGGAATTACTATCACCGCCGCACTCATGTCGAGCTCAAAGCGCGGTGCATTCATTGTCATCGAGGGACTAGACAGATCCGGAAAAAGTACCCAAGTCTCTCTCCTCCACGACCGTCTGCAGAACGCGCAAGATGGAGGGCCTACAAAGGTAGCCATGCTACACTTCCCCAGTACATTTCCAATACAATTCCCCACTCAAACTGAATACAAATGCATTCCCAGTCCGCACGACAGCCATCGGGAAGATGATCGACGCGTACCTCCATTCCGAGTCTGAGCTAGACGACCGCACCATTCACCTCCTCTTCTCTGCTAACCGCTGGGAACTTGCGTGAGCACAACCACACTGCTTTTGCCATCCCTTCGCGTTCAATGACACCGTCTATACATAGATCTACGATTACAGCTCATCTTGCACAGGGGACGACCGTCCTCGCTGACCGATACGCGTTCTCTGGTATCGCGTTTTCAGCTCGGAAGGGACTACCGTACGAATGGTGTCGTGCTCCCGACGTTGGACTGCCTGCGCCAGACCTTACGCTATTCCTCAATATCAGCCCAGAGGTCGCAGCTACGAGGGCTGGATATGGGCTAGAGAGATACGAGAAAGAAGAAGTGCAGAAAGGCGTGAAGCAGGTATTCGATAAAATTGGGCGGGAGATGCAGGAAGACGGTGGGGGTGAGGGAAAGTGGGTGGAGATTGATGCAGGGAAGACAAAGGAAGAAGTTGCGGAAGAAATTTGGAAGGCGGTTGAACCGCTTGCCAGTGGCGTCCAAGGATCTATCAGTACGCTATGGGAAAATATTCAATCCCATGCCTAGGTTGATCGCACAGCGCACTGCCTTGTAAAATAGTCGAGAGTAAACAGTACATGTCACGAAAGAGACGGTAAGCTCCGTGTGGTGAAAAGTTGTGTTGATTATTTCAATGATGGTAATTGAAACACAAACTCGTGATAACTAAGTATGTATCCTCCATACATACATGATACAATTGGTCCATATCTTTATTGTTATCCAATCATGAAAAAAAATGAGAAGAGAAAGAAATTATGGCACAGGGTAGTCCCGCCCTAAATGTGTCAAGGACTCGATGACAGCCGCGACACAATGACGGCGAAAGCAATCAGCACACCCCATCTCCATTTCTCCCACAAGACCTGGCGCAGCTGCCCTGTCCACCCTTGCGGTGTCGTAGTTGGCTTGTTTGTAGATGCCAAACTAGTGGTATTCACGACATCGCTTGCGTGCGACGTCGTCGTGGTAGCGGGAGCCTGTACTGCCGGCTGTTTATCACACACCTGTAGCTGGTGCGTCGCTGTGGTAGATCTTGAGATAGAGGGAGAAAACGGACTAGGGCTCATAGGTGAAGTGGGTGTGGCTGCAGTATCTGGTTTCCCCCTCTCCCGCTCGCCCATATTTGGTAGATCTCGGAGAGTATCTGTACAGTACTGCGGAAAGCGTGGCATTGATCAGTTAACCAGGCACAAGTTGACAACGGTGGAAACAAGGAACCCTCAGGAGCTTGGGTATAACACCCTGATCCGAATGAAACGGAACTCCTACCCCTCTCGGGCTTTTCGTGTCGTGAAGAATGAATTCAACGTATGACACTCACGTCTGGGAAGGCTTCTCTGAATCTTGATTGTGTCAAATTATGAGAGTGACTTCGAGCGGCATATGCTCGTTTGTGACCGTCTGAGGATGTCACGGAGCCGGTGGTCATCTCGTCAGAGAGCATGAACGATAGCAAGCCTGTCAGTCTAAATGTAGCTTGATGAGTAAGCGCTCAGGCGGGTATGACGGGGAAGTCGGTGAACAGAAAAGACGACGATCGTAGCATCAAATACCACTATCAATCAATTATGTCGGGGTCCGGAGAAGAAAAAGAAACCGGGTCATTAAAATAAAGTGGACCACTCACATCGTGGCGACACTCCAGGCGGGATTCCACTAATAATGACTCAGTGAAGACCTTTGGGATGGTTGAACAGAACGCACGGTACCAGGATGGAAATCGGACATGGAGAAGCAAATCTTCTTGTCAGGTTGGAATCGACCAGAAGGGGTAAACATCTGTTGAATCATAAGTCGTCGAAGATAACGATCATGGGAGTCTAGAGGAGCACACCTTGATGCCCGGTGGTTTGAAGGGGTATTCGGCGGGGAAAATGAGTACACCGTGATACTCCCCACCAGCAAAAGGCGAATCGGGAGGACCGCGCTGTATAACGGAAATTGTTAAACAACAGCAAAGGCCCTATCCACTCAAAGAACGCACGATAAGGTAATTCCCTGGATGTAATGCTTCAAAAGCAAGCTTCCGCATGGAAGATATTGAAACTTACAAGTCAAGATGTTCTTCTCATCGGGTGTTGCCCAAACAAATGGGGGCGGCTCTTTCTGCATGCTCACATACTCTTTGGCGAGCTGAATTTTGACCTATCAGCGACATCTTAAGAGTTAAATATGGGTTCTTACACGTTTGTGGGCTGCTTTACTTGCCATGATTGCGGGGTCGATGGGGGCTGTGGAGAGGGGAGGAGTCGTGGATGAGAGCTTGCGGGCGACTTGATGCTGGCCAAACCACGCAACAAACAAGTGCAAATATTAATATCTCTCACTTTGCCATGGCGGCCAAGGTTCCACGCTTCCTTTAGGGGACTTTTAACGGGCTTGTTTTTTAGAATTCACATGCATGTACCATCGTGCCAGCTGGCATTGGGTATCAACAGCCCGTCTATGGGGCATTTATCCCTACTTTGCAAAAATATGGGAAATGATCTGAGCTCGGTACGTGGCCATGTTAACGTTCTTACACGTGCCTGGCGACCTTGGCGGCCTGTGGCGATTCCTATGTACATGACACTTGCGAGAGCCATGAAAATAGTACCACGAATGTCGTTAGTTTGTTTTTATGCGTTCAGAGGTTTCTATGGTACGTCGGTGCACAGATTCTATTGTGAAGCGACTTCTGACATGATCTCCGTCAAGAGCGCTGGTGAAATATCTTCACTATCGAACTGCTATGCACATTCTCTAGCAGGCTCTCTGCTTCTATTTGTAGCCGATGTTTCGTGCAACCTGACACGCCGCTCCGCTCGGGCATCGCCTAGCCAACTCGTGAAACGCAAGCCTGCCATACTTTTCGAGTATCACTTGACCACCGCATCGGTATGCACGTTGAACTCGCACGAGGCTGCTTCGCTAGTAGGCTGCTTGAAACTTTACACCATGACATTTATACAGAATTCGATCTTTACAACTCTCCTCCATCTCATTGGTACATACATCAAGGTATACGTGGATTCCGAACGATCACTGCTCAATTGATGCATTGCTCAGGTGCTCAGCACTTGCATTCTCCCGGCTTGCAGGCGCACCTGGATATTCTAAATCAGTCACTGCACAATAACAAAGGACGGTGTCACTCACGAGCTACCGCAACTACAGGTAGTACATGCCGAGTCATTGTAAGAAACAGGGACTTCAGTGACCTGCGAAGGAAAATTAGACAAAAAAATGCCTGCCAAGAAGTCGTGCGTACAGTGAACATATTGGATGGATTACTGCTGATATCACGTTGTTGTCAAAAGTCTTTTGGGCTTGTGATGAATTACGAACAACGCGAGGAGGATCCTTTATGTGCCCATTGTGTGTGGCCTTGTTGTCGAGTTCTTGAAGGGATGTTCCATTCGGTTCGTTGTCTTTCCCGAGGTGGATAATCGTTGATCGACCCCCCACCGTCATCATCCATCCAATCGTGGACTTGCCGCACTGACCCGATGATCAATCCATCAAATACCTCAGAAGCCACTCTTTTCAAATACCTCATGATCATGCACTGATGATCTGGAATGTATGGTCCGTGTACCAAAGGACGACTGATGTGACAAGGAAGACTTCGGACCATCTCCGCACCCTTGCTGTCATGGATCCTCTGACAATTTTAAACTGCTATAATCGGGCAATGTGCCGCACCAATCAATCAAGTGCCTCAGGAGCTACTTTTGTGTTACCCTTGCCGGGAGCGGAGCGGTTCAGTGCATGCTGTGCTGTTCCACTTAAGGAACTCGAGACTCGTTATCGATTTGATGCTTTACTTGAATTGCTCTCTTCACGTGAGTAGGCCCGGGAGCACCCAGTTGTCGCCGCTACCGCAATTGGTCAAAGAGCCTTGTTTTGAGACGGTACTAACCTAACTAACAAAGGTTTCTGATCAGAATCGCCATCGAGCGTGTATCACACACAGAACATCCGATCGGAGCAGTATTGTGACCACACGTCGATGCGATGCGATCAATATCGCTCCTCATGGGTTAGGGTACCGCGTTTCGAGTTTCCTTCTTTAAGGGTACAATGAAACCTATAGGACATTCATATAACTTTGAATCAACTTTCACTGCGGACCCCATGATGCGTGATGCCTCGTGCAGAGCATGGAGATCAAATGATGTAATTACTTATACTCGAGATAGCGAAGTGAAAGACGCAGATGAATGACAAAATCACTCTCAGGGTCGTACTAAGCGGTGCTATTCAGTCAAAGTACCGGCGGTATGAACGTTCGTTTAGTACTTATTATATGTACTTGAACGCATCGGTTCATAGGAAGCACTAGCCCAAAGAGAGAGAAAGAGAGCGTCTGATCAAAGCGTTTAGATTAGAACAATAGACTGGTGACCTCGACTTGCGCCCTAACACCTCCGCCGAAGGTAGAAGTATGAAAACAATTTGTATTAATGGACAGCAATTGAAAAAGAACTACGATCACCGCTTCATTATCAGGTACAACAGATCCAGTAACTCGGTCACCAAAACAATATCAAGCGCTCGTAGGCTGTGGGGAATCCGGGGGCACAGTGACCAGTCTCTTGCTGATCCTCCTCCCCATCTTGTCACGCACATCTTCAAACCGAATGGCGATGTCCTCGTTATGCTCATCTTGGCCTTTCTCCTCGTCATCGTCGCGAAGCTGTGATTCAAATCTTCCGCCGGATGCCGCGATGATGAGATCAACGGGATCAGAAAAGTCGAAAGATGCATCGGTGGCTGTGATTTTTTCTTGGACGAGGCTGTACCCGGCGGCCGATACGGTGGCCAGCCAAATCATGCTGATCACCACAAGTAAAAAGATATACGTATGGGCTCGGCTGCGCCAGCCGTACGTCGTGATATACATCGTGCCGCTCGTCGACCTTGTCATATTCGACGGAGCTCCCGAAGCAGAGTATCCGGCGCGAAGTTGCTAGATGTAGTCTTCAATAATATCTACGGAATGCATGGAGGTCACTTACACTAGAGGAAAACTCCGCAATACCACGCCAGTAATCCTCCTGCAAAGTAATCAGTCGTGTTGGTGCCAGAGGAAGGGAGGGAAATCACCAGTTCGCTGTACATCACTGATACATTATTCGTACCGTACGCGGTCAAAAAGTCACCAATTGTATTCTTGACTAGGCCTTGGTTTGACCCCGCTTGATAATTCATCACAGTCGCGATGTATTGAGATACAGGAATGTTCGAACTGCTTGTCGAACCAGAAGATTCACCAACCCGATCGACAGATATGATGCCTCCATTATAAGTGACATTAACGGTGGTCAGGTAAGGAACGACCTCGCAAACGACCGTTGGCAGGAAGTCGTACTTGTACAAGCCAGCCATGAAGATATCTGCAAGGAGTTTACTCGCAAGACGCCGAGGAATATAACAAAAGTCGTACCAAACTTATATGGGTTGAACGACGTCGAACCTGGGTCGGGACACACAAGGGTGGGGAGAAATCCCTCCGTTACATTGTCCGGCTGACCGCTCGGGGGGCCAACGGTGAAGTAGGTAATTGAATTTAAATCTGGAGCTGATTAGCTGTGGACGAGTTCATGACAGAGATGAACGCACTTCCTGAACAATTCGCAACAATTTCCCACGTCAGAAACGTGATGTTCGAGCCTGACACCGTGGAGTTAAGGGCAGTAAACTCATTATGACTGCGGTCGATCGGCTGGCATGTAACATTTGCTGTGAGACCCTGCTGTGTGACAGTGTAGTTCTTGGAAATGCCTTGAGTGCCTGCATCGCGTCCGAGGTGTCCCCAGTCAAAACTGGTATTAACTGGTACTTGTCCCCCAGTGAACGCTAGGCCAACATTAGAACCCGGTGGGGCCGATGATCCAGAGTACTCCTCTATTGCAGGAAGAACTCCACCTTTTTAAGTTTTAAGTGAGTCCATCATCTTGAAGTGCCTAAGTCCTCACCAGTCGACTGATTGTACGAAACTCCGTTGAAGCTGAAAATACTACTCGTCTCCACACCTCCTTGAGTGTCAACCGCAGAAAAACCACTGAGGAGAGTCAAGACATTGATGGTTTGAAACCCAGGTGCTTGTACTGGAACGAACCATCTTGAGCACCCCAGCTGTCGTTGGCCATTGGAATTGAAAGGAGTGACATACCGGCGTTCGGATTCAAAGTCGTAAGGTCTGCACTCAATTGACTTACGAAGGCAGCAGATCCCAAGTCTATTTCCGTTCCAAACGTTCTCACAGGCCATTGGACAGGGGTGGGTAGGAGCAAAGTGCTCCAACTGTACAAACGAGCGTCAAACATATCTCCATCGAGTTCATTGGGAATAGCGCAGACCTCGTGTTCAGAAATGTGACCATCGCATAAACCACCAACGTGAGGAGCGACAGCTTGAGAAATCTCCGTCGCAATACCCAGGTCGGCCTGCTCAGCGCAATTGCAGTGCGAAGCTTGAACAGTGTGATCGACGGCCCTGAGAGGTGGTGCCGAAGCGCTTCTTTGACGGCAAATGTGAAGAACCTGTGCAATAGCAGAAGGGTAATATTTCGGACTGGATGTATAGAGGAAGACGTACATCGAAGTAGTGATCGCCAAAGCAGTTGCTATCACCGTGACTATCAAAGTCAGTTCGGTCGGATACTTTACGATCAGACGAACGACATGATCAGGCAGTGCGAGAACTTCTGTGTACAATATTGCTCCTGTGAAGCCCCATGCAAAACCCATGATCAGGGTCTGGCCGAAGATAGTGAGGAGGAGCAGAGTAGCCGGACTAAGGCGCTGCGGGAGAGTTTTATCAACGAGGTCCTGGAGAGTAATGGGGGTTGGCTTACGATCTGGACAAAGTCTGCGAAGTGCATTTTGAAGACAGGCGTGCAGAGCGGAGGTGAGGACAACTGACCAACATCTTAAATATTACTGCAGGGCGCTAATAGCTGCAGGCGAGAAGCGAGCAAGCGAATTAGGTCTAAGTACCATGCTGTCACCTGTGTAAGGAGGCACTATTAAGAAGCAACGAATGCATCGGACTTCCTTGCAGGATCGAAGAGGCATGCTTACCATCTGTTTGCCGCGCGCCGTACATACCCCGTGGGTGTCGCCTTCGTAATTCATGACAAACTTACCTGTGAGACGATTGGCGTGCCTAGTATGCTGAAGAGCAAAGAGGAAAAGAAGCCCTAGAAAGTTCAAGCAACTTAATCGGATATGAAAGGAATAAAACCTACGTAAAGATGGAACGTTAACAAGTTGCTAGCCTATATTGGCGCTTGATGCGCCTTAAGTTAAAGAACTTACTTGAGTAATGATACCAGAGCATGCCTCGCACTAGTCATGATTGGCAGCCGCGTCGTTCTATTCTAGTGATCCCACCGAGTTGGAGCAGCCGCCTGCACTGCAGAAAGCGCTTTGATGTGGCTTTGCATGGACCCAACTTCAGTTGTAAAGTTATACGTCCCACTAGATTCCTGGGCAACATGATAGGGAGACTGTAGTACCACCAGTGTGAGTAACTTTGTCAGTCGACTAGGGAGCGCTTGATGTATGGTCAATAGCAAGTGACGAACGTTTATCAACCCAGCGGCCATTCCATAGTCATATGGTGAACCTTTAACCGCTTGTACTATTTTGGCCCTGACGAAAGAAATGCCACTGATCACATTCTTATCGCTTGCAAACAACAGGGTCCTGCCTCGCTGTTCGGGTGCGCCTGCTTCTGCGGAACAAACAAGATTCATCCTTGGCGTCAGTCTCTCCAGGTTTAGCAAGTACTGCCAGTGGGAGATTATCTAGGGAACCATCGGACTCACATGCTAATGTGCGGCGTGGGCCAGAAAGTCTTCGAATTACACGGGACCGTCGATCAAGCGGAGTTCATAAATGGAGTTCCTCAGTGTTGTCAAATTCCGGATGCATTTCAAAATCTGGGTGACCCCTCCACTCCCTTGATCTCCAATGCATATGAACTGAGATCGCCGTATGACCCATGCACGTTACCATAAGATCGATGATTGAGCGCTGAGTTTTCGACTTCGAATATTGCTTTCAACTTTAAAGCCTTTTGTGATCTTTGGGGAGGGACTGTTCAGCTTTCGAGCTCTGATCTGAGAGCACTCTGGTAGTGTATGAATGCGGAGATAATTAAGGTGGGAAGCGTCGTGAATTGTTTAATCCATCAGAGTTTCTTACCTCTCGCAGACTCAAAATCATAATATGGCGGCGTTTCTGGCGAAACCTTATGTACAAGGAGGTTCGTCAGACTCACTTTCAAAGAGCCAGACCGCATCTCTTACCCGCCTTAGAAGATCACTGTTACTTTAGTAACCTCAAGAGTTAAGTCCACCAGTGGTTGTTGATTTTACGTGACAACGTATCATGTCTCATAGCGATGTGATTGTGCCGCAATTCGGTCGCGCTGTGCATTTACGCTTGTCTACAATTTTGCTTGCTGGCTACAACTTGGGGTCCATCCATACTTGATCGTGAATACCAAGTATCATAGAGCCTTTCATATCAGCAAGGATGACAAGCATTTTTGTATGTTGTCCACAATCCTCAATACACGAAAGAGTTCCTAACAGAATATGTATGATGTACAGATAGCATGATATGCAAATGTCAAAAAAATTATAGATGCGCGCGTCCTTGATCGTCAACTACCCCCTTTGCCAGCTACGCCTTCCCTTTCCCCCGCCTCCCTCTCAACACATCCATCAGCGCCTTCGCCGCAGAGCTATCTCTACCAGCCTTTCCAACCTTATCCCCCCGAGATGGCGAATGCATACTTTGATCATCCCGAGAAGACGACAAAGAAGAACGCGTACTCCCCTCCCTCTCACTCCCACTCTCCCTTTCTCCATTCCTTCCCCATGCCCGCGCACCAAGCACAACCGAAACTCGCTTCCCCCAGCCACCATGCGAATTCCTAACAGGAGCGGAGCGCGCTAGGATAGGCACCGTCTGCACCGCCACTGCAGGCAACGAGAACCGTTTCTTCTTCCTGGCTGTATCTTCTTTCTTTTCGTGCGCATACCTGGGTTCGCAAGGTTGTCTAGGCTGTACTCCGTCGTGAACCTCCTCTCGAGGTCCGTCGTACATCTCCCCTTCTCCCCCACAGTGCACATTCGCTCCCTCGTAGACACCATGCGCCTCATGGTACCCCCGGTCATCAATCTTCGATGCTCGTTCCTCAGCTACAGCCCCCAAAGAAGTTGCCACGGAACTAGCCACGCTCCCAGCCCTCGCATGAACCTCGAAATCATCCAATATATCGTGGTAACTCCGTGGGCGCGGGCGCGTGGAGGGGCGGATGCGGATGGGGCGGGATATAGGAGCGCGAAGGGTTGATGGGGTTTCTTGGTATCGAGAATCTTGGTCTAGAGTAGGAGCAGCACAAGAGTCCCGTGTTGACGGATCACGCACGCGCACAGTGGGCGCGTCTGTGTCTTCGTCTTCGTATATACTGTCTTGAGCTGTAAATCGAGAGGAAGAAGGAGAGAGCGTGGTAGGAGACAACGAGGGAGGATCACCATCCGCTAATGTGATCCGCGGAAGACGACGGGCAGGACTAGGTGTGAACCTGCGCTCGCTTGAGCTTGAGCTGAGTTCGCGTTTGGACGGTCCCGGACTTGTGTTTTTTTCAGATGCGTGGCCAGCACTGGCACTTGCACCAATATGTCCATCCATCTCCTGCTTACTCGCACTAGAACTCAATCTCCTCCTCGACGGACTCGTACCCAATGCAATCCGACTCCTACTGGGGCTCAGCGTCATCGCCATCAACGCATGAGCACCATTACTCCCTTCAGTGGGAATAGGCGTAGAGAGCCAGGCTGGGATACCAAGGAAGGTTGGGGATGGACCGGTGTGTTGTGAAGATTGATTTGCTGATAAAGTGGACGGAGTGCTAGAACCACCGGTGATTGACTGGACGAGAGGAAAGGCAGCTTCATAGCACTCATTGCATGCCCGTGCAGGTTTCGCTTTGGTGTTTTTGCCAGAAGGGGATTGGGAGGATGGGTCGGTGATATAGAATGTCTGAGTTTGGGAGTGTTAGTTTGCGGTAGGAGAAGTTGAGCAACCAAAGGGTAGCGAAAATAACGAACTGAAGACAGAGAACAGCGAAACGAGGTTGAATGAAATGCAAGACTTACCCGTCCAGAACACTCGGCGCACACAACCCTCCCACAAAGCCTACAATGATGCCGTCTTCTCCACATCCCTTCACCACTCCCAGCTCTTCCTTCTCCTCCACCACTCACACGTTGTGCACTTCCCTCGATGCCCTCGCCCAATTCTTCTTCGTTCGTAGTTTTACCCACTTGATCTTGACTTACACTCCTCCCCCATTCAAACGAGGCAAACGATGGCAAAGAGAAAGACACCGACATCGATAGAGGTACTGTGAACCCCACAAGCCCAAACGGGCGTGCACACCGCATACATGCGTCCGTTTTTGCATCTGGGACCCAGACTGGGGGTAGGAAAGGCAAGGGTGCACGTTGAGGTCTGGCGGAGGCAGGGAGCCCTTCTATGTGATTTGGAGTTGAAATATTTGGTGTTTGCGGAGATGCCGAATCGGAGAACTTCTGCTGTCGAGTGTCTGGAGTGGGTTCTTTGGGGTCTTGGATCTGAGACACGCGTTCATCCCTCTCCTCAGGTTCATATGCCTCCGCCCACAACACCCCACGCATCCTGACACCCCGCAGTGCAATTGACGGATCGCGGGCCAGAAGCGCAGATCGGGTCTGGCGCAAAAGATGGAGAAAGGTATGTAGAGTAGTATCGTTCGATGTCGAGGTTAAGGGAGTTGTACGACGAGTGGCTAATGCAGATTCCGAAGCAGAGGAAGAAAGACGCTTCGGCGATGTGGGTTGTGACGGGACCGCGTATACTGCGAACGAGCCTCCAGGACTCAACACCTCTAGTCGGGGCGGGTGATGCGACGGATCGAGCACCGCCTCGATATCGACGAGGGAGAGGTGATTCCTGTATGTGTATGTATGCCGCTCGTCGCTAGCGGTAGCATGTGCAGCGAGAGTGAACCAGTGGGAATCGCGCAGAGTGGACGGGTCGAAGTCTAGCCATACCAATACGTCGTCGAATAGGAGAAATTCACATATGCGATCTCGTCTACCTCTTCCTATAGCTGGGCCTTCTAAGGCTACACCGCCAGAATCTATCACGAGAGGAGCGCGGAAAATTAAGGTTCGGCCTGGCTGGACGAAGTGTAGGGTAGGTGGGAGGCTGAGGGTAGCACGTTGTAATGCGAGGAGTGAGAGTGTATGTGCGTGCGCGTGAAGAGATGTATTGAGAGATGATGTCACTGGTGGTCGTTTAATTTAGGGACACGGATAGATAAACAGACTCGCCTTTCTCAACGAGGGCAAGGACCTTTCCCAGTCTATCCCACTCTCCCTCTCCTTCCTTTTCTCTTTTTTCTACTTTCATCAACTCTTTGAGTAATAATACATACCTTGGACATCTTTGTACGATGCTCAAGAGCCAATCCGCAAGTTTAAGCTGCCCGCAGCGTGGATCGCGCTCTTGGGTTCGTAGAAATGTAGCGAATGGTGCGGGTGGACGGGAAAGGAAGGATATAGAACTCGGGAACGCGGTTATAAATGGGGTGTAAAGAGAGAGGTAAGGAAAATGCGAGAGAAGGAGTGCTGAAAGGGGTGGTGGGTTAGGATTTGGGACATCGAGGTCAGCCAGAGATGGATGTAGCAGCGCAGTCAGCGCACTGAAAAATGCATGATGAAAGTTCCAAATGTCAATAAAATTTGAGAAAATGGTAGGCAAGTCCGTGCGCGTAAGGATCGGACGGGGACTGTCGAGCGACGCTATGATCGGTGTCAAAAAGTGCTGCGCATAAAATCAGCTCATTTAATTCATTCCAATCAAGGGCCATCAATACTCACATCATGTACGAGATCCAGTCCCTGCACATAACTTCTTTCTGTATCCCAAAACTCTCTTATTACCTTTGTTCGTTTTGCCTCTCGTGCTATATCTTCTGGTGCGGGTGTCCTGGATTGTTTACGGTTAAGCGAACGACGTTTAGGGCGCCTGACGATTGGCTCCTCGGGAAGAGAATCAAATGATGCAAAACTGGCGACAGATTGACGGTATTGGGCAGATAAGAGGCTCGAGCTCGGTACGCTTGGTAATGAGATTCGTCGGAATGGAAGGTGAGTAATTGGGGCAGCTGGAAGATTAGTAGAATCAGTGCTTGGAAACGAAACTCTTGGTGTCATGGCCGTCGCATCGGAGAAGGAGCTGCGAACCAGGCCAGAATAGACTGCGACACACACGCCTTGGGACACTGACCGCGCCTGACCGTCTGCTATGAAATCACCGAAACCTAAACTTGGTTTGTTCCCGCGGCTTCAAATATCTTGATATCAATCATTCATTGCATGTACGCACGGGACCAGAACCCTAAAACCCACACGGTGGTATATATCTACACTCGTAGTAATGCTTAATAGCATATACCGTCCGCTAGGGACGGACCGGACGGTCGTTTTACTTACCACGGAAACGGTAGCCAAGCACGAATTCGCCAGGATCACTTTGAATTTTGGGCGTACCAGGTGCTTCGAAATCAAGTCCAAGTTCTACTTACTCATCGTCTATCAGGTTATTCAAACATAACTGCAATGTGTACGATTCAGATGACTCTTGGATCGCAGGCCACCTGCAGGTGGAGTCCATGCATGACTACAGATATGACCATCAACCGGGTAGTGATATTATAACGACAGCGACATGTCTTCAAGTTGTTTCTCGCGTCGTTATGCAAGAGAGATTAATGGTAGTCACCAATTTGCTGGCGTGTTCAAACAGCCTATAAAGTGTGTGGCCTTCTCTACTACTCTCAATCAACACACCCCGTTTTCAATATGTTTTTTCTCTCCTTCCTTCTTTTGTTGCTTCCTCTCGTCTCTAGTGCATCACGCCACAGCTCACGCATGCGCAGGATGCATGCTAGATTTGACGATACAGTGATTACCGGCCAATGGTCCTCTGTTCAGACGGGACCGTACTCGCTATCCAATGATCTATGGAACGAGAACAATGCTCTCACGGGCTCCCAAACGTCCCAGCTCACGTCGTCGAGCGGTAGTGGAATTGGTTGGACGACCTCATACACATGGACTGGTGGATACCAAGTCAAGAGCTTCGCCAACGTTCAGCTCAATACCGGTATCAATCAACAGTTGAGTGCTATTTCCAGCATGAATGTAAGTTTGTCAAAACCGTAGATCGCACGAGGCTAATTTTTTTTCTGACGCCATAGACTAGTTGGCAATGGAGTCAGTCGAGCGACGACGTTATGGCTGATGTGGCTTATGACCTGTTCACATCTTGGAGCTCTGGAGGCTCGAATGCAAACGAAATAATGATCTGGCTTGCAAACATCAACTCTGGACCGATCTCCTACAACTACGACGCTGAGGGCAATGCTGTTCCTATTGCGACCGGTATCTCGTTGGAAAATTACACATGGTAAGCTTCGCGAATGCACAAGTATCTGCGCAGCATTAATTTTTTTTTTGATTGCAGGAACTTGTACTCTGGATTCAACGGAGTCAACCAAGTTTACTCGTTCCTCCTGCCCAAAGGCAGTGGTAACATCAACTCGTTCAGCGGTGACGTGTATTCATTCCTATCGGTATGACTCACAGTCACTGTATCTAGATGAACGCGCGTAAACTGATTTTTTCTGTTTTTAGTACCTGATCGACAACGAGGGCATATCCTCATCGCAGTATTTGACCTGTGCTCAGGCAGGCACAGAGGTCATAACTGGAACAGCGCAATTTACTACGTAAGTGACATACATTGGCGCTCTGTGAAGGGACTGAATGTGTTTTGTTTGCAGGTATGCTTACAACTTGACTATCAACTAAAATGATTCGATGTGCCCGTTGTACGGATTTCGGTGTACACGGTTCAAGCATATCCTTATCGCTAGTGTATAAGAGCCTGGCCTCTTACATTTAACGCGTCGGCATCGAAAACACCTTTTAATTCTTCTGATTTTGTCGTCTCATCTCGTACTGTGCACGAGTACTACCACAATCCTTGGTCTACATACCCACTCTTTTCACTTACCGTTCACTTAAATATCCCATTCGTTTCCTACTCGCTCGCTTTGAAAGCCGGTTTCAACATACAAGAAGAACGGTATCTATGCATGTATCTATTTTAAAGTGTCGTACACCGCTAGCGCTCCCTTTGGGCCAGAATTTCGTTTACACATTGAGCCCACGCGTTCACTTTGATACCTGTTTCCTGCACATATATTTTACAGATCCTGTCATGTGCAATGCGGAATTTACTCTGTTTCAAAAATTCAAGCCTAAATCTGGATAGGGAAACTAGATTCGAGTACCAGGCTTTTAAGTCCATAAATCATCATTATTCCTGATTATTAGTTTTCAATGTTCAACACTTCATGGCTTTTATTAATGCTTCCCAGTGGAGCTCCTAAAGTTGTCGAACCGTAGCAGACCTATAATCGAAAGGGAGCTAAGAAACGTTTGTTATCGACTGACAGGCTACTTATACTACAGCCGTCCATTCCTCCAAGACAGCCATGTAACGTTTCCATTTCCCATCATTCCAAGCTAAGACTTTAATCCAGGCTTCGTCCGGGCTGACGTAGCGGCAAGCTAACAAAATACCTCCTAGTGTACAATCTGCTAGAGATAGATTCGGTCCCGTGAATAACTCTCCTGCAGTGCTCCCGGCCTGCATGAACGTTGCAAGGAGGTCAAACGCGCCTTCAATCTTCTTCCAGTGTTCCTCGCGCTCCTTGCCCCTGAGTTCTATATCCTCGAGTTTCTTCCCAAATGCCGCTTCGATGCGTTCACGGAAGTGAACGCGATCTCGTGGGGTCTTCTTGTCGTACATGTGCATGACCATGACAGGTAGTAACTGTTCTAATATGGAATGCGTGGCGTGGTATTCGAAGAGAGCGTGGAGGGCGCGACTGGCAGGTGGGCAGAGTGCGCGGGAGGGATCGCGGTCCGGGTATGTGCGTTCTAAGTACTCAATTATGGGCGTCGAATCCGAAAGAAGGGCAGGAGGGGATGTGGTGTTATCTATTAACGCGGGAAGTGTGTATTTTGGTGTTCCATCTGGTAACGTGCTCGTAGGCGGTATTCCGAGCGATTTGCACACAGACGCGATATCAGTCGTCTCGACCCATCTTGTGATATAGGTCAGTTTCTTGTAGTTCAGTACGAGTCTGTGGGAAGCAAAGATGAGGTAGCAGTGAGAGGTGTTGATTGCTGTCAATACTGACCTGACTTTCCATGTATTTGCTGAGAAAGGCACTGGGAGGACAGTTGGGATGTCCAGGAATGTGATGTTCGATGTTGTCATGGGTAAAATCCTTACAAAGAGCGCTGTGGGTGGCTAGTTATATTGATTTAAATGGTGTCATCATGCACTCGTTAAATCCATAGAGGCCCACGGACATAGTATTACTAAAATTATAACTTGACCGCCGGTTCAACTACTATAAGCGATTCAGCTGAGCTCACTCGAGTTACCAGAAGTTAAACATATCAAGCTGATTTATATCTTTCCTCTATCTCAACTCACGATAATAATGATTATATACTGGAGGAGGGCATGGGTAATATTGTGCAGGTAAGAAGGAAAAGAGAAAGATGGGTGGTTGCTAGGGCAGGAAAGTGAGCAGTGTCAGTTTTCAGGCTCTGCGGCAGGGAAGGCCGCCTTCCCAGGGTTTGGCCAGGGACAAGTTTAAATAGGGATTGGCCTGACCTAGCCGCGGTGCGTGCCGAAGAGGAAGAATCCGACCTCAAGGGACAACAAATGACGCCTGCGAGCGAGGCATCCCCGCACCAATCCCACGCGACCTCGGGACTCGGAGGGTTTCAATTTTCTCGTGTAACAGATTATCTAGCCGCTTTAAAAAACATCCGCTGCTTCTTCCGTTGCTGATGTAAGCCTTGCGCTGATACTGTCCTTCAGACCTATTAGCCAAGGCTCGCATTCAGTGTCACATTCCTCACTGAAACTCCGCTTCGGAAGATCCAAGCAGATCCTTCGTGCATCTAAGACCATGCGTTGAGCACCGTGTCTTGCTATATAGAAATATAGAAATTATCTCACAAAACTCTGCGGCAAGCGCCTGTCCGGACCCTTCCGCTATTCTCGTGCCGAGTTGCTCGAAGATGAAACTCATAACGTATATTTGGAGTTTAAACGCTGTATGATAGTAATGAGCCGCAGCGGGCGCATTCTCTTCTATCAGGTATATAATACTATGTTACTGTAAGGAAAGATAGTGACGTCAATAATTAGTAGGCGAAATATAGTAATTATGCACAGCATCCATGTTTTGTCTATCATAAGTGCTGTATGCGATATTTGACGATCCAGGAGACGGCATGTGCGGATGCATCGGCGTCGTTTGTACGCCATGGTTCACTGACCAACTATCAGCTGGAAATTGTGATACTGGGCCTGGTTATCAGCAACATCTTCTGAGATTTTGATAGGCGACAAACTCACCTGCAGGATGGAAAGCAAAATGTTGCATAGAGGAGCCAGAGGGATAAGTAGAGGTCAAAGCCGCAACATGCTCTGCAAGAAGAGCACGATACTCTCTATCAAGATGCCTGATGATCCCGATAGCTACACTAAAATCAGTATATTCGTCAATCCCGAGCTTTTGAACATACAAACCTTTGATCAGAACATCGTGTCTTGTGAGGGGATTCTCTTTAGTTAGCTCTTGGATGATCTGACGCAGTTGTTCAAAATCTTCTGCCTCGGTTGAACGATAGAGTCTTTGTGAGAGCTTCTTGCGACTCTTGCTGCCCCCATTGTCCAGGGTAGACATGCTTGGCAGGGTACTGGATGGAGCGCTGCTCGGCGCTGTGACTGGTAGTCCCATACTTATACTATGTGGCCATCTAGAGACGCCGTCAACCTATTTTAGTCACCTGCAGCATCTATTCCCCTCTAATCCGCAAGGTTGAGGGTCACCGGTCAGCCGGTAAGCGGGGTAGTGGGCGTAATGTGGCCCATAGAACCTATGGGAGCCTATTAGAAGACGAAGTTCATTCCATGAAAACCGACTAATTTGATAACCTCACAGCCAGCCACTAGTCAGCTGATTGGCATGCAACAAGCCAATCATTAGTAGCCTCATCAGAAGCCAGATTGGTCGATGAGCGCCAGTATAATCGAAATACTGCACAGCTTTCGATGGAGTCCAAGTTATGACGTTAGGCGCGCACCGCAAGGGCTAGCACAGGCACCGCCGATCCGAGCATCACAGATCAGAGACAAACACGATTGATCTGATCCTTAGAGCATCACAACGATGGACATTAACACTGATCTATGCTCAACGGATGAGAGAATCAGTATTTTGAGAGAAACAAAAATACTTCGCCGGCGGGAGCTAGCTGAAACTGCTTCACGGTGATTCGGTCACGCGATATAATTGTTCTGGACCATGATGAGTGATTTTCCGCAGCAGAATGCAATCCACAGCATACCATGGGATCTACACGATAAGAAACAAGACATTGCCTTGCGCGCACATGCTGTGTGAAATTCCGGTCGGAAGCGCGTATGTCGTGTCCCGTATGCACTGCCACACAGCCCTCCCGCCAACTATAGCTTCAAAGCTCACCGGCAACTACGGTATACTGCACACCGTCCATTTGGCAGTGCTTGGAGTGAGCTTCTGCTGCGCAGGAAGGTTGGTGGTTCTGGGCATTCATATACATGAATGCACTGCAAAAAGGGCACCGACAGCGCAACAAGAATAAAATTCACTGTGCATCACGCAAACACCCCGTACCGCACGGCGGCACATACCAAGACCCGCGATTTATCAGGTACTCTCAGTGATGGTGTAAGGATCAATGTACTGCATTTATGGTAGCAGGTAGCAGTGGCGATACTGTTGGTCTGATACATGAAGAATTCAACAGGGCGATAGAAACCTAACAATACATTGAGACACAGCTGTCCATGACTGAACGCAACTTACCGATTTCGTGGCCACTAAACGCCATATCTGTTATCAGGGATTTAGATCAGTACATGTTTTATTTACGCATTCTCCGATCTTCGAGGCCTGCGTCTTCGGTATATTGTTCTCACAAATAAGCTCGTATGGTATGCTCAGGCTATGCACGCCACCCTTGATTATTCCATTTGAATTGCATGACTTCTATGAGTCTAACTAAGCGCCCATGTTGTTGGTGTAAGCTGAAAACATAAACATAGAAATTAGCGTGCCTCAGCCTGCCTGACGTTTCGGAAATCGAACCTTGTTGTCAAAAATGGGCCTCATGGAGTGACAGCGAGTAAGGTCTGAGCGTCAGGTTAGCACTGGTTGCTACAGCACATCCGAGTGGTTTTCGTTTCCTAAGACAATTTATGGGTGAGAGGAGCGACGACTCCGAGCCAGTGACGGTTTAGTTTAGGAGCATGTTACAACTGGCGATGAATGTTGTCTTTTGTGCCAGATTTTTTTCTTTCCAGTCGAACCAAAATGTATTCCTTGCTTAGGCTGCAGAGCAAACCAAGTCGAGCTCATTTTGACGCAAAACACGTGAACTCGCCGGCGAACAGCTATGGTTCTAAGTGTCTATCGAGTCTTGCGTGTTAAAATCAGCCTTAGTATGTCGTCCATCGGCATACGCATCTCTAGACAGTGGTGGGTCCCGGGACTAGGAGGAGCTGGATGTGAAAATAGATGATTCTGGGCGATCACTGATGATCCCCGACCCCAGCACTTTAAAGTTCTCCTCCTAGGGCTAGCTGCTAGAGCGGAGACGTGCAGGAACAGGAACATACAACTCAATAAGCTGCGGTTTAATAGAATTGACTCAGCAGCCGACGTGGAAATGAAATTTGTGACTAGCTAGTTCTTGTTGCGTTACAGCCCTGTCACAATTTCCATTTTAAGCTTCGCGCTATATCGTTGTCAACCTAAAACTTTGGTGTGCCTAGCTGGTATTTCTGCAAGGTCCACAACAGATGAGCGCCTTGCATATACCGTTGCATACTAAAGTATGCAGCTCGATCGATGGACAGTTGCCACGTCGACCAAATAACTGGCTACTAGGGAACGATAGGGAAGCTCGTTAGTAAATGTCAAGGAATATTATCTGAACCACGGGAGGGTGGTGGCAGTCACCCCAATATCTACAAGGGTAAGCTCTCTCCAACGGTCAACCTAGCTCAATTATAAGCTCGAAATTTAAATATCTGCAGTGTATTTAGCCATATGAACGCACCTGCACACCCGCTTTTCGCTTCTGGCAGCATAACTACTGGAGTATAAAACAAAAATGATCCTTGAGATAGGCATCACATACGCGTGTTCGATCGTGTCAATATACATTGCCGAATGGCGAGGAAACCATGATTAATCATTTGCTGGCATTTGGGCAACGAGCAGCATAAAAATTGCTGAATGCTCTGGTAGACTCGATTCAATTTTTATCGACATGTTCTTTCTCTCTCTGCTCCTCCTATGCGTGCCTCTCGTTTCCAGCATGCCTCGCATGCACAAGCATCACCAGAGAGCCATCGACACTAAGCCGTTTAGCGGGCAATTCGATTCTATTGATGTTGGACGGTACTCGGTACTTAACAATCTTTGGGGCGAGCATGATGCTACCTCTGGCTCTCAATCCACTCAGATTACGTCGCTGAAAGGCAGTACTATTGCTTGGAAGACGAACTGGACTTGGACTGGCGGATATCAGGTTAAGAGCTTTGCCAATGTCCAACTCAACACCGGCATCAATCAACAACTGAGTGCTATTTCCAGCATGCCTGTGAGTTTTTCGAGACCTCAGACCGCATGGGACTAATTTTCTGGCATCAAGTCTATTTGGAACTGGTCTCAGTCGAACACTGGAGCTGTAGTAGCTGATGTCGCCTATGACTTGTTCACATCTGACAAAGCTGGTGGCTCTAATGTGAACGAAATAATGATCTGGCTTGCCAACTTCAACTCTGGACCAATCGCTGGGCAATACAATGCTGCGGGTGATGCCATCCCGCTTTCGAAAAACATCTCGATCGAAGGTCATACCTGGTGCTGATTTTTATCTGCGTAATTGTCTGCTCCGTATTAATAAAAATTAGGAACTTGTACTCTGGATCCAACGGATACAACAACGTTTACTCCTTTCTCCTGACAAATGGTACGGTCAAGTCGTTCAAGGGTGACATTTACCCATTCTTTTCGGTAAGCCTCGCTAGTCCTTATATGTTTGTGAAGACATGTGAATAGTAATTTTCTTCCGTTTCTAGCACTTAATTCATAACGAGGGCATGAGCTCGTCACAGTACCTCGTCACTGCTCAGGCGGGCACAGAAGCTACGTCTGGAAAGGCGAAATTCACAACGTAAGTGATACTTGGACCGGCACGCTCTGAATGGGCTGAATGTGTATGATCTGCAGGTCCGCCTACAGCTTGACCATCAACTAACGTGCGGCAGACCGACCACCATCTAAAACATTAGCATTCGTTACTGGTGTAAGAGCTTCTCCTCTTCCACTCAGTACATCGCTAGGACTCAGATATATCCACCTTTTAAAAATTCTACCTTCATCACCTCACTACATCGCTCCGTTTCAGCTTGTGCAGGCACGAGCATTAGCATAGCACTTACAATTATTCTCACTTCATTTAAATATTGCCTCTCACTTACACATTCCACTCATTCCATACCCGTTCGTTTTTGGTATATAAGATGGCATGCGAGCCTCGTTGCAGCACCAGGATCAACCTATAATAAAGAAGAAATGACTGTCTTCTTTCCATGATGGGAGAATACATTTTTGTTCCGTAAGTGAGTCCTTTGTAGATGAGCGTGAGCCTGTGCCAGTCGGAAGTGCTATAGATGAAGCAGTGGTGAGACTGTCATGACTGACCTAACTTTCCATGAATTTGGTGAAGTAGGCACTGGAAGAACGGTTAGAATGTCCAGGAAATCAATGATAAACATAATGTAACCAGACAATAGCTAGCTAATGTAAATTGATCGTTCGAGATCAAATCCGGAGGCGGGTTAAGCATTGTGTTCCCCGGGGGTTAAATAACTTCCCTAGTACCCATACTATGAATGCTACTAGTGATAAACGTTCTCGACGTCAACACCTATAGTAAATGATTCGAACACATCCTACGACAAAAGATCCATGTCTCCTTCAATCCTACTTCGAGACACCTTGATCACCGCAACGAGGCTTGGGATGGAGACGGACAAAACAAAATTTCCTGCTTCTTGCAGAACACCAGACGGCCATTAATGTCTCGTGCATTATACACCACTGCCAGTCGATATATGCACGCGCTCCTGGAAAGCGATCGAGGCCATATCAGTTGCTGCATTGGAATTGGCCACGCGCTTGGCGTAATACTCTCGAACGTTAAGGATCAGGCGTGGTCCCAGCACAGTCCTTTGGATGACCTCCGAAATCTGAAACAAGCCATTAAAAGTGTAAGTTGCTAGGAACTTTTGGACCTATAAAATGATGAATCATGGTCGCATGCAGAGGTAGTGAAGGATTGACATACCGGTGGGAGTATTGGACATAAATAAACAACAAGGATGAAGCAAGAGACAGCAACAAAGCTACCACGTGTGACCCTTCAGTGGCAAAAAAGAAATAGTAATCACAATGAGCTTACCTCGCAAAGTAAAGCACGTGAGTTTTCATTAACACCATCAAACAGTCCCCGATCATCCCTCTCGCCGAAAATTGTCGCAATTCACGGAGATGTTTGAGTGCAATCCAGACTGCGAAACACAGTACGAGGACCTCCCACACAACGGAGAGTATCCAACCAACAGAAAACAGAAGTATGATATTTCCTGTGTAGCTAAATGCGCACTGATAGGTGCCGGAGAGAATGAGCTCCTCTGGTATTCATCAGTGAGCCCTATGCGCGTTTGTTTTCATCCACAATTAAACGTACCCCCTGAAACACGTGAGATTGCTAGTAGGGCCGCTACTCCGATGTAACCGTTGACAGCCGTGCAGATGATAATGAGAAATATCAGAATCTTTTTGGATCCTTGATACATAGCATGTAGCCGAGCGATGATGATGACTTGCAGCATGTATTCAGTCAAGTCATTATTACTGAGGGTCGCAGGTACCGAGCTCACCACACAGAATTGAAAATACCAAAATACCCGTCCACGTCTGTACAAAGTATATAATCAAACCTGACGAATTCAGTCAGTAACCAGCCTCGGGTAGCACACACACCAAACAGACTCACATCTATGATGGTATAGCATGGAAGACATTAGTGAAACAAGAGGCCAACGAAAAACCACACCCACTGCTACAGGAAACCACGATTAATTGGAGGGGCATCTGAGTCTGTGCGGACGACTCACTGTATCTGTCAGTGAGATGATCGGACCATAGCCTGCATGCTGTTGTTTAGAAGAAGCGAAGACAGTGAATGCACTAAAGAGACATACACAGCATGTACAGGCTGATTATAAGAGATAGACGGTCAGCATAAAACCACTTGTTTACCCTTCCGAACGTACGTAGCATATGAGATTCCAAGGTAGCGCAGCTAGGACACTGTCGAGTTAGTACATCATGGCGGCAAACAAGCTACATACACTGAGATATAGAACTGTCATTGGGGACCAACGTTGCTTCTGTAATTAAGTGTATTTCCATGTGTTCTTCTGACATGAGATTCTACTCACCCAAATCAGTTCGACCTAAGAAAGGATTCTTAGCGAGATGGCTGCTCCGGTCATAGCATTGACATACCTCCAGTTCGAACGTAAGTGCTAAAAATACTTGTAAGTTGTCAGCAGTACTTTAATATTATCGTGTTCACCCCAATCATATGTCACTATAACAAAGGCGGCAACTGCGAAACCGCAGGCAAGGCTAGATTGAGACTCATCAGCTTCAGAATCCGAGTACTCCTTACGAACCTGCACAGTAGTTGAAAGAACGAGATGCATGAATGACCGGCCACCAAGCGGGAGAATTTGAGACTATGGTCATATCGGTAGAGAATGGGAGTGGATGAGAGGCGAACTTTGTAGATTCATGACATTCGCGCTGATGTATCTACACATAAAGCTATACTGTGCTTAATACGTACTTACTAGATGACCGGAATATTGCAGGACCTGAGGACCTGAAACTTGACAGGATACTGCCAGTGGGATGACTTGAAACACCGATCATCCCCGACTTTTTTATACCTGAAACTAGTACTAATCCGGTGTTTCTACAACGTAAAGTAGGAGAAACAACTAAAGGAATCTGCCGAGGCTACAGTGCCAAAGAGAAGCCGTTGCGAAACAGTACGCGAGCCTCACGTTCAGGTTGTCAGGTCACGCTGCCGTTTTAACTCTCATTTGTACAGCGATTTGCAACTCCGGAGTCCGGACTTACAACGCCTATGTCTCTCTCTGTTGGAAGGTTCTCGAGTCCCAAAGTAGAGGACTTGAGATGTGTTGTTGCATGAGCTATAGGACTACTTTTACTATCAAGGGTTGCGGAGAAATGCGATAATGATGTCCTGATAGGATCCTCCACCGATACATCAAGGCATCAGGATGGTAGTATTTGTGGGCCATAGGAATACATGTATCACAGGAAGGGTGTGGTTGACCGAAGTTGTAATAATCGATAGTACCCCATCGGCTTGATTTCTCGTTCCCGCAGCAAAATCAGGACGTAACCCGCTCCCTTGTGGTCACGGTAGTAGAAATAACTTGTTCCAAGAACCAATTACAGAATGGGAGTTGCTCGGCGTCCAGTATTAGCGCACAGGCCTCATAGCGTTCATTACTCAAAGTTGGATAATTTAAAACATTTTATTGAATGTGCATGTGCATTACTATGAACCGGTAAAATTTTTATGAGGGGCTGTAGGAACTATGTAGATGACTAGGACAGTGTGATATAAAAGAAGGTGAGTGGTGCCGCTGATCAGTGACGGTAAGATCCATGGGACATGATATTAATCAGAAGTAGCAATTAACGGTAAACATAGTATAACCAGACAATAGCGTAAATCGACCGTTCGAGATCAAATCATGAGGCGATATATGCCGGGTTTGGACTCCCCCCCCTCGCACCCAATCAAATATGAATACTAGTGATGTGAGTCTGCTCTTCATCTGGATATTCGAGGGAGGTGTGAAGTGTCAGGACCCATAATATATGATTCAAATACGTACTACAACGAAAAAAAATGTTTAAATCTACTCCGGTGTAAGGATCACATATCCTTTGTGCCCCGACCAGCGCTTCAAAACCAAGCGTTCGGACGAAAGTCCAAACCAACCACGTGACTCACGGATGCGAACAAGCGTCACATTCGCATCCGAGTTACGAGGTTACATCCTTCGTCTCTTACTATCATTATCTCACTGTCGTCGACAACCAGCTCGCTCTCCCGCCTTCCTTACACGATACCCAGACATCTATAAACCTTCTTTCGTCACTATTCTCATAATCCCTCCCTTGACACACCGAAAACAGCCAAAACCAATACGAAATTCTCGTCATTCAGGTGCTCAACGTACTACACCATTACCACCAACCATTCAAAAACTTCTCGTACTCCATTTTATTATCGATGTTTCACCCTGTTAGGCTCAACGCCACCACTCTCCGTCTCACCAAATCATTCTTTTCGTTACAGCAAGGACCCTTACCCTATTTTCACAACTTAAATACACGCATGTACGCTCATTATGATCAGTCTTTGCTCCCCCGCTAGATTCACGCGCGCATTCCGTCCGAAACGTCCTCTCGTCAGAAGCCTCAGCACTCTCATTAGAAAAGTCTTTCATTATATTCGATCCCTTCTACTATCGGTTACTTCGACGATCCCCGTCGAACTCGCAGATAGCCTTACACCGGGACACTTTAATTTCCGCAAGAAGGCTTGGAATGGAAACAAATTTTTCTGCTTCCTGCAGAGCACCAGACGACCATTCACGTCTCGTGCGTTATACACCACTGCCAGTCGATATATGCACGCGCTCCTGGAAAGCGATCGAGGCCGTACCAGTCGCTGCGTCGGGACCGGCCACAAGCTTAGCGTGGTACTCTCGAACGCTAAGGATCAGGCGTGGTCCCAGCACAAACCTCTGCACGACGCCCGAAATCTGAAACCAGCCACTAAGAGTGCAAGTTTCTAGGGAATCTCGTTCCTACGAAAATGATGAATCATGGTCGCGTGCAGAGGTAGTGAAGGATTGACATACCGCTGAGAGTGTTGGAGATAGATAAATTGCGAGGACGAAGCAAGAAACAGCAACAAAGCTATCACGTCCCACCCTTCAGTGCCAAAGAGGAATAGTATCACAATATGAGCTTACCTCGCAAAGTAAAGCACGTGAGTTTTCATTAACACCGTGAAACAGTCCTCGATAATTCCTCTTGTCGAATATTGTCGCAGTTCACGTAAGTGTTTTACCGCAATCCAGACTGCGAGACATAGTACAAGGACCTCCCACACAATGATGAGCATCCAACAAACAGAATACAGAAGTGAGACATCTTCTGTATAGCCAAATGCGCACTGATAGGTGCTGACGATAGTGAGTTCCACTGGTATTTATCAGTGAGTCCTATGCACGTTTTCATCCATAATTAAGCGTACCCCGTGAAATATATAAGGTTCCCAATACAGTTACCACTACGACAAAAATGTTGACAGCCAGGCAGGTGACAACGAGAAATATCAGGATCTTTCTGGAACCTTGATACATGGCATGTAACCGAGCGATGATGATGACTTGCAGCATGTTTAAGTCAAGTCAATGTCGCTGAGGTCTCGCAAGTACCAAGCTCACCGCATAGAATTTGAAATACCAAACTACTCGTCCAGTTCTGTACAAGGTATATAATCAAGCCTGACGAAATCAGTCAGTGACCAGCCTCGGATAGCACACACACCAAACAGACTCACATCTATGATGGTATAGCGTAGCAAACATCAGTGAACCAAGAGGCCAACGAAGAACCACACCCACTGCTACAGGGAACCACGATTAATTGGAGGGGCATCCAAGTCTATGCAGAAGACTCACTATATCTGTCAGCGAGATGATCGGGCCTTGACCTGTATGCCATTGGTCAGAAGAAGCGAAGACACAGTAAATATACTACTAGCAAGCAGACATACACAGCATGATGATGTACAGGCTGATAATGAGAGATAGACGATCAGCATAACACCACCTGCTGAGCCTTCCGAACATACGCAGCATATGAGATTCCAAGGTAGCGCAGCTAGGACACTGTCAAGTTAGCACAACATGGCAGCCGTGACAAACAAGCTACATACAGTTAGATGCAGAACTGTCATTAGGGACCAACGTTGCCTCTGTAATTAAGTGTATTTTCACGTGTGTTCTTCTGACATGAGACTCCACTCACCCAGATCAATTCGACCTGTAAAAGGACTCTTAGCGAGATAGCTGCTCCGGTCATAGCATTGACATACCTCCAGTCCGAATGTAAGTGCTGAAAATACTTGTAAGTTAGCAGCAGTCCTTTGATATATATCATCATGCTCACCCCAATCATACGACATTATAACAAAGGTGGCAACTGCGAAATCACAGGCAAGGTTAGATTGAGACATCAGCTCCAGAATCCGACTGTTCCCTACGAACCTGTCCAATAGCTGAAAGAACTCGGATATGCATGGATAATCAGCCACCAAGCAGGATTATTTGAAACGATGGTCATATCGGTAGAGAATGGGTGTGGATGAGAGGCGAAGACGCATGTTATATGTACGCATACCACTATACTTACTGGGTAACAGGAATCCTCAGAATGAAACTATACTAGTAGTATACGTACTAGTACTTGTCAGGGATGTTGAAACACATCATCCCTGACTTTTTGTTGTTTGAGCACATTTCGTACAGCGATGTGCCACAAACCCCGAACTCCTCCATTTTTGTCTCTCAATTATTTTTCGTAGAACAAAAAAATGCATAGAGCAACTGAGTAAAGGAAATGAGTGGAAGATGAGTGTGCTACTAATGCTGAGCTATTTAAAGGATAGTATAATAGGATCCGAGATATTCCCGCGATTGATCTCTAAATTTTCGTATACATAGACCATCTATCATAGTCTGATATAATAATGGCGACACTTCTTCCTCCTCCAAAAAGAACAAAACTATATCACGGCGTCGCAAAGCCTGAACCAGAGCCTCTGAAAGCATCGCCCAATGTTGTGGTTCAATTTGTGAACGAGCATGACGGCACACCGATAGCACCTGCTGTGAACCTCCCAGCCAATGTTGCGCGTGAAGGCCTTGAAGTGCTCGTCAATCAGTTGCGCACAAAGGTTAGACGATTGTGCTCTGTCTTGAGTTTAATGATCTTTTGTCATCTAGGACGATGATGAGCACGTACCATTTGCTTTTCATGTTGCTCTGCCTGAGGAGGCGACAAAACCAAATGCTCCTACGCGAATCGTGATATCTAAATCAATAGAAGTGGATGTTCTAGCACACGCATCTTATGCATTCTCAGAAGAAGACGTCCTGGTAGTACGCTGCGCCCCACAGTCTGTATTCAAAGTTCGCCCAGCTACTCGATGTTCTGCCACACTTACAGGTCTGTTGATCGTTCATCGAGTCGCATTAATAATCGTTAATGTAGTTGTGGAATCAGGTCATTCCTCACCGATATTATGCGCTTCATTCTCCCCTACCGGCAATTTACTTGCAACTGGTTCAGGTGACACGCATGTGCGCCTATGGGACCTTTATACTGAAACACCGTCCCACACGTTAACCGGTCACACTGGTTGGGTTTTATGCGTGGAGTGGGATCCACTAGAACGCAAACTGGCAAGTGGTGGCCACGATGGCCATGTAAGGCTATGGGATCCCAAGACTGGAAAACCGCTGGGCGATGCGATGAAGGGCCATTCAAAATGGGTGACATCCTTGGCATGGGAACCCCTACACTTGTGCGTTATTGTCTATGATATCTCTCAAAGTTATTCACTCCTGACCTACCAGAAACGCATCTGCCCCACGGTTGGCATCTTCGTCTAAGGACGGAACTGTGCGAGTATGGTCAACGGCCACACGAAAGCTAGAATACGCACTCGGTGGTCACACTGCAAGCGTAAATGTTGTCAAATGGGGAGGCGGCGGTTTGGATGGTCATGGAGTACTCTATACGGCCAGTAGTGACCGGACAGTCAGAGTATGGGATGCACGAGGGGTAGGCATATCCTTACATCTTTATCGCGCAACTATTTGATGCTTTTTTATAGGGTAAACAACTTCATATTCTGAAAGACCATGCACATTGGGTCACCACTCTTGCCCTTAATACGGATTTCGTACTTCGTACTGGACCATTCGATCATACCGGAAAGCATCCATCATCGGACGAGGAAGGTAAATTCTCGATTGCACTGGTCATCTTCCGTCAGATTCTCAATTAATACGAAACATCAGCTCAAGCACTTGCTCTCAAAAAATACACCACACTGGTATCACGAACACCAGAGCTACTGATCTCAGGTTCAGACGACCACACACTCTTCCTTTGGTCTTTATTTGCATCGTCGAACGCGGAACCGGGAGGGGGTAAAACTAAGCCCTTGACTCGTTTGACTGGTCACCAACGGCAAGTATCTCACGTCGCTTTCTCCCCCGATGGTCGGTGGGCAGCTAGTGCTGGGTGGGATAGTGCAGTGCGACTATGGGATTGCTCAGGTATGTTAGATGAATGTCGCATGTCTGATAGTGACTTGATCCAAAATTTTTTGTCTCCTCGCAGGTGCTGGGCAGCTGGGCAAATTTGTAGCTACACTGCGCGGACATGTTGGCCCCGTTTACAGACTTGCATGGAGTGCAGATTCGCGAATGCTGGTAAGCGCCAGCAAGGATGCAACGGTCAAAGTAAGTTTAGTATGCACGCGAGTAAGGGATTCGTTTATTGGATGATGCATCAGATTTGGGACCTCAAAACGTACAAAATCAAGACAGACCTTCCTGGTCATACAGACGAGGTCTATTGCGTAGATTTCGTTGCTGATAAAGTTGTCAGCGGGGGCCGCGATCGGACTGTGAAGATGTGAGTTGTTGATGCACCGCTTTTATGCTTTTCTGTATTGATGTTGCTTTTCAGATGGAAGAATTAGCTACGAGCCTGTAATTTGAGGATTGCCCTCACTTCTCACTGTTGAACTCATACATGGCAAGCAATAAGCAGCTCCTATCAGGGCAACTTATAAATACTTTGGTGCTCTGCGGCGCCCGGTTAGGGGCCGATTTACTCCGGCTCTGAATTTACCACTTTTCTGATGCGAAAGCACCTCAGAGCTTAGCGCTTAGGCTCTTCCCTTCCATTGGCAAAGTCGCGGAGAGCTGAGGTTTGATATTACATCATGTATGCTAGCTCTCCTTCTCAACCTCCCGTCAGGTCTGTGTTTTTAGCATGCACAGTGGTGGCCCATGGAAGGGACGAACACCTACTGGTCAGTTCACCTACTAGTGCTAGAAGTGCACATCAAACACTTTCCAGAGTCATTCATGTGATGACGCATTAACTCATGATATGTGACTCATCTTGCAATTATTACAAGTATTTTCACGTTGGATGAAACATAGCCGACACTAAGACTCTTACTTCAAGCGCTTCATTATTTGCTATTTGTTCTGGATACTACAAAACCGCCTTCGATGACGAGAGTCGCAGTCTCCACTTAATTGCGACCTAGAAGCTGAATTATTCAACCAGAGCTCCCGGAAGTTGGTGAGGAATCATGCCTTCTATTAGGACATACACTCCATTGAGATGGTCCTTGGATTCTAACATGATCTCATGTAGGGATGTCTTGCGATCGAGCTGTGTTGGGGCATGACGGCCCTTCGTAACAGATGTCGCTATAGTCATGGTCTACTTGCTAGACATCCTTGATGAGTTCCGATTAAGTCGAGTTGTCGCATGAAGATATAGTAAGTAGAAGTAGTTGTTACAGCACGAGAAGGAACTTCAAGTTCGTACCAGCCGTTATACATGTACCCGAAATCATGGCATGAAAGGCACTTGTAATCACTAGGAGCCATGATTCATGGCTCCAGATGTACTGTTTTACTAAAGTTCTTATGATACGTCCGTATTATCTTCTCTCAATTAAACTGCGCTGACCCCATTATTTCATCAGGTGGTTCGAGGGCCGCGCAAGTATAAAAACCTTCGTGATTTTGACACATCGACAGGTGGTCACCCCCCTTGATTACGATCATGCAGCTCTCGTTTATTTTAACGACCCTTATGTCCTTTGTCGCTATTTCTACGGCATATCCCACACCGAACTTCAGGACGGAACGTACTTGTGAGGACTCATGCGTCAATATATCAAGCGAGAGTTGTTGCTGATGTACTTTGCAGCTTTGGTTAAACATGATGGGCTTGACTTTGACCTTACTCGTTATTTAAACGCTAGGGCGCCTGACGATATTAGTCAACCTCCCAAGTTCAAAGGACCTGATGATCCCGACGACCCTGACGAACCTAATTACTTTGACTGATGAGTGGCGAGGAGCAGCGTGAGGACCTTTAATTGAGAAGTGTAGGAGTAACAATTGCGTACAAGAAAGGTACTGTGTCTCTTTCTACCTGTTTCTGATACGTGACTTATTACTTTTCAACTGTACAATAAAGCCTGAGGTCGAACGTGGGGTGTTCTACAGCTTTTGTTTACAAAATATTTTCTTTGCACTTCGCTACCTCCTATCCTGTTTCTCAAAGCAATTCATCGGAACGTTCAACCAAGCTTGGCCATGTTTGGAGAGCTAGAGGAGCTTTTGCTCTGGGTCTTAGAGATTAGTACTTGATTGTGGCCTGTGATGTCCCCCTGCGGCAGGATAGTAGACTGTCGGATGATGTTATTGGTCGTATTCAACATCGCCTGAAACTTGCAACAACATCGCTGTTGTCCGCGAACAGTTCGTAAACCTTTCCATTGCATAATTCAAGAATGAAGCTTAATGAAGCATTGACTGGGACCCATCATACTGCAAGATTGAACAGCAGTTTTACGTAATTTGACTGCTGCGCGAAATGAAAGTGATGTCATCATGGAATTCGAGATTGGGCCTAGCAGCTAACTTCATAACCGCAACGCCAACTTTACGACGGAACCATCAATAATTAAATGCTCAGAACAATGCAATCACTGCGCCTCAGAAAGATATCTTGCTACCCCTTCAAGTTACATTCTCTTCATACATCTACCCGTGTCTTGTATCCTTCATCGGACGCACCCAAGCCCCATAGCGCAGAGAGTTACTTCAAAGATGTAGACGAAACAGCTCCACAAGACCCTACAATACACCGCGTCGATGCCGCATCAGAGGCAGTACAGCGTCCTTACGAGGCACCTTCAGGGCAGTGGAGTCAGGCGGGTGTCAGGACCAGCGAGTATGAGCACGTTAGCAAAGACGAGCCGTATGACGTGCCTAGTAGCGGACAAGAAAATGAGAAAAAACTGAGGTACGGTGGCACCGAGAAACCAGGTACTGAGACCAGTCATTCCTGGGAGGGTCCAGAGGGTCAATCGAGGGGAGGACGTAAACCAGAATGAAGTCACTGAACCTCCAAGGTATTGTCGGCCGTTCTTCAGTTCCTTGTTCTGCATATGGGTTTTGAACGACTTATAGGATATGCCATAGCTTCGATGAATCATGGGTGTGTAACATTAGTGGGATGTATGTATTACGATCAAAGCGTTGGCGTAGTAGTAGCTTGTGTTAGACTCATGAGATATGGATGGAACGTCGCTCGACAACGATAACGAACCTATGGGATGCTTGATATTAATGATTCGTCGAGTGTTCTAACACAAAGTGAGGTAAAAGTTCGCAATTCAAGTCAGAAACAAGTGTTGTGTGTCAGACAAAGACAGCTATTGGACTGCCAGCTTTGGAGGTGGGGATTTTGGTTGCGACGAAGGTAATTCAATACTAAGAACTGACTGTCTTCCCTCTGATCGTGTCCGAGGAGAAGCGGTAGGCCAACATTAGGATATTCCAAAGGTCTACCGGCCTTCCAGCAAGTAGTGTTCGTTTTGTTGTTGAAAATATATTGTCCTTTGGGGTCAGTGGACCCAAAGTGGACCCGGGGATATTATTCCAGGCCCTCTATCGTAGCTCTTTATGTAATCGCCACAATCATGATTCATGGGGCGACTGGCAGCTTCATCACAACAATTGACATGTCAAACCATACAAGATATGTAGCATTGATAAGACCTGCACAGCAAGCCACAGGAAAAAAGTTTGCATATTAACATACCCATGTCATGCATGTGTAGAACTTAGTCAACCAGGAGACAAGCGATATCACAACGCTGATGTCAATCCATGGATTAACTACGTCCACTTCCCAGATGTGAAGAAACTCACCTTTGTAGCACAACCAATTCCAAAAAACATTCCAGCATCCATGCGCTTTGACACTGTGGGTATCACGCTCCGCGTAAACGATCCCTGAACCAAGGCTCTCCCGGTTCCTTCTATCGTCGTGGCCTTGTGGATGTCCTGGTTGACTGGCTTGCCTAGATGACTGCGCCAAGTCGTGCTGAGACGTAACTGTCTGGCGCAAAGGTGAGGCTGTGGCTTCTTTGTGATTATCCCTAATGTCACTAGATGCCTGAGCCGAGCCTTCAGTCGACATCGACTGCGATCGGGTATTTTTCCGATGTCGACGTGAAACTACAATCCTCTAGAAATTTTCTGAGATGGGTTATTGAGAACGAATAATCTGAACGTACCCTTTTCGCTTGTGCGGTCGGTACCTCAAGAATTGGAATCGACGCCGCCCTGTGGGATGGACGGTGACGAATACGCGTCCAAAGGTTGGCAAGAGGTGCGGTAGCCCGTTCCCGACTGGCAGGTCTTGGGGGCATCTGTTGAGGTTCCCTTACCTTGGACTTCGCCTCAGAAGATCGAGGATGACGAATCCGTTGCCATATTTTTGGAAGAGGTAGGATACCCTTGGCGTTAGTCCTTGGGGAGGCCTGCTGACGAACAGAGCTTGATGAAGGTTTAAATCCAGGTCGAATCTAGGATGACTTACGGGGCGACCATTTGTATTTATAGAAGCAGGTGGCGGTTGATCGAAGAACGCCGGGTTGAGTCCCAGCGAACGTTGTTTTCCTTTGGCTTTCAGGGTAATCGTCGCAGGCAGCTGTTGTATACGATGAGTTTAGTGTTCTACCATAAACGTAGGTCTCACATCAAGGGGACTGCCACCAAGAATCTAGTTCACTTCATTAGTACTCGGGATTGAACGTGTGGTGTAAGTTTCCTTGCCTCTTCCACTGAACGGACAATTAGCTTATGAGAGCCATCCTTCGAATCCGAGGGTATGCTCGAGGCTGCAAACAACTTGCCATCTGGTGAAAATGCAAATGGATGGGTACATCTCAAGTTGGAGGTAGTGAGTTTGTGGCCGTTCATATCATAGAAATGCGTGGGGTGATCGATGTCGCTCTCAATTTCCAGCGCCAAAAGCTTGCCATCTGGAGAAACCGCCATAGCCAAGGGGATATCACCTTTATCGAGGCCTTCAAAGCGCACATCTTCATGCTTCCCTGTATTTGCGTCCCATATCCAGACAGACCTGTCGCCAAATCCAAGCACCACTCGAGGACGACCATTCGGAATAATAATAGCGGCTTGAAGTAATGGTACATCTGGAAGTGCAATCTCCGCTATTCGAGCGCACTTCGGTATCTCCCAGGCAACGCCCTGCTTTGTATCGGTGGTAACGAGGAGGCCACTATCTGCAGATAGAGCCGCCACAAAAGTTGTTTGAGCAGCATTTGACACTGTTACTTGTTGAGTGACTACCCCGCTCCCTGTGTCCCATACGAGCAACTCTCCATCCCTTGAAAAGCTTATTGCGTGAGATGAGTCGGGAAGAAAACCCGCGGTGAATATCAAGTCATTGTGCCCTTTGAATGGTTGTCCTATAGGGAGTGTTGAAGTAGTATTCCAGCAACGTATCGTGTGGTCCGGTAAGGCGCTTATTATTTTTTCTCCGTCAGGGGACCATGCTATAGCAGTGACATATGTATGGGCATCTGCAAGGGTTCCTAGTTGGTGCTTGCTCTCTAACGATATGGTGGTGATGGTCACCCCCGAACGAGCAGTACCGCTGGCAATTTTCTGGCTGTCAGGCGAAAATGCCAGACATGTCAGAGCGTCCGCGGTGCTCATTCGGCGGGACTGATGCTAAATGTAATATGCCTTTGACAATGAGTGACGTGTCATAATATAAGTTGAATCTCGAGCATATGCAAAATACGCAGTATACACACTTGGCAGGCGTGGATTTGTGATCTACCGAGTTGTTGTCCCAGACGAGGTTGAGAATTGTCAGTTGGTAGTTTCGTATAGACTGTTAGCTCATAAGGCCCTAGAGAAATGGGTTTGAAGGATTATAAACGCCGGTCACTCCCGGTATAATGACTACATGACTCTGACACATGCCATTAGCACAGCCAACTAGTGGAGTAAAACGTTTGCTACTCGTTATGAAGGCTATATATGCAAGTTTCGAAACGTCAACCATGTGTCGAATTGCAGCACAAAACGTGAACCATGTGGAGTCACGAAGCACGGTAAGTACGTAGGCTATTATAACAATGATTCACAGTCACACCACCAAAGTTGATGTTTCTTAATATATGATCGAATCACTGGCGCGCTACAAGCGCTCTCACTAGCGCCTTTGTGGGACGACTCGGAGTACGGTAGGCTAACGGCGGTGCCGAGTACGACTGCTCCCCTGGTCGATTTCCCTGGAAAGTCAAAGCTTCAGCGACTCCAAGAACTCCCGAATACCGCTTATCCGACACTCCCTCCTTCTCGGCGAATCGTTTGTGTTCGTCCTCCCTCTAGAAGATTCCAGAATTGTATGGAGTTATCCGATCCACCAGTTGCTGTGCTATGAAAACGGATATGGTATCGATTCAGGTATGGATATCGCACCAAGCATCTCCTAGAGACACGCGTTCCTGACATCTTATCGCCTCGTGTTTTCGACAAACAGCGGTCATTACAACTTTGAGCCTTCGATATCTAGTTTTACCAAATTTGGCCGCCCAGGCGTCATTTATGCTCAAGGTTCACAGGAAAACCTCCAAGAATTAGTCACCAACGTCAAATCTGTCTGGGTGTTAAGAGTTTGATTTGTGGAAACAAATATGGTCAACGACGAGCACCACCAGGGTTGGACTGAGTCCCAGAAGATCGGAAAAGGTCGTGGAAGAGGTGATAAGATGCACGGGAGAGACACAGAGATGGATCTTGGAAGCTCAGCGCTCAGCTTTGAGATGAACTAGCATGCTGGGCATGGGTGAAGGGTATCTCCGTCACGATGCATCCTTCATTCAGCAGGCTATGCAAATTGTCATAGGCGAGGCAAGATGCATCCGTGGCCGGTTCAGGTATATTTAGTAAGTTATTACTTGTCCTATTGTATGTGACCGTCGTTTACATGTCTTCAGCCATGTCGCAATGATGCAACATATGATAGGGCTTCATGTAATTGATAGCTGAGCAGATCCGCAAACGACACTCTATCCGCTCGCTGTTGCTGGATTGTGATCACTAGCTAACACCGGTTACACGCATGCCCATGGTTGTGAAGTTTTGATCATTCTGGTACGATGGTTTTGCTGCACGATACTCCAGGACACTCGGCATTCACATCAACGTACAGCTTGTTTTTTTCGCCAAGCCTTTCCGCAAAGATTTGGGCATTTCCCCTTAGCACTAAGTATCGCTGGTGTTCACGAGAAAGATAGTCAGAGACTGTGAAACCATTCGACACTTTCCCCTCGATGGCAAGAAAGATCCTGAAGCATGTAGATGGACAATACTTGGACAAAGTTTCGGAGGCTTCTGTCCCGCAACCTACCCTTCATTTCACAGTGATGGCCTAAAGGAGGTCTTCATCACTGGTGGTATCCCACCCATGGTCGACTCTCCCGACCCAGTTTACGAGGCCCTCGTTGGTAAGCGCCTAGCCGTTTACCCTCATTTTAACTGACAGTTTGTCTAGTGAAGGTGGAAGAACGAAACAGGGTTTACTATGAAAAGTATCCCCAAGATGTTCGAAATTTTCGAAATTTAGACAAGTCTACCTCCACCAAGTTGTTGATCTACTACAGGTCCGTCGGATCTTGGGTTTCCTAGAGGACAACGACGTAGTCATTCCGAACGGCGGGAATCTGACAGTCACACTTTCGCAGTAAATCGAAACCTACCATGCGATCCAAATTGCAGGCCGAGTTGTAGCCACCGTGAGACTCTTCATATTTTATGCTCAGGCGGCATCGATCGGGTTCATCGTATGTAATTTTGCTTCAATTTCGCCAACGAGGGCTCATTCATATGCGCAGATCTCGTGTTCCGAGCGATCACAGACTTGGACATGTTTGGGAAGCTCTCATATGGGCTTATTGACAGTATACAGAGAACATAGCTTTGACGCCAACCCGATTTACGCAGTGCTTCACGAGCCTATCTACTGCCAAGGGTGAGTTCCCACATTCGCGAGGCATATATCAACCAATCATCTCTCTATCAGGCGGAAGGCAGGCTGGTCTGCACAGCGCGTCATCCAGGAGAACGACAGGTTTGTGTGGGAAAACTTGATGTCCCCATTTACTTCACGGGGGAGATGGTACGTCTATGGTCATTCAAGTTTCATTCAGATGCTGAGATTGGATCCATGCATCGACAGATATTCCTCGACATGTTCGAAGACTGTCATCATCTACGTCCCCTGCGAGGCGCGGCCGAATTACTGGCTTATGATCAAGATTGGCCCATGTTGTATGACAAGGAGACCCTGAAGAAGAATCAAGTAAAGGTAAACGCTGCAACGTGAGTGGAGGTTGCGATGACGACATGTGAGTAATGTAAGGTGGCTGTTGAGTACTAAGGGGAACTGATCGAGACCCGAACGAAGGACGCGACTGATAGAATGAGTGAAGGGGAGTTGTTCACTTCAGCTGTAGAAAGTAGGGACCGACTATTTGTATGTAAGTGAGCACAAAGGGAGTTCCATAAGTAGTACTTCGAACCGGTACAAAGGGAATTCCATAGCTGGTGTCCGTGGCTAGCAGAGTGACATTCCTTACAGTAATGTCCCTTTGACCACTTTGTTGTCGCTCATATGAATACTTTCCAGGTATGTCGATTTCGGTCTTGTGCAACAGGCAACATCTGTCATCGGCAACGTGGAACAACTTATCACCAATCAGAGTTTCCATGACGGCATACGCAAGAACATGGAAAACCTTTTAACGACCTTTTTCGAGCTGTCTAAACGGGGGCGCGATCAGAACGAGTTTCCCTGAAGCAGCGAGTAGCCTGTGATGTGGCGTTTTGGGATCGAGATAGTATAGAGATGATCTACGCTACAGGATTGATGGTGTCTACAGCCATTGCGTAAAAGCTTTCTTTACTCGTACTGAACAGCAGTTCAATAATCTGTGTCAGAAATCAATGGAAGTCTTCAAAATCAGGTCATGAACGGAAATGTCAACTCTCGCGAACTTCAACACTTTCAGTATCAATTCCAACGGACGACTACTTGTCTTCATTTGGGTCCATAACCTGCCAACTGGATTTTGGTGCTGCATGATGAGTGGGAATGCATCCAACACGCTCACGCAATTCAAACACTCGATTATCATCACGTTCATCGTAAAGTGTGTCTTGCCACATGAGATGTTATGCCAGATCAGTGTTGTACAACTTCATTCTTACGCACAACCCGTCAGGATTTGCACCCTAGAAGCGATCACCCCCAGCTCCGATGCAACAAACTGGAAAATACGAGACTCAATTGGGTGTACAAATCGTGTAGCTATACAGTCTCAAAGTCCGGAATATCGAAGTCCTTGGGAATAGATTGCGCACAGCCATGACTAGATGCCAAGTCGTCAGATTGTCTCAAGAATACTTTCATCAACAAGGTGAGAGGACGCACGAAATTGATCATATGCCAAAATGCACGAACACTATGCGCTGGGCCAAGGGTATGTCTACGTCACTAGCCAACGACTGGACCGCTCGGTACAGCGCTTGGGCAGCTCGTTTGGGATTCATTGTGCCACCCTCGCAAAAATTTTCGTAGAATGCCTTGACTAAGAGGTGCACAGTATGATCGTCGACCTTCCACAACGTCCCGATGACACTCCTAACCCCAGCAAATTGCAGGCCGGCCGCTAGGTGTATCGCTTCGTCGGGCGTATTGAAGTCACCGACCGCGGTTTCACAGGCAGAAAGAAAGGCAAAATGATGCCGAGACAGATCCGTTTGTGCAATATCAAGGAGCGAAAGAGGCTGGTCGCGCATAAGAAAGGCCGACTGGAAGGGTTCGTCAAATCTCTGCGTCCCATGACACGCGAGATGGAACCAAGTATTCTCTCGCAATGCGCACAGTGCTCTTGATTTCGTGGCATTAACGCTGGCTATCTTGGAGAAGGAGACAGTTGGGGGAGGAGGCAAAAGTTTCCGCACCAATTCCAGCTCAGGCTCTACAGCATCTAAAGTGAAAAAGGCACCGGCTGGGTAATTCTGACCGATGGCGACGAAGGGCACCGACGTGGGTCTGTCACGACTTGCGCGAGCCTTGATAAGCGCGGTGAGAGATGGTGTGTATGAAGAGATATACAGCTGCGAAAGAGACTTTCCCCCATTTCTGTGCTCGCGAGCAGCATGCAACGGTAAGAAATTGAAGAGGAATGTCGGGCACCACCATATTCGGGAACCTAGTCGTACCAATCTGCCCAATTTCTCGACCACTGGGCCGACGACATTGTTCCACAACTCGTTCAAAGCTTTCATTAGCGCTTGTTGTTGCCCAGTCTCTTTTTCAACTGCCTCTGGAAATGTGTTTACCAATTTGACGAGTTTCTGAATATCGATAGGGAGTTGAATGCTGGTGGGAGGTTGCTTGTGCGGGATAATAATGGCATCGCAAGACGATCCACTTGCGATGAGCATGATGATGGGCCCATCACGAGCTGCATCTTGGAGATCAGAGAACAAAGGGGGAAGCAGGAAGCGAGAGAAGCCCTCGATCTTCCTGATCTCTTCTACAGTTCCATTCCAGTCCTCCACTAGACGTCTGTACCGGGTGGCTTCTGCTTCCACATCGATTCTTTGGGTCCCTTCTGGATGGCTTGGAGATTTATCGAGGAGGGAGCTAAGGTCTGCGAATTTCTTCATCAGAGTCACTGCATGATCGCCGCAAGTCTGGAGCCTGTCAAGAGGCGTGCGGAGTCGAGTCATCTGGGTCCAGATGATGGTCCTGCCTTGTTCCAACAACTCAACAGCGCGACCCACGTCACCACTACGAAGAGCACAAGATGCAGCATCCACGGCAGGTGTATTTGGGAATTCCTTCATGGCATCATGACGAGATGGTATGGAGGCTGTTACAGACATGTAAGCGTCCAGTAGTTGCATAGAAGTCGCATAAGCCTCTAGTTGAGTACCATGTGAATATTGATGAGCACAGTGCACCCAAGTTAGACTTGCCCGCAGGCGGGAGAGCAAGCCCGCAGAGACAACATGTGTCGCTGCCTTAAAATGGTGCATGGTAGCATTCAGACTATCTGGATTTTCGCCAGGGCCGGTGCCGTCAAGCTCTGAATGATGGAATGATAGATATACATTAGCTATAGATTCATGGACTTTCAGTTGACGAGGATCATGCTGCGTCAACAACGTCAATGCGCAGAGTAGGTTCTCTCGTGACTCGTTCAGGTCTTCGCCGTTGCCTCGGTGGTCAAAGCGGGAGCAGAGTTGATTTGCGAGGTTGATTAATGACATGGACCGATCTGTGTGACCGACCGGGCGCAAAGCCAGCGCTTCTCTATGAAGTGCGATAGCCTCATTTAAATCTTCGCCGTTGCCTTGGTGGTGAAAGCGGGAGGAGAGTGTAATCGCGCGGTTGTTTAATGACTTGGACCGATCTGTGTGACCGACTGGGCACAAAGCCAGCGCTTCCCTGTGAAGTGCGATAGCTTCATCCAAGTCTTCGCCGTCGCCTCGGTGGTGAAAGCGGGAGGAGAGTTGAGTCGCGAGGTTGTTTAATGACATGGACCGATCTGTGTGACCGACCGGGCGCAAAGCCAGCGCTTCTCTGTGAAGTGCGATAGCCTCATCCAAATCTTCGCTGTTGCCTCGGTGGTCAAAGCGAGGAGAGTGAAGTCGCGAGGTTGTTTAATGACATGAACCGATCTGTGTGACCGACCGGGCGCAAAGCCAGTGCTTCCCTGTGAAGTGTGATAGCCTGATCCAATCTTCGCGGTTGCCTCGGTGTGAAAGCGGGAGGAGAGTGTAGTCGCGAGGTTGTGTAATGACCCAGATCGATGTGTGTGACCGACCGGGCGCAAAGCCAGCGCTTCCCTGTTCAGTGCGATAACCTGATCCAAGTCTTCGCCGTTGCCTCGGTGGGAAAGCGGGAAAGAGTTGATTCGCGAGGTTGTTTAATGACATGAACCGATCTGTGTGACCGACCGGGCACAAAGCCAGCGCTTCCTGCTGAAGTGCGATAGCTTGATCCAAGTCTTCGCCATTGCCTCGGCGGTCAAAGCGGGAGGAGAGTTGAGTCGTGAGGTTGTTTAATGACTTGGACCGATCTGTGTGACCGACTGGGCACAAAGCCAGCGCTTCCCTGTGAAGTGCGATAGCCTGATCCAAGTCTTCGCCGTTGCCTCGGTGGTGAAAGCGGGAGGAGAGTGCACCCGCGAGGTTGTTTAATGACATGAGCCGATCTGTGTGACCGACCGGGCACAAAGCTAGCGCTTCCCTCTGAAATGCGATAGCCTGATCCAAATCTTCGCCATTGCCTCGGCGTTCAAAGCGGGAGGAGAGTTGAGTCGCGAGGTTGTTTAATGACATGGACCGATCTGTGTGACCGACCGGGCACAAAGCTAGTCCTTCCCTCTGAAGTGTGATAGCCTCATCCAAGTCTTCGCCATTGCCTCGGTGGTTAAAGCGGGAGGAGAGTCGAGTGCCGAGGATGTTTAATGACATGGACCGATCTGTGTGGCCGACCGGGCACAAAGCCAGTGCTTCCCTCTGAAGTGCGATAGCCTGATCCAAGTCTTCGCCGTTGCCTTGGCGGTCAAAGCGGGAGGAGAGTTGAGTCGCGAGGTTGTTTAATGACATGGACCGATCTGTGTGACCGACCGGGCACAAAGCCAGTGCTTCCCTCTGAAGTGCGATAGCCTCATCCAAATCTTCGCGGTTGCCTCGGTGGTGAAAGCGGGAGGAGAGTGTAGTCGCGAGGTTGTTTAATGACATTGACCGACCTGTGTGACCGACCGGGCACAAAGCCAGCGCTTCCTGCTGAAGTGCGATAGCATGATCCAAGTCTTCGCCGTTGCCTCGGTGGTGAAAGCGAGAGGAGAGTTGAGTCGCAAGGTTGTTTAATGACATGGACCGACCTGTGTGACCGACTGGGCACAAAGCCAGCGCTTCCTTCTGAAGTGCGATAGCCTGATCCAAGTCTTGCCGTTGCCCGGTGTTAAAGCGGGAAGAGTGTGCGCGAGTGTTAATGACATGACCATCCTGTGGACGACGGGCACAAAGCCGCGCTTCCTCTGAATCGATAGCCTATCCAAGTCTTCGCCTGCCTCGGTGGTGAAACGAGATGAGATGTATCGGGATGTTTAAGAGAATGATCTGTATGACCCGACACAAGAGCCACGCTCCCTGTTAGCCTCATCCAGTCATAAGGGACTTCGTATGTTTTTAATGACCTGCCCGACTGACCGGGCGCAAAGCCAGTCTTCCTCTGAGTGTGATGCTCATCCAAATTTCGCTTTGCCTCGGTGGTAAAGCGGAGGAGAGTGTAGTCACGAGGTTGTTTAATGTCATGGACCCGAATCTGTGTGACCGACCGGGCACAAAGCCAGCGCTTCCATGTGAAGTGCGATAGCCTCATCCAAGTCTTCGCCGTTGCCTCGGCGGTCAAAGCGGGAGAAGAGTTGATTCGCGAGGATGTTTAATGACTTAGACCGATCTGTGTGACCGACCGGGAACAAAGCCAGCGCTTCCTGCTGAAGTGCGATAGCTTGATCCAAGTCTTTGTCATTGCCTCGGCGCTCAAAGCGAGTCACTAGCATTATAGTTAGATTGCATAGTAATTGCCCTTGGCAATCATGCTCGGCGTTGTAGTATTCCAGTGCGTCATAATGAAGGGATATCACTTCATCTAAGGCACCAGGTTCATCTCTCTCCAAACACCACCGTGCTAAATCAGCAAGTTGATCCGGCGATAACGGAAGCATGGATAGGGCGGGCCCCTCCTGCCTAAGATCATTTGCATCAATGCCTCTCGCAGAATGTAGAGCGCATGTTTCCATTGCAATCACAGCCGCTCTGTGAATGTGGCTGTTGGCGTGGCAGACATTGACGACTTCGCTCAGTAACTCTTTGGCTGCATCAGCATCCGTTTGAAATCCCCGTTTTGCGAAGCGCGAGAGCAGAGCAACGGCAAGATGCAGCTGCGTGACCGTTCGGTCCGGATGATTGGCGGGACGCAAGTCGAGGGCGCCTTGAAACAGGGAGACAGGGACGTCGAGGTCGAGGTATCTTCCGTCAGCTTGGCAACTAACAAACGTTGCGATGGCAAGATTAAACAGCGCTGCAGGGCGGTAGGGATGATTCACGGGACATAGATGCAAGGCCCGTTCAAAGTGATCTATGCATTGTTCGAGATCGCTACTGTTCTGCGTCCTGCGGTATCGTGCGAGAAGACAATGTCCGGCATCTGTCCTCAACGCTAATGCGTCCATATCGCTGGATGTAGGCTACATGTTACGGCTTTCAGTATCAGAATGCCAGACTGCATTGAACACTCACAGTGATAGGGGGGCAAATAATTCCGGCATCGTTTTGATCAGAAAGTTGCTGCTCCACTGTGAAGAAAAGTGAAGTGCAAGCAGATATGACTTGCTCCTGCTTCGGCTGAAATATTATGGCTGTGATGCTTGTTAGCGTCTGTCAGGCATTGTGTAATGGACAATACTGACAATGCGATTTTTCGCTGCGATCCAGTAATTCTCCGACGGAAATCTTGAACGTGCGAAGTATCTCTCCATGACAGAGCATGGGACCCAATTCGAATGAGGCATACACGCTGACCTTAACTTTAGAATATGGCTCGCGAGGCCTAGAGTCTTTCTCAATACCTGCAGAGCTGACGGGTTGAACATCACTTACAAAAGAATGCGCTCGTGCCATTCGAGGACAGCCTGGTCTACGTTTACAGATATATTGCTTGTCTGGTATTCAACGCCGTCGGCCTTGATCACTACATGGAAGCCAGCGGGGATCCGTCGGAGGCCAAGAGTGAGATCAGTCGCGCGAATGGCTTGAGGGAGATGGTCAATACGAGCTGAGCGGAAATGGATATCGCGTACTAGTGATGATTGGTTGCACTCCACTGGGGTGCATCTCTGCCGGGTCCTGGGTGTGGTCTGGGTCGTTCGGTTCCTCACTAGATAACAAGCACATTGTCAGGCGTTTAGATGAACAGTACTTGATATACTTACTTATCTTGCTTTTGCCTGAATATGCGACATCAAGTCTATACATGTGGTATAAAACGCAGCGACTTACGATCGGCCTAGACCTTTTGAACTCTTGTCATCATCGCTGCCTGACGACTCATGATTACGTTTTACCCCTTTCAAGGGCTCCGAGTCGGTACTGGAAGCGGATGTCTCTACTGGAGGAGTTTGGGAAGTCCTAAGCGACGACGCTGAAGAAAAGTCTGATTCTGATGAGGTTGAAGAGACACATCGACGATGAGCCATTATGAAAATGATGACTGAGTGATGTATCCAAACGAACACTGGTCATGAAACACTGCAGTACTTGTAAAGGTCTGAAGGATTATAAAGAAGGAAACTACAGCATGCACATGACATCCATCCTGTGCAGCGCTGATGAGTTAACAGGTCATGATAAGCGGCTTGCCAAATATCGGGCCTTTCATAGCCTCAGTGACAATATGAATGTCGTCAGATTTGTACAGCAGTCTGATGGCACGGTGAACTAGGTTTAAAGCGGCCGAGACAAGAGAGCTGCGAGGGGCGTTCCACACTTCTGCATATGATTGCGACTTATACAGCCTGTTGGACAATATGTTGGGCGGGAACTTGAAGGCACTGAACTGACTGTACCTGTCTTGTAAGAAGTGCCGTAACCAGTAGCAAGAATCGCGTGAAGGTATGTACTTCCGATATAGTGTAATAAGTGCTGGTTGGAAATAATTAATTAAACTCTGATGATTGCTTGGATGCAAGAGAGCGTACCACAGGAGATTAACGATTTAGGTCATGCATTCTCTGAGAGTCTATGGACGAAGTCGTCAAAAATTATCATAATTCAACATGTGCGTCTCCTGAGCCACTATGCAGTCCGGTAGTCCATGGCTCCGTAGCCGATATTGTGAAACTAGGGGATTCAAACACGTCCATGCTGGGTTCTATCAACTGCCCAGCTCCGCCATCCTGTCCACCTATCGACGACGCCAGCACAGATGACGCAGCAGCAGTGGCGGCCGATGCAGTAGCCACAACCTCCCCAGCCTTCTGTACCACCGAGCGCGTACTCGAGCCTGAGCTTGGCAACAATCTCGTCCAGAAAAAGGCGATACGTAACCCGCGGTCGATGATGCGCTGCTTCAGGATGAAGAGGACCACGAGGCTGAAAAACACGAGGCCGGAAATAATAAGGATGCGGTCGAGCCAGTCTGTCTTTTCGAGTGCAGTAATAAGCTGTTTAGAGGTGCCGAGGATGAGATCGAGCTTGTCATGCGTTGTGGATGCGGATTGGAGAGTTGCAGTAGATGATTCTGCGTGAAACAGACGGTAAGTATTAAAGAAAAATGGTACCGTGACGAACTTGCCTAATAGTTGAGTCGACAAGACACTGCGCTCGAGCTCTTTCTGCATGAGTCCAAGTGTTCTTTGTAGTGCTTCTGTGACATCATGGTTGGCTTTCATGAGTGCGTCTTCGCTGTAGTTCACGGGTCAGCCGTATCGGAGGGTACGATGCATGCCGCGTACGAACATGACTTTCTCGCCCGAAGAGCTTGTACTTTTCTCTCGAATGGCAGGGGACCTCAACAACTCCTCCCGCTGTGACCGACTTTGGGAGTCAATTGCATGTTTCGACGCTAGCAATGCCGCTCGAGAGTCTTTGCGTAGACTAACATAAAGAGAGAAAGACCGGTCAGAGACTGGAAACAATACTGGACGGTCAAACGGCTGCATACATGACTAATGAATCACGAAAAACTTCAGCTCTTCTCCTCAGTTCTCTCCTAGCCCGTTCAGTCCTTTGATCATCAACTAGGACATCCAGCTCCTACGGTGGGTGAATGAAGGTTGAACCTCGATGCGCGAACTAACAAACCTCGATTTGCCTCGCCAGACCTTCAATGTCCTCCCTTACCCCCGCAGCCCATGCTTGTTGCGTGGTCAAAGGACCTGCGCAATCTCTCAAACGAGGAATCTGAAAAGTTGAAAGGTCATTATGGTGTCGTTCTATGGATTCGATTAGAGAGAGAGCTTCAGCATCTAGCGTTGTTGGGATAGGTGGCATGTCTGAACGGTGGACAATACAAATACAAATATAGAGAAAAGGGCTAATGCCGTCACAAGTCACAGGCCCTCCTGACCGCCACGTCGTGCACCATAACAACTCAAGGGTCAGTACTCAGTGTTTATGAGTGTGTCAGTACCAGGGCGTGGCGCTGACATAGGCACCTCAATTTTTGCTCTTGATATTGCATGACCATTGACCTCCCTGCGGACCGTGACCATGGACAATCTCCAAATTACGCAATAAGATATACGAAAACCAAACCGCAGGTCAACGAAATAGCATGGATGATCATATCCATATATCAGTATCAAGCACTGTAAAATGATATAGAGATGGAAGTAATTGACGAAGAAGGATCTATCACTCATTGTTGCAGTTGCGTCCATCGGCAATCAAGCTGACTCGAACGCTGATCAATAGACCAGATGATGGTTCCTTTGCGGCACGTAGCCAGGCATTCCAAATTCACGGATACTGTCATTGGTTACTGTCCAACGAGTTGGTACAAACACAGACGGTATGAAGATTCTTTGAGGGGACTTTCGCATCGGACGCCGGGATGGGGACCCGGGAACTGTCGCACGTCGATGTTGAAACATGACTTAAGAGTTATACCGCTGTCCCTGTGGCGAGCATTAGCGTCAGGTTCAGATATTCGACTCATCACAAAGCATCCAAACCAGTGCATACAAAAACGAAGCAATAAGGCGGGAGCGGCAATATCGAACGAAGCTGGATGACGTCTCAGATTCTCAACCACCACACACTGGTATAGTAAGTAAGATTATGTTGATATTCTCGTTTAATTCACTGAATTTGAGGGGAGAAGTCAACTCCAGATTTATGTAAAGTTTATCGGTAGACCCATTAGTAAGTCAATTTTACAGAATTATATATTTATATAGTTATCGTGTCTACAATATCACGAACTCATGGTTTGCGTGCCCCTGCAGTGCCCCACGATAACAAAGCAAAGCAATATTGTGTGCACCGTTACAGTGGCTCATACTTACCGCTCCGCGTGGAGAACGCCATACATAATTATGGACGCCTAATCTATAACTCATCACCTTACAGGATGACATGCACCAATCTCAAGAAAATTGTCGATGCCCGCCGGCATGTTAAATGCGCTCCTGCAGATTCTGCTGAAACTTGTGCCACATATAACAGCAATAACGATTCTGCCATATCGTGCTCCCGAGCATATACAGGATATAAAAGCTGGTCATCATCCTACAGTGTTCCTCCATCTTCAGAGACATCATTCTGAAATCCCCCTCAGAATATCCCATATCAACCTCGCACAGAAAATGCGTTTCTCCCTCCTCGCCGTTGTTGTTGCTTTGACAGCATCTATGCTCGTCAGTGCATCATGTGCCCAGCCGAATGAACCTTGCAACGACACTGCCGATTGCTGCGGCAATGCTTTGTTTGGTGCAGATCACAAAGTGAGTATGAGCAGTCGCTGTGCAACCAGGACCCACCACTGACCTGCGTGCCTTAGGGTGGAGATCATCTCTGCCACAGGCGCTGAAAGCGATTGAAAATGGAAACATATGGAAAGCCAGCAAAGAGAACAATAGCGCAATACCTAGTTCGCTGCCAATCAGTACAATTCCCTTTGAACAAATTCTCATGCTGCTCGAGCAATGTGGCAGAAACTTTGAATTTATCTAAAAATGATCGAACGTGTCCAGTCTTGCTCGAGTTCGTGTAGTGTAGGGAGCTCGGGAGTGATTCTTGAAAGAGGGCCGAGCTGTGCTGGTAGGCACCTTGTTTACCAGTGATATTTCATTGCATGACTAGAAATTTTCAATGTATCGAATATAAACATCGGACATTCAGTACATGTACATAATATACATGATAAACAATTGCTCGGAGGCGGCTGTGAGTTAACCAGCGAGAGGATTCTTCAATGGATGTGAACTTTCTATTCGATACGAATTTTCTTGCTGGGGCTACCGTCGGTCCGCGACGACGACGACGGACCGTCTGCCAGACAACTTGAACACTTTTGATGGGGCTGCTCGAGGGTTTGCGCACAGCGCAGTACTACAAACTCACGAAGTATTACTGCGTTGAAGACGAAGTGCCAGTGGTGCACAAGAATCTCACAAAAATTGTCGATGCCTGCCGGCAGATTAAATACGCTCCTGTCGTAGATCTGCCGAAACTTATGCCATATAACAGCAATAACAATTCTGGAAGATAGATGAGAATCGTGCTCCTGGGCAGATGCAGTCTATAAAAGGTCAACGGTAAAGACATTTGCATTGCGGCACACCTTCGAAGTCATCCATTCTGATTTACATAAATTTGTGATGCCTTTCCCTGGCTTGGTCACGGCCCTTGATTCCCTGTTCCTCCAGCACACTTCCAAGCATGTGTAATAGGGACTCATCAACTAATAATTATTGCTCCCCGTCAGTCACGGTCAGTGTCCCTGGCGGTTAATTGACCATGTTCCTTAACCTGTCATCAGAGGTGATATCTAATTAGTCTTTTAATTTATTATGTCACAGCTAACATCATACTTTGTGTACTACTGGTTCACGTGTGTCCATATCGACTACTATGCTGCGGCCATAATCATCAGAGACAGCCCACCACCTGATCCTGCTAAGCTCAGACGGGTTGAATAACCAATCTTGATTAATTCTCAACTTCCCAGCGAGAGAGCGTATGCTGAGCATAAGCCGAGACACTGCGACTGCGCTGATTGCTAATTGTGAGCTAAATAATTACGCTGCTTAGCAAACATTGACGAAACATGCAAATGGAAAATTCACTTCGACCAAGTTGCTGGCCCGTTGATCTGTAATTTCCGAGAATTAGGCGCCACGCATCCGAAGAGAAAGATGGGTAACATACCATAGGATCTGTGGTTAAACGAGCACCGACCACGGAGAATGTGGCCGAAGCTACATATTAATTAGCGCGCTGACAGGTGCATGAAACACGTATCATTCACCCATCGAAACGAAGAAGACAAGACTTCCACTGAATAATGGTAAATGGGCTGAGAATACTATTCACATAATAGAACTCACTCTCGTGCTAGACGTTGCATCAACATATCCATCCGGAAGTCACGAGAGATCCTCGTAACTCGTACGATCGTGAATCCAAACAAGATTATGTGGATGATGGTACTTGGAACGAAGACTGCCCATATCATCGACGGGGCAGGCGCAGAACATCCTGGGATGGTTGTTATCTGCCGCTGAATCTGCAGAGATTCCGCGCTTGACTTCAGTAACGGAAGACTTGAGCCCATCATCGCGAGGGACGATATAGTGCATGCTGCGTAGCTGAAGCATGCAACCGCTCGCGCAATGGCACTATGAGAGTACATGTACCACACACGGAGTAAGAGAATTCCTGTTATGATGATGCTTTAGCCAGTCTACGGTAACTTGTATGAGATTACTGAGACCTTGATTGATGCAGATTGCAATGATGGAAAGCTCAAATGCAGCGCGGATCCAACGAGTGCACCTTGAACAATGATTAGTTCATGTGCTATTGAGAAGGAAATTCAGCCTTACGACTAAAAGCATTGATTGGGATATGACTTAGTGCATTTAACAGTGAAAAAGAAAGTGTAAAAACCTGAGCTGATATCTCGGCCCCAAACAGCGCTAAGACACACGATCGCTTCATTGAACGATTGAAGCCAAGAATAACAATACTCACCAGCATTCGTTGGTCTTGCATATCCGGGACCAAGTAAATGTCAGAAAAACCCCTCGAAAGGCAATTGGTTGAACATACATCATGGCGATCAATGGAAGATATCGGTTCTAAAGTAGCTCTGTCAGATAAGAGCTCACTAGAGAAAAAATACAGCCGCGCCTACCAAGAAGAATAAAACACGCGATAAGCTCCATGGACCCGACCAGAAGTATTCAACCTGAGATGCGCATGATGAAGGAAAATCGTGACCATGTTATGGGCCACCACACACCTCTTCTCCGAAGGTAGTCAGTAGATCGTAAACCAGAAGTGTGAAGCATGCTGTTTCTAGGTAATGAGCACTCTGGAATGAAAACAGTGCAACTATGTCATCCTCAGTAAGAGGATACGGTGCACTAGCTGGGTTGCTCATCATAGCCGTGGGCATCGAGAAGCTGTCTTGCCTACCTTATGAGCATGATTACATGACCCTTAGACGCCAAGAATTGATGCCGTTGACATGCCAATGCATCATTGGCACATTGCATAGGGAATACGAGAAGGGAAACAAAGTTTATTGATAGACCAGTCACACCGCCGATGATGATCAAACCGAACCTGTGCGTTCTTCAGGACCTCGTGAGATGAAAATGGCGCTTATTATGAGACGATCAGGGAACTGGTGAGGAGAAGATATCATCATATACTGTCATTTAATAATATAAGAAGAAATTTCATTACATACGAATGTGACCACGCAAAGGCACCGCGATCATAATTGCAAGCAAGAACAAGAACTCACCTGTTCGCCGATCGGCACCTACATGGAAACTGACACGTTCCAATGGGCATCTACTGGAAGCTTGTCCACGCCTTCAGGATAGCCACCATGACCCCGAGGATCCAGTGGAAACGAACTCGGCGTAATGCTAATGATAGCTCTCCAGGGAAGGGATCCCTTGCGGTCTCGTATTGCACTACTCTAAGTTTAAAAACACAGCGTTAGTTGACAGCTCCCATCTGCTACTTAGTAAGTGCGGCACACACCCACATGGGGTAGTACTTACCAAGTTGGCATGGGCAGTGCAGCACGCGATACCGACTTTCCCTTGAACTACAGCAGGTTCTAGGCTTCTACTAAGTTCTGTTTCTCGGTGTAGAGGACTAGTTCATGGATGGGATCTATGAGCTACAGAGCCACAGATGGCCGCCATCACCGTCAGCACCAGCGTCAAGTATCACAGTGACTGTCGGTGTTTGAAAATTACTGGTCCCGCCGGAGCATATTGATCAGAACATGCACATCATATTGCTATCCACATGTTCCGATCATCAGTGACCACCAGCAAAAATATTAAGTTAACGCCTCATCAAAGTTTCGTTGCGAAGCTAACCGCATCTGGAGCAGACTTTGTGATATTGGATTCATCTCAGAACGTATCAGAACGTATCGTGATCTAACTAACGAGGTATGGCTCACAGGCAATGTACTTCCCGTTCCAATCCTTTATAGGCATTTGTCAGAACGGGGTCATCGAAGCTGTCACTGAGACTCTCAAATAACAATCCACCAGGATACCTGCGGATGTGGAAGTAAATATAAGTTGAACCTTAATTGACACAGCTCTTCGTTCATCTCTGTGCTTCCCAGGCTGCATTCATGGTGCGTGATGAATGGTATTATAAAAGAATTGACCTTCCTGGAGACATGAACATTCAGCTGACCATCGGCTTCCGCTATCTGATTCCCTTGCTTATATATAAGTAGGCGCGTTTATATAAAGATATGTCACTCTCACACGTACTCCGCGCACAATACCGCTCGTACAATGATGGCATTCAAATACAGGACGAGTGGTTGCAGACATTCTTCATTATGTACGACGTGGTTATTTACTATTTACTACCACAGCTCTATACAGTATAAAACAATCTTAACCGAACACTGCTAGTGGACCTTAATCAACGAATGCTATAAGAGATATCTAAAGCCTTTGAGCAGCCCCAGAGCCTTCTCTTCAGCTTCGGCAGCTTCATTGCACCGTGAAAGGTGCTTCCGAAATACCCAAAGCATCACAATAGACATGGCGCTTGTCAAGATACATAGGGCACATGAGTTCGCGTATGAAGGCCCCCAACGGGACGGCCAAAAGTACCTGCAACGCATCAGCGACACCACAGAGTAAGAGTATGTCATGAACTGACGATGAACTCATGTAGCCAAGCGATGACATGGCATTGATTAATGCGATAGCGGCAGCGCATTTCGACCGCGATTGGGAAAATGTGTTCATGACCCAGGTTAAAGATACAACATGTGCAACTGGGGCCTGGGCCATCAAGAATCTTCGCAGAAAACGTTAAGGCTGTGAAACTACAGGATGAGAAGGCTCGTACAGGGACAGATATCGAACGCCCGCATTCATAGTACAAATTGCCATCATGAACCCCACGATGGCGATAAATAGAGGACCAGCGGTATGCCAGAAACGATCGCCAGTAGCATCGGAGTGCCTTGACTATTGTTAACTCACCGATCGAGACTATTATGTAGATACTGACCTAGTCACAAGGAACAATGTCGCAGTTCCAAAAATCCACGGAGGTGCACAGAGCAAGAGGGTGGTAGTCGAGTTGTAACCCATTGTAGCAGATAGTGTCGGAAAAAAAATGCGGAACGATAAAGAAGCATCGATCATAATATGAGCAGCACCAAGCCACCATACCCTCCAATCTGTAAGTGCTTCATAAAGGCCAGACCAACCTTTGTGCTCATTTTTGACTGCAACTTCCTCCTCCATCCGTCCTTTGGCCACGGTCAGTTCATCAGGTGAAAGCCAATCACTCGGCGATGACGGAAAATCTGGCAAAATCCAAATTGCAGACACCGCAACCACAATTGTCAAAGCCCCTTCAACAAAGAAGAGCCATCTGCAGCAGTACGGTCAGAGCAGTTCTACTTCGAGAGCATGCATATTTCGCCTCTGACCTCCAACCCGTAAAACCTAGTGTGCCATCCAGGCTTACCAAGATTCCCGACGCTGTAAGAGCACTGAAAGCATTACTGATTGAACTACCGCAAGAAAGAACTGCTGTGCGGAACCCTAGTTCATTGGGCTTGTACCTAGAAAAGTTTCAGGATGTGTTGTTCAAAGATATCGAGCAACTATACCATCGTGAAAGAAGGAAAATAGCTCCAGGAAAGAACGCGGCCTCAACAAATCCAAGCATGAAGCGTAAGACAAGAATGGCATGATACCTAAGGTGGCGTTAACTCAAGAGCAGCAAAAGTGATAGATACTAACGTTTGTGCTCCACCTTTCCATGACCCTCGTTAGGCAATATCGATTCGGTGAATGATGTACGTACCAATGAACAGCGTGATAGCACCACATATTGCCATGCAGTTTGAGAGGTATAGTGATGGCTTTGTCATGCGACTCAAGAACATGTTACTTTGAATTGTCAGATGGGCCACAGAAGGATAACGTGCTGGTACATACGAAGGAGTTTGCGTCAACAGATACCCCACATAAAATATGCTCATGACTGTGTTAAACTGATTCCCCGTCATACCAAGCTCCTCCTCAAAACCACGCAGCCTTGCAGCACTATCGTGATTGAGAGGCAATTAAGTCAGTCACGCTACTCCAATCGTGAGTTCGAAAGGCTACGTACGCTGCATTAGCGCGGTCCATCTATGAAAGAAATTAATGCAATAGCGAAAACACTAGATACAAGACTCACATTGCTCATAATGCACATCAGAATTAGGAAGGCAACTCGAAGGTCTAACTTGCGGAGAAGCCTCTTCTCCACTACTTGTCTGTTCTGTTCATCGTATTCCTGAGGAAGTGTCGGACTATCACTGCTTCTGTCAGAGGCGCCATAGTGGGAACTGTTGCCTGCACCGAGCAAGGGGAGGTCTGACATTCCTATGGAGTATGGACGAAAGAGATAAGAAACAGCAGCCCGTCAGTGTACCGGAATTCGGATAACCTCAGGTTCCGACCCATACTACTTCGGAGCCTGAGCGAAGTACTTACCACATACTTACATATGCGGTGTCAGCCCATTAAATATAATGATATTGAGATTGATCAATGACGGTGGACATTGATGGTTCCGGAAGCGAATAGTCGGTCATATGTGCGAAATCAGGTTCATGTAGTGAGCTTTGGTTGTATTCTCGAGGTTTAGCCTAGAGTGTTTTTGGCGCTGCACGCTGTTAGGCTTAGTTCGAAGCAAGTTCGAAGTCCGCTGGTAGCTGACCTTTGTTTACATCTGTTATATTCCAGCCAGACGTGCTGGGTTTGAACTCGTCATGTGATTTCGGATGGTGCCGCAGCCCTAGTAATTCGCCCTCACTCGAAGCAGTGGCTGGGAAGGTACCAAATGGCCTTCAAAAGGCATCGAAAAACAACCTCAATTGAATTGTTCCACGCGTTCTTTGTTGCCCAAGCCGCAGCTTTCCAATTAATTCAAACCCTTTCAGTACGCACTCAATAAAACGCCACGAGCGATTGATGAAACGACGCAACACATCCACGGTGGGCCATCAAGAAATCGTATAGCTGCCTCTTTAGCCTCAGAAAAGTTGTTTTTGGGTTGTTTTTAGGTCCTTCTCGATACCAGTATTTGCAGCATTCCCCCAGGCCCACCCGTCACCCAGTGGCGCACCGAAACTCGGATACGACCGCAAAGCTGG